TTAAAGGAAAGGGCAAAAGAAGCGGCCTTTCAACCTCCTTCCCCACACACCAAAAACCAAACCCCGGTCTTTTTCCCTGTTTTCCCTTCTGAAGCCATTTAAACCCAAAAAAGCCCTTTTCCCCGACCCCAGAATCGGACCCCCCAGAAACCATAACGGTCGAGGGAAAAAGAAATTTTTTAGGAGGAATCCCAAACCCCAAAGGCCAAAAGGGGGGGGGCCAGGCCCAATTTCCCAATCAAAAGGAAGGGCTATGGCCCGAGGAACAAATTTTTGGGAACCAGCCCAAATGGGCCAGCACCTAACTTTGGTTTCCGGGGGTTTTTTTCCCCGATCCCAAAACCCGTGGTGGGGGGAGATCGGGAAGGGCATCCGGAGGTTTGGGGCCCTTTGGGGGGGGGCAATGTCCAGGGGGATCCCCTTTGATTTTCCCCCCGCCCATGGTCCCGGGGGGCAGGCCATTTGGTTTTTGGGGCCTCCCTGTCAGGGGCTCGGGCACTTAAGGTCCGGGCCGGGCCGGGGCGTTCGGGAAATTCGATCAAGCGCAGTAGAAGCCCGGGCCGCCCCGCTGGGCACCAATGGCAGCCAGGGCGGGAAAATTTAAAAAAAAGCCCCCGAGCTTCAATTTAGTGCCCTTTTGGTCTTAAACCCGTTTTCCTTTAACTGCGAACCTGTGTATTGTTTAAAAATTTTCTGACCCGGAAATTTTCCCTGGAAACCTTTGCCGTATTTCTCCTTCCCCCTGACCCTTTTTTTTGCCTGACCTCTCTCCCCCGAATGCCCCCCTATTGGATTTTTAAACCCGCTGTTTTCTGACCTGGCGTGTGACCCGACCCTTCATGCCCGCTCCCCTTTTACCTTGCCCTCCCTTTCCCGTTTCCCCAAAACCCCCCGTCGACCTTTGCTCTTTTCCATCCCTCCAAAAACCCTCAGGGGGGTTCTGCTGACCTCCTCATAATCAGACACTTCCCCGTGGGAGCCCTTGGCGCATACCACTACCACTGAACGACGCACCCAGTAGCCACGACCTGGTCTCAGGGGGCTTGCAAGGTCATTCCCCACCAACAGGGGCCCTGGTGAACAAGCACCCTGGGACTTAGACTACCGTGCGCTGTGAGGGACGCCTATTCAGTGGAGTGCTATGGTATCCCGCCAGGCCAGTCCCTTACACCAGTAACTTGGTTGCTCCAACACTTAAAGAGAAGCTTTTGGATCAATTTATTTTTTTTTAAGTCCATGATTTTTAAAATGTATGGTTTATATCTGTTTTTAATATAATAAAGCCTGAAGCTCTGACACAGGATTCCCAAAGCACTGTGGGTTTCTGAAGATAGAGCACATTAGAATATGTTTTTTTGTACACTCATCTAACTAAAAATTTCAAACTGAACTGGATGAAGGGAGGAGATGAGATGGTAAAGGGAGAAGTCATGGTGCTGAACTCATTTTTACAGTGTTTCAGCTTGAGCTATAGAGTTCTGTAAACAACAGATCAATAGAGAAGTTAAGGAGAGCCTGGAAAATATGGAAAGGATCCAAGGACTTAATTTGATGGATTCATTTGAAAATACCAAATATTTAGTATTTGCTCAATAAAAATAATACAAATATTTTGTAAAATTTTGTATTTTTTAGACCTTATCATAATGAAGAAATACATTTTTATTTATTTATTTTTTCCATAAAGTTTATTAAGAAACTCAATGCATACAAATTTTACAAAGATATACCAATGTGCCAATGAAAAATACAGTAGAAAACAATTAACAGGTGTCAGACGGTAAGAGATGTTGCCATACACAACCTGAGAACGCGATCTCATGTCACACGTGTTTGTTAATAAAGTTCGACTAGAAAAAACAGGCATAAATTCACAGCAAGGAAAAAGGCACACACTAACCATGTGTCAGGAATGGACTCAGCACTGGTGGTGGAACTCACCTGCCGTGGGCTGCAGTACCAGGGCTGACCAGCGGGTGCTCTCACCACCAGAAGCTCACTCCTGCAGTCAGCCAACACCTGAAGCTGATTGCAGGAAATGTATTTAAGGGAATGACCAGTCGGCCTGTGATCTGGGCCTTGGTGGTATGTTTCCCATGAGCCCCTGTACCTGGTATCCTGTGTTCCTGCCTCTTTGCTGACCCTGCTTTGATCCTGACCTCTGCTGACCGTCTCCTTGTTGAACCCCTGGCTTGCCTGACCATCCTTCTGCCTGATCCTCCGGTACCCATGTGCTGCCCGCTACCTAGCTGAACCTGGCTTGTGACCCCGACCATTCCTCTGCTTGCTCCTCCTGTACCACGCTGCCCCGCACGATACCGACCCGGCCTGTCTGACTACGCTTACTTCACACCGACGATCCATCCGTCCCTGCCCCTATCCCGCACGGATCACCTTTAGTAAGTCCTGCCTGCCTCTTCCCATCAGACTCTGTTCCTGCACTCCCCCTGCCAGTACTCTCTACCACACAGCCGGACGCACTCAGGGTCGTGACCTGGTTCCAGTCTGCACCAAGTCCATCCCCACAATCAGGGCCCTGGTGAATAGCAGGCTGGGACTTAGACCCCCCGCCCTGAGGAAATCCGTGCTGTGGGCTGCTAGAGACACTGCCAGGCGGCAACCGTGACAATACCTTACGGCCTGCCTGACCATTTCACCTCTCCAGCCTGACTACGCCTGTGTTCCTGAAGCCTGCTACTTCCCTGTGTCAGTCCACACATTTCTGGTCATACCCGGATCCCCTAACACCATGACCCTAATTTCACGTAAGAATTTCCACAAGACTGGCAGGGCCGTTTGTTTGCACCCTCATGTATCTTTGCAGCATAGAGTAGCAGGATAAGGGAGCAGTAGAAGGATAGGAGTAGAGATTCCTGGGCAACTTATGAGGGAAAGAGGGTGCAAAGGTATACAGAGCTCGGCACTAGCCAATAAGTAGAGCTGAGATAGCACTGAAAGCTTACCAATGTGTGGAAGGATGTCTTTGTGAAATGAAAGAAGCGTATGTGCTGGTGTAATGCGGGTAATGGAATTAGAGCACCTATGGGCAGGGAAATGAGCAGAAATGTAAGAGGAAAAAAGGAAAGTAAATAGGATAAATATGAGGAAATGAGTGGTATAGGGAACAATGAGAAAGGAGTCAAGGAGGATAAAGAAGGTTAGGGATGGAGAAACAAAAAGAGGGAGGGGGGGGAGAAGATACATTTTATATAGAATTCCTATACAATCCCTTTAGATGCAAGGATTAAATGGACAATGTGGTAAATGTTTACAAAAAAAGGACAGTCTTACACAGAACCCTAATTTTTTTGTAGCTTTCTGTAAAGGGCACATCTTTCCCACTGAGTACCAATATAAGGAGGATTCTCACATTAACCACCAATGTAAGGAGCATTCTTCTCACTGACCATCGCACTAATGCAGCCTTTTTCAACCAGGGTGTCTTGAGGTTTCTTCAGGGGTGCCTTGGCAAAATGTCTAAAAATTGCCCAAAACTTGTATACAAGCCAGCGGGTGGAACAAGCTTGCTTTTTAGTTACACAAAGCCACAGGTCTTCATTGTGCACCATTACGACCTTCTAGCTGCCAGTGTCCTGACAACCATTGACATCATCAGTTGATAAGGAGGATGTCAGCTGCCTGCACAGCATCCTGGTTGGAAACTCCCCTGCCCCTCTCCATCAGTGCTGGGGTCACATTAGCTCAGTGATGGAGGAAAAATGAGGGAGAAAAGAAACATTGGAATACTAGTCAGTACCAGTGTGCAAAAGTGTATTTACTTTGGAAGAATAAATTACCTCCATTGTTGGGTGTCCTACATGTGTGGATGTTGCTGCGTTATATAAAACTATTTGAATAGTTTTTCACATTGGGGTGCCTCAAGACTGTCCATAAAATTAAAGGGTGCCTTGACTGAAAAAAGGTTGAGAAACACTGCACTAATGTACTGGGAACTGTAAAGTAATTATCAGGGGTTCCCTGAGATCAGAAAGTTATTTCCAGGGTTCCTCCATATTAAAATGTTATAGAACGGCTGCTCTGGAGACAAGACTTAAGCCTAACATGGCAATGTCATATACCAATTCAGTAGCAGAACCAGCCTGTCACGTACCTGGGTAGTGAGCCTGATGTGAAGAGGCAGACCTCTCGTACGACCCCGGCTTGGGGACCGCTGAGAGTGGAACAGCAGTCGCAGGAGCTCGGTGGGGTAAGAGGGCCTGTGATCTGTCCGATGAGAGTTGTTGGACTGATGTGTAGCAGACCAGAGCAGGGTGCAGAGGGATACGTGCAGGATGGATGGATGCGGGTGCACCGTGTTGTAGAAAGCTGCAGAGTCAGACAAGCCGGTTCGGTATTGGACGAGACAGATCAGGCATGAACAGCAGGCAGAAAAGTAGTTGGGTCACAGGCCAGGTTCAGCAGCAGGAGGTCAGTCAATCAGGAGCAGGCAGAAGAGTAGTCCAAGAACAGACCAGGGGTCAGGGCAGCAGGCAATCAATCAGTAGTCAGGAACAGGCTGGATTCAGCAACAGGGAACAATCACAGAAGTCAGGAACACAAGCAGGGGAAAAGACCATACGGCAACTAGGTAACTGCAGCAGCCGGTTTAAATAGCCCGCTTGGCGCCAGCATAAGTGACAGTTGCGCACTCACGTGTGTGAGTGCGCATGCGTTGGCGTGAACGCGGCCGCGTGCGCCTCTGTCCAGGCGCCCGCACATCTGTTCGTCTTGTCAGCACCCTGCGCATGCGTATATTCGTGCGCCACGGCGCTCTTCTTGTACTACTGGAAGGCGTTTCCTGACACAAGTCTTGTATGGAAAGCTTTTCACACGAATATACTTTTGTTTGGGTCACTGATCGAGGTTGAGTGGTGACTAGCATGATCTGTGTAGTGGTGCTGGTATTTGCTTGTGTAGGGCAGGATGCAAGGACGAATGAAGTAATTTGCCAACACCATAACATTTTTTGTTTTTTTTTTTTTCTGTTTTTTACCCAACAGCTGGCCATTGTGCTGACCCCGGAGTGCCTCCTGGAGCAGTGAAAACGGGGCTTCGGTACGACATTGACGAAAGTGTCTCATACAAGTGTGCTAACAGCCTTGACCTGGTGGGCTCAGCTAAACGGACCTGTCTAGAGAGCAGACGCTGGAGCGGAACTGAGGTCAGCTGTCAGTGTGAGTACCAGGCCCTAAACTATCAACTGCTTATTCCACCCATGCTGTTCAGAGCCCTTTGCTATCCCAGCTTTCTGGGGATTTTTGTGCACGTTTTACTCCAGTAAGAAAAAAAACATTTACAGTTGTGACCAAAATTTGTTGTCCAAAATTTTAACCCCCACTGAAATTGAGTGTTTTGGCCAGTTTGACATTGCTTTTGATCATTCAGTCATCTTGCTTACATTTACATTAAAGAGGCACTTGTAGGTCAGACAAATATAACATAACAGTTATAATGAAATAACCACAAATGTCTTTTCTGTGCTCACAGCATTATCAGTTTTATTCAACCCCCAAGTGACATTCAATCGTAGTACTTACAGCATCCTTTTTACAGTTATAACAGCTTTTTTATCGTGAAGCCCAAAGCTTGACACATGCGCGAGTAGCTTGAGCACATCACCGTCCTGTACAGTACAGCATCGCCTTTTACAAAAGTTATAACAGCTTCAAGTAAATTCTTAAAGCATAGCTTTGACACAAGTGTTCTTGCAGCGGATTATAAGTCTGGTACTTGCAGCGCGGGTATCTTCGCCATTCTTCATGGGCAAAGGCCTCCAGTTCAGTCACATTCTTAGGCTTGCGCACTGCAACTGCTTTCTTTAAGTCCCACCAGAGGTTCTCAATCGGATTTAAGTCTGGTGACTGCGATGGCCACTCCAAAATGTTCCAGCCTTTCCTCTGCAACCATGCTCTAGTGGACTTGGAGGTATGCTTGGGATCATTGTCCTGTTGAAAGGTCCAACGTCTCCCAAGCCTCAGTGTGTGTGACGGACTGCATCACGTTTCCATCCAATATCTCCTGGTACTGAAGAGAATTCATGGTACCTTGCACACGCTGAAGCTTCCCTGTACCTGCAGAAGCAAAACAGCCCCAAAGCATGATTGACCCTCCACCATGCTTCACAGTAGGCAAGGTGTTCTTTTCATCATAGGCCTTGTTCTTCCTCCTCCAAACATAGCGTTGATCCATGGGCCCAAACAGTTCTAATTTTGTTTTCATCAGTCCACAGAACACTATCCCACAACTTTTGTGGTTTGTCCACATGGCTTTTGGCATACTGCAGTCGACTCTTCTTATTCTTTGGAGACAGCAAGGGGGTATGCCTGGGGAGTTCTGGCACGGAGGCCTTCATTACGCAGTGTGCGTCTTATTGTCTGGGCTGAAACTTCTGTACCCACATCTGACAAATCTTTTCTCAGTTCCTCAGCAGTCACACGGGGACTTCTCTCCACTCTACGCTTCAGGTAGCGCACAGCAGTCGAAGTCAGCATCTTCTTTCTGCCACGACCAGGTAGCGTTTCAACAGTGCCCTTTGCCTTGAATTTGCGAATGATGCTTCCTAAGGTGTCTCTTGGTATGTTTAACATCTTTGCAATCTTCTTATAGCCATTGCCCTTCCTGTGAAGAGAAATCACCTCTTCTCTTGTCTTCCTGGACCATTCTCTTGCCTTCACCATGTTTGTAACCACACCAGTAAATGTCTAGAAGGAGCTGAGTATCACAGTCATTTAAAAGCTGCCTAATTGGTGCTTATTATGCTTGATTGCTGCTCGTGACATCCACAGGTGTTTTCAATACCTGATGGAAAGCACCTGTATGAACCTCTGTTCTTCAGAGTGGTAGTCTTTAAGGGGTTGAATAATTGTGGCAATGAAGAAAACCACATAAGAACCATTTACTACTGTATTACATAAACAATTGATGTCATTTTAGTTGCATTTGGGTAGTTACAACGTCCTTGTAGGATTTGATTCTGAATACAATTCCAAATGTACACTATAGTCCCTAAACCCCTTTACAGCATTGGGGGTTGAATAATTTTGGTCACAACTGTAAACGCAACTTAGTCTAGACTAAAATTTGTCCGTTTTTAGACCTAATCTAGGAATAATAATGCCATAGGTTTCATTTACAAAAAGACTCGTGCCTGATGAAACAATGGTGGAAAAGTTTCCCACAGCCCAAAATGTTAATTTGCTCTTTTAACAAAAACAATTGAGTAGTATCCATACATGATACGTTTTTTTTTTTGCGCTACAATTTCAGTTTTCAGGACAAGTCTTCAGGTGTGTTCTCTTGAAAGTTGAAATGTTAATGCAAATTTTAAAAAAACGTCATGGACAGTGCTTAGTTTTTTTCTGTAGCAATGCATCTACAATCGCCTCAATTATCTCATCTTATGAAGGATTAAAGCGGAGTTCCACTCACACTGTCAAAAAATAAAAATCAGCAGCTACAAAAACTGTAGCTGCTGACTTTTAAAAAACAGCCACTTACCTGTCCCGCGGTCCCGTGGTGTGTCCCCCGCAGCCCGTTTCACCGGCCGTCCTGTATTCTAGGAGACCGGCATCTTCAGTGCGGGCACCCGGCTGTGACAGCTTGCGGCTTCACAATCGGGTGCCCACTGTGCATGCGCGAGTAGCGCTGCGCTTCATGAATGGTCCTGTAGTCTTCTGGGACCTGTCACATGTCCCAAAAGACTACAGGGAGGGAGGACACCTTCCGCTTCTGGTCGCCTAGGTGATCGGACTGGAAGTTGGAGCGGGTACCTGTCAAATTTGGGTACCTGCTCCCCCCCACCCCCCAAAGGTACCAATCCTTAATGGGGAGCAGGGGAGCAGTCCTTAAAACAGAACTTCCCCTTTTGGGTGAAGCTCCGCTTTAAAGCAGCTATTCTCAACCAGGGTTCCATAGAGGTTGCTAGGGGTCCCTTGAGCTGTGGCTGATTGATCTGCCATTTGATATTACCTGCAAAGTTTCCGGACCAATGTCACTTGGTAAAGCCTGACACTGATGATCTTTTTAACTGTCTGTAAGAGTTGCGTTCTTCCTACTAACCACCAATGGAAAGAGCATGTTTCTAATTGACCCCAATTAATTTTTTTTCAGTAAGTGTTCCCTGGGACCTAAAAAATAGGGGTTCCTGTGGGGTAAAACAATAGAGAAATGTTGCTTTATAGGATACGTCCACTTTAAAGTTAATCTGTAGCCAGGCTATGGACATTCAATTTTAATACAGGCCTTCACTACTACTGTACGTAGCTGCAGGCACTGGGGAGAAGTTCATCACCACAGCAGTTTACAGCAGAAGCACTAGAGTTGTTCAAGTCATTTTCTTGGCAGCTCCACTCACACTTCCCCTTTCCAGCAGTGGCTCAGGGGAAAGAAAGCAGAGACATGGTAGCTTTAAAGCTGTTTGGCAATATTTCTTGCCACACAGTTATCATCTGGGGCCCCCAAATGAGACCTCCCTGCTGCTAAGCAGTGAAGAGGGAGGGGGTTCTGGAAGTTTTCCACTTTCTCTTTGAACTCGGAAAAAACCCCTTTTAAGACCTTCTATATTCACATGGACTCATACTTCCTTGTCTTTTGTCTCTGATTCTACTTTTCCTTTTTTCCCCACAGACCCATATGCCTTTGATCTTCCTGAAGATGTTGGACAACAGTTTGCTGGATCTCTTTCTGGGGTCTTGAACACCTTTAAAAAGAAAAGTAAGATATCATGTTAGATATCAGTGAACACCAATGAACAAACTTGGTCGCTACTTCCAAGACATCTGTCTCAAAGCAGCTCAAAAGAAGGGCAAAATAAGTTAGACGTAGTAAAAAAAAATGTTATACAGATCTCAAATTCATAACAAATGCACCTGAAAAAATGCTGCATATTCCCATCTACAAAAGTCCTAAAAGGTGCAGACTGGTCCCTGCCGATGGTGGTCACGTGACCAAATACCAAAGTGTTGGTTATGTGATCTGTGCCGAAGGAGAGGATCAGAGTATAGGCAGAGCCACTGACCAGCTGACTATTGCAGTGTCACTTATCCAAGCTTTGATGGCCAAGAGCATAGCAGCATATGGTCACATGAATGATACCAGCAAGGAGAGACATTCCCTTTTTGCACACTGTATATTCTTCGCTTACAGGGGTGGACTGACCATTTGGAAACTCGGCCACTGCCCGAGGGCCCGGGGTCAGTAGGGGGCCCCATGAGATGCCCCTGGTACCTTTTTCATAGGCTTTTTTGAGTTTGGGCAAGGACACAGGGGCCCCATGATCCCCTATTGCCCAGGGGCCCCATGAGTTGTCAGTCCGCCCCTGATCGCTTACTTAAACATTGTTCAAATGTACACTCACTGGCCACTTTATTAGGTACACCTGTTGAATTTAAATCATAAGATGCAGCGCTATAGAACCGGAATGTTAAATAAAGGCGAATAAATGAATCAAATAAATAAATAAATAAATAGATGACTGAATAGATGAAACAGTTCATAGAATAAGGTGACTTTAAGTGCTCTCCTCTATTTCATATCCTCCTGATGCTCAGGCGCTGTGCGAAATAGTGCTGAAGAAATGCACACTTTCTGTGTATCACTTTTTCCGTGATACACAGCAGTGTGTATAAAAATGTGTGGACTGACCGTCCAATGGTAAAGATGGCCGCCGGAGCTCCACGATGCTCCGGCGGCGTGACGTCACGGGCGTTCCTGGCTCCTCCTACGCGTTTCGTGCACACGCACATCGTCTGGGGGATTTGCCATCTTTACCATTGGACGGTCAGTCCACACATTTTTATACACACTGCTGTGTATCACGGATACTTGATGTGTTAATAAATCCTTTTTTAATTACCTACTACACTATGGATACGTCTTTGTCTTGACTCCCTTGGGGAGTATCCATTTGCAGCTACTCATCTCTCTGCTGGGTAAGGAACGCATGTAAGCTTTAAGGAGAAGTCCATAGGCCACCTACCAAGGGATTGCACAGGAATATCCAGGAGCTCTGGAGGGAGGCTATCATACTACCTTATCCTGACCAGCTGATGACTCTAAGGGGAATTTATATTGACAAACGCTCATTTTCCTGTGCGTTCTGGTGAGTGTGCATTTCTTCAGCACTATTTCGCACAGCGCCTGAGCATCAGGAGGATATGAAATAGAGGAGAGCACTTAAAGTCACCTTATTCTATGAACTGTTTCATCTATTCAGTCATCTATTTATTTTATTTATTTATTTGATTCATTTATTCGCCTTTATTTAACATTCCGGTTCTATAGCGCTGCATCTTATGATTTATATTGTTTTTAGGGTGTATGGTTACCTGGTGTTCAGCTGCTATTTGACATTTACAGGTGCGCTCGTACACAATTTTCCTAACACCTGTTGAATTGCTTGGTAACACAAATTGCCAATCACATGGCAGCAACTCAATGCAGTTAGGCATCTAGACGTGGTAAGGATGACTTTTTGATGTTCAAATTAAGCATCAGAATGGGGAAGAAAGGGGATTTAAGTGACTTTGATCGTGGCATGGTTGTTGGTACCAGACAGGCTGGTCAGAGTATTTCAAAAACTGCTGATCTACTTGGATTTTCACATACAACCATCTCTACCGTTTACAGAGAATGGTCAGAAAAAGAAAAAACATATCCAGAGAGTGGCAGTTTGTGTGAACGAAAATGCTTTCCTGAGGTCAGAGGAGAATGGGCAGACTGGTTGCTGTGACATTCAGATGGTAGGGTCAGAATTTCTCATAAACAACATGAGAGCATGGATCCATCCTGTCTTGTATCAATGGTTTAGGCTGATGGTGGGTGGTGTAATGGTGTGGGGGATATTTTCTTAGCACTAGCAAGGTGTACCTAATAAAATGGCCGGTGAGTGTATAAAAACACAAATTAATGCTGTTATAAATCAACCAGAACTTCAGACAAAAAATATTTAAAAAAAATGATAGTAAGATCAAAAGTTGTCTCTGCAGTACTACTCTTCCCCCACTAGATGCCCTTAGTCTTTTGACAGCCATCAACATTCAACTGACTTCCTCTGGGCTCAGGCTGTCAGGGACCCACCCCCAACTTGTGACTGGACAGTGAAGGAGAAGCAGCACAGTGATGAGCTCATCTCTCTGTAACTGTGATTTCTCCTTCCATCAGCATGCACCTTGTCACACATGAACTGATTGACCTCTTGCGCTGCTTCTTACACACCAAGCTGTGCAGTGACTGAAAGGGGCTAATACCAAGTCAGATTCAGGTACTTACACTGCTTACATTAAAAAATAAGTTTCATTATGTATAAATGACCACAGAGCTGCTTTAATTTGTGTTTTTGTCTGCCTAGATTTCAGCTTTCTGTGCCAGTGGTTCCCCATACATGCCATGTTTTCAGGATTGCCTTCACCCTCTACAAGTGTTTTAAAAATCAATGGTATTTATGACAGCTATTTTATCTACAGGAAATTCCCAAAACATGGCCTGTTGGGGGTACTTGGGGACAGAGGTTGGAACAATTCTGCTCTATGCAGTGGAACGGAGAGAGCCTGACACCGACCAACAACACCCCTGCCCCATCCTTCCCACCAGAGAGAGCCTTCCACTAACACTCAAACCCCCCCTTCCCCAGCAACAGAAAGACAGCTTCACAGCTCTGGACATCCCCGGGAATGACAATCGGGCTCTGCATACACCATCAAGCAGCCCGCAGCCTCTCTCGCATCACACCTGGTCCCCATGCCGCATACATCCCTTCTTCCAGGGGGCAGTGTTGCCCCCCTAAAAAATGGCGCCCTAGGCAAATGCCTTATTTGCCTTGTGGTACATATGCCCCTGTATGTGCTGACAATGGGTACACTAACAGGAGGAGAGAGCAGTGTGCATCTGTGTGCTGCTGCTGCTCCTCCTTCACTGTTCAGGCAGAGACTAGGGGCAGGGAAGTAACCAAGCTGTGTTGCAATAGAGAAACCTTAGGTTACGATCCTGGCTCTGCTGTGTGGAGGCTGGTTAAATCTCAGGACTGGATGGACAGAAATACAAATTCCTTAAAGGTAAATGGTTCAAATACACTGTCTATATTTTAGCTATATATGTAGTTGTTTTCCTGGAGTTCAGCTTTAAATTTAGAGGACAGGTTAACATTTGAAGCTAAATCTACCTAAAACTGATACGTTTAATATCTGGATTTCTCGATTCGTGTCTTTGTCACCTCCTACAAAGTCACCATCTTGCAGTTGTATTTCCCCAAATATTGTTTTATTCTGCATTACAGAGAGTGCACTGGAAGGGCTGTACACTATCATTGAACTTCTACAGCAGGTTGGGAAGAATTGTGAAACCTGGTGGGGATACCTCATCACTGGTGTCCTGGAAATATAACAAAAACCAACGTGTCATTCAGCTTCAGTTGAGGATCTGCACATGGCTCTTATATGGCATTTAAGGTTTCATCTCTCTTACAGCTTCTGGTGGGCGCTCAGTAAAAGTAACGAAGGATGGCATTCTGAATGTGTATCTCCTGTTGGATGCCTCGCAAAGCATTGGTGAAGACAACTTCAAGATCTCCAAGAAGTGCGCAGAGGAACTTGTCAATGGGGTTTGTGTCATCACCACTTTATGTCTGAGTAATTCTAGCCAACTACATATTCCTTGTAAGAAAGCACAACACATTAATCCCCGGTTCACATCTATGCGGGTGGTGCTGCTGAGGATCCGCACAAAAATCCGTGCAGCCGCACCACCCGCACAGAGAAATGCGGACCCGCGGGCGGGTGCCATTAGTTTTAATGGCACGTTGCCCGCACTGGAAAACGCAACCGTACTGGGAACCGAGGTTCCCATGCGGGCTGTGTTTTCGGAAGAAGTGCAGGGAGTTCTTTCCCTGCGTGTCAAATGCACGGGAGTCCATTCAAATGAATGGGCTCTCATGCCCGTGCAAAACGCAGCCCACACGGCCGCAGAGATGTGAACTGGGGGTTAAGCTGAACTCCGGGATAAGCAAATATTGCCTGAATATAAGAGTCGTGTGTATTCTAACTTGAATCTTGGTGTACTTTGTGTATTTCTTCCAGATTTAGATGGAAAGCTCCATGAGCAGGGCCCTCCTATTCCTTCTGTATTGAACTGTATAATAATCCAACTGTCCCCCTTTATATTGTAAAGTGCTCCACAAACTGCTGGTGCTATAGAAATCCTGTATAATAATAATAATCTGTGCAGTGATCCAGTGTAAAAACTTTGCTCTAATAAAGACTGGCCACTACTGCTTTTCTCCTTGTGCAGGGTGACTGGTCTTGTCTCCGCCCCTCCTGCAGGCAACCTGTAGTAGGTGGAGCTACTGGGCCCCTCCCACAGCTCTGATCTCTGCACAGCCTATATACAGCACACAGTGATGGAAAAAAAAAAACCTCTTACATAAAATCAATGTCCAGGTCAGGGGCGGACTGACCATTTGGAAACTTGGGCACTGCCCGAGGGTCTGGGTCAGTAGGGGGCCCCATGAGATGCCCCTGGTACCTTTTTCATAGGCTTTTTTGAGTTTGGGCAAGGACACATGGGCCCCATGATCCCCTATTGCCCGGGGGCCCCATGAGTTGTCTGTCCGCTCCTGGTCCAGGCACGTAGTGATATCAGTCCATGCTGTTTGCCATCTGACTTGGCTTTTACATGCCAGAGCTATCAGCCTACTACATTGATTTTTTTTGTAAGAAATTTTTTTTTATTATCATTCCACTTTTGCCTTTATGTGGATGTGATTATTACTTTTAAATAAAGAGAGAGATTTTTAAACATACTACACCTTGGAGGAATGTTTATTATTTTTATCCATTGTTGACATCGGCTACTGACTGCGGTGGTGTCCTCAATGGATATGGCGTGCTGAGAGTATTATGGCCATTTATAACTTGATGGTCCACCTGATCTGGTAAGAGGCGCCTGTAATTGAGCAAGGCCCCTTTCACACGGGCGTTCCGTATGTTCGTTTTTCATCTGTCCATTTATGGAAGAGAAACAGACACCCATGTATTTCTATGGACTAGCGGATGTAAATGGGTGATCATCCATTAACATCCATTTTTTTTTGAACGTAAGAAAACCCTATTTTTCTTCCATTAACCACTTCCCGTCCGGCCCATGTATATAAACGGCCGGACGGTGGCAGTGCAGGGTCAGGTGGCCGTTTATAAACGGCCTCCCCACACCCTGCTTGTGCGCACTCCCTGGGAGCGCACAGCACTGTGATCCGGTGCCCACTGTGTCCTCCGGACACAATGGAACACCGATCGTCAGACGGGACCTCTGTCCGATCATGGCCAATCAGTGATCACATGCAGAGTAGTAAGCAAGATGTCACTTCTGACATCATTGCTTACTACGTGTGAAATCTGTGAATGATCACAGAGGTCACATGGTACAAGGCTATTCACAACAGGCTTGTACCATGTGACAAGCTGTGACCAATCACAGCTCACACAGTAGTTCTCAATGGCTGCAAGAATGCAGCTAGACAGAAGGAGAAATGATTGCTTTTACAGCCTTTATGGATGTAAAGGCAATCGATCGGTGTAAAAAAAAAAAATCAGTGTAAATAAAATCAGTGTAAAAAAAAAAAAAGCAGTGACACTGTACTGCTAGGGTGACAGTATGTAAAAAACCCCCCCCATAAATAATAATATAAAAAAAAAAAGTTTAAAAATTATAATTTTTGGTTATTAACTAATTTGGGTTATTTTTTTTTTTTCACTAAAAAGATAGCGGAATAAATTTTGGCCAAGATTTATGATGAAATACTATTTATTTGCAAAATTTTATAAGAAAAACACTTTTTTTTCAAAATTTTTGGACTTTTTCATTTACATAGCAAAAAAAATAAAAATCCCAGCGGTGAATAAATACAACCAAAATAAAGCTTTATCTGTCTCAAAAAAATGCTAAAAAAATCAAACTGTGTTGCATGATCACGCAATTGTCATTCAAAGTGTGATAGCACTGAAAGCTGAAAATTGGCCTGGACAGGAAGGGGGGTAAAAGTGTCCGGACTGGAAGTGGTTAAAAAAAACCCCAAAAAAAACGGAATGGACAGAAAACGAAGAAAAGCGGATGCAAACTGATTTGTTTTTCTTGGGAAAAAACATGACCGAACTGATGAAAAAAAAACGGAAAGGGGCCTTACGAGGCGGCGGAATTCTTCTTATTGGCGCACTATATTGCACCAAGTTTTAAATGTTAACCTTTCAGTCACACCTTGTGGATTGATTCTTTCCTAGATGGAGGAGTTCTAAGGAAGGACATTGTTAACCTTTGGTTTCTTCTGGAAACTTTTTTGTGTTTGGCACATTTATATAAACATTTTATTTAATGTTCTAATTGAGAATTCATTTATTTTCACATTATTTATTCACATGAATGTATTTTGGATTTATATCACTTATTACTTAGCACTGCTTTTTGTTTCATATGGTTTGATTGGCTGATATCACAGTTCACAGCGGCTGCTTATGTATATGTACTGGTGTACATGGATTTAAAACTTTTTTATTATTTTGGATCGAACGTTAGCAATATCCAGGTATTCGATTACCTCTAATGAGATGTTCATATCGGGAAGCATCATATAGGGAAGTTTGCAATTCGGGTATGTCAGGGATAAGTATAATGTAGAAATACAGCCTTTTGTCAGATCTCTGGATTGGCAGGATAATTCAAAACATGTAAGTGTCAGGGGTTCCGAAAGCAAGTGTTAGTAAACCCAGGACCCTGCATTCACTATATCTGGTCTCCCAGGACCCTGCATTCACTATATCTGGTCTCCCAGGACCCTGCATTCACTATATCTGGTCTCCCAGGACCCTGCATTCGCTAGATCTGGTCTCCCAGGACCCTGCATTCACTAAATCTGTCTCCCAGGACCCTGCATTCACTATATCTGGTCTCCCAGGACCCTGCATTCACTATATCTGGTCTCCCAGGACCCTGCATTCACTATATCTGATCTCCTCGGACCCTGCATTCACTATATCTGGTCTCCCAGGACCCTGCATTCACTATATCTGGACTCCCCAAACTCTACATTCACTATATCTGGTCTCCCAGGACCCTGCATTCACTATATCTGGTCTCCCAGGACCCTGCATTCACTATATCTGGTCTCCCAGGACCCTGCATTCACTATATCTGTCTCCCAGGACCCTGCATTCACTATATCTGGTCTCCCAGGACCCTGCATTCACTATATCTGTCTCCCACGACCCTGCATTCACTATATCTGGACTCCCCAAACTCTACATTCACTATATCTGGTCTCCCCGGACCCTACATTCACTATATCTGGTCTCCCCACACCTTGCATTCACTATATTTGGTCTTCCAGGATCGTACATTCAATATATCTGGTCTCCCCGGACCCTGCATTCACTATATCTGGCCTCCCTGGACCCTGCATTCACTATATCTGGTCTCCCAGGACCCTGCATTCACTATATCTGGTCTCCCAGGACCCTGCATTCACTATATTTGGTTTCCCAGGACCCTGCATTCACTATATCTGGTCTCCCAGCTCCCAACATTTACTATATCCGGTCTCCCAGGACCCTGCATTCACTATATCTGGTCTCTCAGGACCCTACATTCACTATATACGGTTTCCCAGGACCCTTCATTCACTATATCTGGTCCCCCCGGACCCTTCATTCACTATATCTGGTCTCTCAGGACACTACATTCACTATATCTGGTTTCCCAGGACCCCGCATTCACTATATCCGGTCTCCTCGGACTCTGCATTCACTATATCCGCTCTGCCCGGACCCTGCATTCACTATATCTGGTCTCCCACAGTACACAGGACATGGAAATGCAATTATTTTAGTAAATATAAACTGCTAAATACCTTTAATCATCAGCAGTTAGAGCCGGCTTGTGACTTCTATCAGTGTCCAGTAGAGCACTGGTTAAAGCTTGTAGGAGTTTTCTTTCTGCTCTAGGAGGATGCAAAGCCCCTGACCTCTGTCTGGACAGTGCTGATTGGCCCTGTGCTGATCACATGCACTCTCCCAAGAAATAAAAATACTCTCTAGCAATACACACCAAACTGAGCATCTGCAGAGTGTCTCCACACAAAATGTCTTATTAGAAGATAAAAGGGGGACACTGGAAGAAGGGGAGGATCAGAGAAGTCAGGATCAAACAGCATTTTTATACAATGCAGAGGATTAACCCCTTAGGTACCACAGTGAGTATAACAAGCATGCTTTACTGCATATACAGACTGATTTTACCGGTGTGGGTTTAGTAACACTTTAAGTTTAGCCTGAACAAAAGACGTCATTTGATTACAGCGGAAAGTTTGAGTTAGATGCATGTGTCATTCCTCAGGATAATATTGTAAAATGTGTGGTTTATCACCATCTAAGAAGTCCCCAGTTTGTAAAAGGCCTTTATTAATCCACCATTGGAACCATGGGCGGACTGACAACTCATGGGGCCCCCGGGCAATAGGGGATCTTGGGGCCCCTGTGTCCTTGCCCAAACTCAAAAAAGCCTATGAAAAAGGTACCAGGGGCATCTCATGGGGCCCCCTACTGACCCCGGGCCCTTGGGCAGTGCCCGAGTTTCCAAATGGTCAGTCCGCCCCTGATTGGACCTGACTAGGTACTAGACCTGGTGTAAATTCTGGATGGTAAAAGATGGGGGCTAAGGGGGTGTGAGGCGAGGAAGGGGGTGTTCGAGCTTTTTTTTGCCTGTGCCAGACCACTAAAGGGCTGGTTGTAGTTAGTCGCAGTCATCTTGACTTTATTTCTGTGACATTGAAGGTTTTTCCCTGAGGGTTGGGTATTGTTGGAGGAACCAGCATGAGCATGCGCCTTCTCCATTAACAACATGACCGTTCCTGATGCCTTTTCTTTTTCACTTCCAGCTTGGGGCGTTTGACATGAAGGTTCAGTTTGGAATTCTCTCCTATGCCACTGCGCCCATTGTTTCAATTACCACTCATGACAAGGACTCCAATGATATAGAATATGTGTTGGAGCTGATTCAGGAGAACCTCATCTACAGCAGTGAGTTCTGCATCTTCATCACTTTATTGTGCATTCCAACAGTCCTGACTATTTGGGGCTTTGCTGTGCCAGGGGCACCACCCAGGCAATGTATTCATCAGGAAAAATACAACTTTATTGTTGCTGTGAAGGTCTTTTTTGCTGCTGCTGGGGGCTCTATTGTTGCTGGGGAGGTCCATTATTATTATTATACAGTATTTATAAAGCGCCAACAGTTCACTCAGCGCTGTACATTACAATGGGGGTCAATACATGAGACAGTACAAAAACAATACAGTGCAATACATGAGGGGTTTGAGGGCCCTGCTCCTTGGAGCTTACAATCTAGGAGGGAGGGGATAGTGGTACGGGAGGAAAAGCTGTGGGGGATGGAGTGGTAGGAAGAGTGGAGGAGATCGGCAGTTAGCAGAGGGTGGGGTAGGCTTCCCTAAAGAGGTGGGTTTTTAGGGTGCGCCTAAAGGAGAGGAGAGTGGGTGATAGTCTGATGGATTGGGGTAGGGAGTTCCAGAGGATGAGTGATGCCCTGGAGAAGTCCTGGAGGCAGGCATGGGAGGAGGAGATCAGGGAACTAGAGAGAAGGAGGTCTTGTGAGGAGCGGAGAGTGCGTTTTGGGTGGTATTTGGATATTAGGTCGGTGATGTACCGGTAGTTTGGGGTAGTATGGTGGACAGCTTTGTAAGTCAGTGTTAGCAGTTTGAATTTGATCCGTTTGGCAATTGGAAGCCAGTGGAGGGATTGGCAGAGGGGGGTAGCGGAAACGGAGCGGTTGGTAAGGTGGATGAGTCTGGCAGGTCTATTGTTGCTGTGAAGGTCTATTGTTGCTGCTGGGGGGCTCTATTGTTTCCGGGGATGTCTATTGTTGCTGCTGGGTTCTATTGTTGTTGTGAAGGTCTGTTGTTGCTGCTGGGGGCTATATTGTTGCTGGGGAGGTCTATTGTTACTGTGGGGGATATATTGTTGCTGGGAGGGGGTCTTATGTTGCTGGGGTGGTATTTTGTTCCTGAGAGTAATCTACTGTTGAGGGAGGGGTCTATTGTTGCTGGCTACTGGAGGGTCTATTGATGCTGTCTGCTGGCAGATTGTTGATGACAAGGGTCTATTGTTGGGTTGGACCTTTTTTTACCGGGGGGGGGGGGGAATTTTGTTGCAGGGGTCGTCTGTTGCTGCTGGCTGCAGGCAATCTATTTTACAGCTTTTCTTGTTATCATTAACAAATTCCATACAAATACCGAGCACCACAAAATGATACTTGGCTCTGTATTCTCTAAAAGGGGCGGTAATGGGAGGTGGGTAGGGAATGGAACCAAGGGATGGTGCTCAGTGGTCGGTAGGGGGCAGGGGCGGACTGACCATTTGGAAACTGGGGTCAGTAGGGGCCCCATGAGATGCTCCTGCTACCTTTTTTCATAGGCTTTTTTGAGTTTGGGCAAGGACACGGGCCCCATGATCCCCTATTGCCCGGGGGCCCCATGAGTTGTCAGTCCACCCCTGGTAGGGGGTGGAGACAAGCGGTGACTCAGAAGGAAGGACTACCAGCATCTATTCTCTGAGACGCTTGGACTAGCTTGGACCAATGTAAGTATGCATATGCCATACTTGTGGGATCCTTGTGAAAGCTGGAAATCACTGTAGTAGGCACTGCTACTACAGTGATCACTGCTAGCTTTCAAATCCTGTGCCAAGCAGTTGTCCTGCTGCATTGTGATCAAAGCAGGTTGCTCACTTGGCACGGATGCCAATAATGGAACACGTTGTAAATCGTTCTCTGATTGGATGAGGTGAAGAGGCGGGCCAATGACATCATGATCTTCACCTCTTCCAATCAGAGAATACTTTGCATGCATTGAGAAAATGCATAGTGCTCTTTAATTGGTGTGCCAAGCAAGTGAGCTCCTGCATTCATTAAACAGCAGGGCAGCTGCTCAGCACAGGATCCAGACGCTAGTGGAGGTCACTTTAGTAGCAGCAGCATCTTTTACAGTGATGTCCAGCTTCAATGGGGATCCACAGGTATGGCACATACATACATACTGTACATTGGTCCAACCATGTAAAAATTAGAATTCACATTTAAATGGATTTACAAAAACAGCAAAATTTGGGGAATTGAGATGTAATGATAATGCATATCTTTGCTGGGTTTTTTTTTCTTTATTATTTTTATGTCATTTATTATTTTATTTAGAAACATTCCCAGTAATATGTAGATTCTTGCTCTTTTTTTTTAGAGCACCGTGATAAGCAAGGAACCAACATTAAGGGGGCACTGGAGTCTGTGCTGTACATGATGTCATTGCAGAAGCTTAAGTACAACAAGGATGAGTGGAACTCAATCCAGCATGTCATTATTCTGTTGACTGATGGTGAAGAAAACAATATATTAAATGTCACTTATACTGTTTGAAATCAGATGTATCACCAGACTAACGTGTCTAATTTTTGTCAGTGTCTTCAAATGTAGTAATACATTAAAGGGTCTGCTTGTACCGAGCAGTTTACAGTGTGCACTGATGCGTTTTTGATGTGTTGATTGCATTCCTATGGGTCCTTACTGAGTGTTTATGGGCCAAAAAAATTTACTTTTTTCCAACACACCACAGCACATTTCATGTGTTTAAAGGGACAGATGTGCAGTTTACTACATGAATGGGCTTTGAGGACCCTTTAGAAAGAACAGGCAGACACCGAAAAATACATACACCCCGGGGCAATGTTATCATAGGTGTAAAGCTGCCTTGGGACTCTTTGTGACAGGACTCACTTTGGGTGGGGGGCCCATGAAACACAGCTCACTTTGGAGAGGTGGGGAGACCCCTGTCTCAGCTCCCCATATCCCTCCTATGTGTAAATCACCCTGTGCCTGTTAGGGGTACAGGGTGATCTGTCCTAACATTGGGGGGGGGGGGTCGTTGATTGTTTAATGCCATGTGGTTTCATCCCATTGTTCTATTGTGTGTCTTGCTTGGGAGCAAAGTATTATGAGATGTACAGTCAGGTCCATAAATATTGGGACATCGACACAATTCTAACATTTTTGGCTCTATACACCACCACAATGGATTTGAAATGAAGCGAACAAGATGTGCTTTAACTGCAGACTGTCAGCTTTAATTTGAGGGTATTTACATCCAAATCAGGTGAACGGTGTAGTAGGAATCACAACAGTTTGCATATGTGCCTCCCACTTGTTAAGGGACCAAAAGTAATGGGACAGAATAATAATCATAAATCAAACTTTGACTTTTTAATACTTGGTTGCAAATCCTTTGCAGTCAATTACAACCTGAAGTCTGGAACGCATAGACATCACCAGACGCTGGGTTTCATTCCTGGTGATGCTCTGCCAGGCCTCTACTGCAACTGTCTTCAGTTCCTGCTTGTTCTTGGGGCATTTTCCCTTCAGTTTTGTCTTCAGCAAGTGAAATGCATGCTCAATCGGATTCAGGTCAGGTGATTGACTTGACCATTGCATAACATTCCACTTCTTTACCTTAAAAAAACTCTTTGGTTGCTTTTGCAGTATGCTTTGGGTCATTGTCCATCTGCACTGTGAAGCGGCGTCCAGTGAGTTCTGAAGCATTTGGCTGAATATGAGCAGATTATATTGCCCGAAACACTTCAGAATTCATCCTGCTGCTTTTGTCAGCAGTCACATCAATAAATTCAAGAGAACCAGTTCCATTGGCAGCCATACATGCCCACGCCATGACACTACCACCACCATGCTTCACTGATGAGGTGGTATGCTTAGGATCATGAGCAGTTCCTTTCCTTCTCCATACTCTTCTCTTCCCATCACTCTGGTACAAGTTGATTTTGGTCTCATCTGTCCATAGGACGTTGTTCCAGAACTGTGAAGGCTTTTTTAGATGTCGTTTGGCAAACTCTAATCTGGCCTTCCTGTTTATGAGGCTCACCAATGGTTTACATCTTGTGGTGAACCCTCTGTATTCACTCTGGTGAAGTCTTCTCTTGATTGTTGACTTTGACACACATACACCTACCTCCTGGAGAGTGTTCTTGATCTGGCCAACTGTTGTGAAGGGTGTTTTCTTCACCAAGGAAAGAATTCTTCGGTCATCCACCACAGTTGTTTTCCGTGGTTTTTCCGGGGTCTTTTGGTGTTGCTGAGCTCACCGGTGCGTTCCTTCTTTTTAAGAATGTTCCAAACAGTTGTTTTGGCCACGCCTAATGTTTTTGCTATCTCTCTGATGGGTTTGTTTTGTTTTTTCAGCCTCATGATGGCTTGCTTCACTGATAGTGACAGCTCTTAGGATCTCACCTTGAGAGTTGACAGCAACAGATTCCAAATGCAAATAGCACACTTGAAATGAACTCTGGACCTTTTATCTGCTCATTGTAATTGGGATGAGGGAATAACACACACCTGGCCATGGAACAGCTGAGAAGCCAATTGTCCCATTACTTTTGGTCCCTTAACAAGTGGGAGGCACATATGCAAACTGTTGTAATTCCTACACCGTTCACCTGATTTGGATGTAAATACCCTCAAATTAAAGCTGACAGTCTGCCGTTAAAGCACATCTTGTTCGTTTAATTTCAAATCCATTGTAGTGGTGTATAGAGCCAAAAATGTTAGAATTGTGTCGATGTCCCAATATTTATGGACCTGACTGTATGTGTTTATGTGTATTGGCTTGGTGGGGGGTGTCTCCAGCAGCCTCCCACCTGATTGGACTGTCTGCTGCTGTGTCTCTTGTTACTAAAGGTAGATTGCCCTGCCCTGTGTCATTATGCAGTAAGGGGGGTGTGTTGTTCCCTTGAATGTATATATCTTGTATCTGTGTTAAAATAAAGTAGTCTATTTCCTGATTTACTTCAAGACTGGTGTTGTCTAGTCTTGTATGGTCTGCTGTGATGTCAGTGTTCGGACGGGGAAGCGGTAGTCTAACAGAAACACCCAAGTGCAGTCTGGGGGAGGTTCCGTTACACTCTTCATTTATAATCAGCAGAGACAACATGTGCCTATAAGAACAAACACTGGAGGAGAAACGTAAAGCCTAACTCCACATTTAATGTCCCTTTAAATAGTATGTTTGGGCCAAGCTGGCCGAAACAAACTATTTACTGCACTAACATGTGCACTTGCTGGGTGCACTGTATAAACTGTACTTTGTGTCTTTAGTTATTTACAGGCAGAGAGGTAGGTAGATGACATCACAATCTTTGATTCAGCCAATCAGAAGTGGCTTTTTATTCATTCTTAGACTACAACGCTATCCATAAATGGCTAAGCAGCACTCAGGCTGACTGTATTTTGTTCCAGAAGTGGGAGATGAAGTTCCTTTACCACTGCCGGAACACCGCGCATACTGTTTATAGGTCAGGATACATACAGTTCATAAAATTCCTCATGATACAATAATAGAACTAGAAAAAAGAAATGGTTCCCACCGCATTATCAAAAATACAAAAACTTGAATTAAGTAATAAAAAATGTTCTATGATATCACAATAAATAATAGGAAAACTATAATAATAATAGAAAAAATGTTTTCTATATTCATTTTCCTATTTCTGTTTGTGGTATCAAAGTACATTATTTCAAATAGTGAATGGGTGTAGTGCTCCATCTATGTAACAGGTAAAACCTTATTCCAATAAAGGCTAACACTCAATAATATCCCAATTACACAATCAACGTGAATATATTAAACCAAAATTAGTTCACATATTGTTCAAAAAGTTGAGTCTTTTTGAGCAATATGTGAGCTAATTTTGGTGCGTAAGTTTTACAAGCCTAGTGCTGTAAAACGTTTTTTGTTAATATAATATAAATGAACACATATCAGTGTACAATGTAACCTAATTAAAATTATAATATTACAAACAATAATAGGGAAACCAATGTAATAGAAAGTAATTTTGTTTTTATATATATATATATATATATATATATATATATATATATATATTAGTTTTCCTATTATTGTTTGTGATATTATAGGATATTTTTAATACTTTAGTTTTCCTATTATTGTTTGTGATGTTGCAGGATATTTTTATTACTTTAGTTTTCCTATTATTGCTTCTTTAGTTTTCCTATTATTGCTTCTGATATTATTAGATTTTCCTATTATTGCTTCTTTAGTTTTCCTATTATTGCTTCTGATATTATAGGATATTTGTATTACTTTAGTTTTCCTATTATTGACTGTGATGTTATAGGATATTTGTATTACTTTAGTTTTCCTATTATTGTTTGTGATATTATAGGATATTTTATTACTTTAGTTTTTCTATTATTGTTTGTGATATTGTAAGATATTTTTATTACTTTAGTTTTCCTATTATTGTTTGTGATATTGTAGAATATTTTTATTACTTAAGTTGTCCTATTATTGTTTGTGATATTATAGGCCATTTTTTATTACTTTCATTTTCCTATTATTGTCTGTGATATTATAGGCTATTTTTTTTTACTTAAAGAGGAGTTACAGTCTGATAAATCAAATTATAATAACAACATAAGCAACATGGCTGTAAATGACATTATCCACATTGGATATTGCTGCACATTTCTGTTCTCAATTTACTTACCAAATCATTTGTTGTTTTTACGCCCCTTGGATTCTGGCCACGACCATGGTAGCTGTGGGCAGCTGAAGCCATCTTGCATTATTTTCTGAGTTCCCGTGCAGCTGGCTACCCAGCATGCACCTTCCGGTCTTGCACAGTAATGACACTGTGAGGTGTACTTTGAGAAGTCTTAAATGCCCAAAGACCCATGGGATCGATAACATAGATTTCCAAGGGGTCAGCAGGGCAGGCTGATGACGTAGGTGGCCAAGGCCGGAAGTTCAGGGGAAACATAAAAAAAAGGTACTTTCTGACAATATTGCAAAGTATTACTGAATTTAAAAAATGAATGAAACTCCTTTTTAAAGTCAACCATCACCCAAAACGTTATGTTCTGCTGCCCTGCCTCCTCTCCCCTCCCTCTCTTTTTTTTTTTTACTTATTTGTGCTACAAAGCAGCACTTCTGCGATTCTCACCCAGGCAAAACTTTCTCCCTACCCCTGCACGTGCATAGATGTGCTGCAGTGCCAGTGGCATGCAAAAAATAGGATCTGTCACACGGTCCTATTACCTCCCTGTAGCATGTTGCACGCAGCTGCAGCATTCCTATGTAGTGCCGGCTTCACTGTGGTGGCATGAGATGGTCCACCATAGAAAGCTCAGGACTTGGAGAAGGAAACGGGACGTGCTGTTCATAGCAGTGCAGGTGTATGGTAACAAGTCCTCAACAGCTATATTGCCCCAGTGCTCCTCCAGCAGTCTTGTATAGTATGCTCCAGCATTACATATAATAATGTGCACTGTCCTCATAAACATACATTTTATAATAGGATCTACTAGTTCTGTACAAAGTATGTGATATTTCTGCAGCATGTACCTGAATGAGTTAACGTGATGACCAAGGTAAATTATAGTAGTCAACTAATACACTGTCATTGTATCATTTTATCCAGGAAAAGCCAACATGGGTGGTCGGCCTGTGGATATGGTAAAGAGAATTAGAGAGTCCTTAGAGATCACTCCAAACAGAGAGGATTACCTAGGTGAAGCCGATTCTGTCTGTCTGTCACTCTTATGTTTCTTTCATCATCTCTTTTTTCTTTCTCTTATCTCTCTCTATTGATTGCATGGGTTGTTACCGACATGTGGTGAAATTTTCATGTCAATAGCACCTTTAGAAATATACTTACTGAGAAAAATGGTGACGTGTTCAGTACTTGTTTTACCCAGGGACGTATTTGCCACGAGGCAAACAAGGCATTCACCTAGGGCGGCACTTTTCAGGGGGGCGGCGTGGCGGTGGCGCCACCCCCCCTTTCCCACACTGACACTAATTATGGGGCACCATAGTTGGTGTCAGTGGGAAGAATAATGCCCCATCATTGGTGTCAGTGTGGGAGGAATAGTTTCCCATGATTGGCGTCAGTGGGAGGAATAGTGTCCCATCATTGTCAGTGGGAGGAATAGTGTCCCATCATTGGTATCAGTGGGAAAAATAGTGCCCCATCATTGGTGTCAGTGCGAGAAATAGTGCCCCATCATTGGTGTCAGTGGGAGGAATAGTGCCCCATCATTGGTGTCAGTGGGAGAAATAGTGCCCCATCATTGGTGTCAGTGGGAGAAATAGTGCCCCATCATTGGTGTTAGTGGGAGGAATAGTGCCCCATCATTGGTGTCAGTGGGAGGAATAGTGCCCCATCATTGGTATCAGTGGGAAATAGTGCCCCATCATTGGTATCAGTGGCAAATAGTACCCCATCATTGGTGTCAGTGGGAGAAATAGTGCCCCGTCATTGGTGTCAGTGGGAGAAATAGTGCCCCATCATTGGTGTCAGTGGGAGGAATAGTGCCCCAACATTGGTGTCAGTGAGAGGAATAGTGCCCCACAGTTGTTGTCAGTGAGAGGAATAGCGCTCCATCGTTGTCAGTGGGGAGAAGCTCTAATAGGAAGAGGTGTGGCCTAAAAAGGAAAGGGTGGATCTTAAACAGGAAGGGGTGGGGCAAATTTACATGTGGGGGGGGGTGCCAGATTTTAGTTTGCCCAGGGCAACACAAAACCAAAATACACCACTGATTTTACCTGCTGTGTTAATAGGTGCATGTCAATGCAGTGGCAGCTTAAACAGTGGTAACACATTAAATTTCCAGAAAATCATTGCTGCTTATCTGGGGTTTTCTGATATCAACATGTTATATACACTTTTGGAGGACCACTAATAACAATATAACTAGAGATGAGCGAATCGAACTTGGCGAAGTGGAATTCGTTTCGAATATTAGGAAAAATTCGATTCGCATCGAATCCGAATTTTAGCAAACTTCGGATGCACGAATCGAATTTTTCCCGATCAGCCGGCAAAAGTGTCACTGCAGAGAGCTCCGCTATTTCTGACAGTTCTCTGACAGTTCTGACAGTTCATTTACAGCGGTTGAAACATTGTATCTATTTGTTTCCATTTAGGATACAGATGTTTTTATTTCGGAAATAAATAGATACAATGTTTCAACCGCTGTAAATGTGAAGAACTGTCAGAGAACTGTCAGAAATAGCGGAGCTCTCTGCAGATACACTTTTTGCTGTACTGGAATTCTTCTTCTTTTCATTCTTCTTCTTCTTTTCATTCCTCTTCTTCTTTTCATTCTTCTTTTCATTCTTCTTCTTCTTCTTTTCATTCTTCTTCTTTTCATTTTCTTCTTCTTTTTCATTTTCATTCTTCTTTTCATTCTTCTTCTTCTTCTTCTTCTTCTTCTTCATATTTTTCTTCTTCTTCTTTTCATTCTTCTTCTTCTTCTTTTCATTCTTCTTCTTCTTCTTTTTCATTCTTTCATTCTCTTTTTAATTCTTCTTTTCATTCTTCTCATTCTTTTCTTTTAATTCTTCTTTTCATTTTTCTTCTTCTTCTTTTCATTCTTCTTCTTCTACTTTTCATTCTTCTTCTTCTTTTCATTCTTTTTCTTCTTCTTTTCATTCTTCTTCTTCTTCTTTTCATTCTTCTTTTTCATTCTTCTTTTCATTCTTCTTCTTTTCATTCTTCTTTTCATTCTTCTTCTTCTTTCATTCTTCCTTCTTCTTTTTCATTTCTTCTTCTTCTTCTTCTTCTTTTCATTCTTCTTCTTTTCATTCTTCTTTCATTCTTCTTTTCATTTTCTTCTTCTTCTTTTCATTCTTCTTCTTCTTTTCATTCTTCTTCTTCTTCCTTCTTTTCATTCTTCTTTTTCTTCTTTTCATTCTTCTTTTCATTCTTCTTTTCTTCTTTTCATTCTTCTTCTTCTTCTTTTTCATTCTTCTTTTCATTCTTCTTTTCTTTTCATTCTTCTTCTTCTTCTTTTCATTCTTCTTTTCATTCTTCTTCTTCTTCTTTTCATTCTTCTTCTTCTTCTTTTCATTCTTCTTCTTTCATTCACTTCTTATTTTTTCTTCTCATCTCTTTTTTCATTCTTCTTCTTCTTCTTTCAATTCTTCTTTTCATTCTTCTTCTTCTTTTTTTCATTCTTCTCATTCTTCTTTTCATTTCTTCTTCTTCTTCTTTTCATTCTTCTTCTTCTTCTTCTTTTCATTCTTTTCTTCTTTTCATTCTTCTTTTTTTCTTCTTCTTCTTCTTTTCATTCTTCTTTTCATTCTTTTTCATTCATTCTTTTCTTCTTCTTCTTTTCATTCTTCTTCTTTTCATTCTTCTTCTTTTCTTTTCATCTTCTTTTCATTCTTCTTTTCATTCTTCTTCTTTTCATTCTCTTTTCATTCTTCTTTTCATTCTTCTTCTTTTCATTCTCTTCTTCTTCTTCTTCTTTTCATTCTTCTTCTTCTTTTCATTCTTCTTTTCATTTTCTTCTTCTTCTTTTCCTTCTTCTTCTTTTCATTTCATTCTTCTTTTCATTCTTCTTCTTCTTCTTTTCATTCTTCTTTTTCTTCTTTTTCATTCTTTTTTCATTCTTCTTTTCTTCTTCTTTCATTCTTCTTTTCATTCTTCTTTCTTCTTCTTCTTTTCTTTTCATTCTTCTTCTCATTCTTTCTTTTCATTCTTCTTTTTCATTCTTCTTCTTCTTCTTTTTTTTTTCTTCTTCTTCTTTTCATTCTTCTTTTCATTCTTCTTCTTCTTTTCATTCTTCTTTTCATTCTTCTCATTCTTCTTCTTTTATTCTTCTCATTCTTCTTTTCATTTTCATTCTTCTTCTTTCATTCTTCTTCTTCTTCTTTTCATTCTTCTTCTTTCATTCTTCTTCTTTTCATTCTTCTTCTTCTTTTCATTCTTCTCATTCTTCTTTTCATTCTTCTTCTTTTCATTCTTCTTCTTCTTCTTTTCATTCTTCTTTTCATTCTTCTTCTTTTCATTCTTCTTCTTTTCATTCTTCTTTTCATTCTTCTTCTTTTCATTTCTTCTTCTTCTTCTTTTCATTCTTCTTCTTCTTCTTTTCATTCTTCTTTTCATTCTTCTTCTTCTTTTCTTTCTTCTTCTTCTTCTTTTCATTCTTCTTTTCATTCTTCTTCTTCTTCTTTTCATTCTTCTTCTTCTTCTTTTCATTCTTCTTTTCATTCTTCTTTTCATTCTTCTTCTCATTCTTCTTTTCATTCTTCTTCTCATTCTTCTTCTTCTTTTCATTCTTCTTTCTCATTCTTCTTTTTCATTCTTCTTCTTCTTCCTTTCATTCTTCTTCTTCTTCTTTTCATTTTTCTTCTTCTTCTTTTCATTCTTCTTTTCATTCTTCTTCTTCTTTTCATTCTTCTTCTTCTTCTTCTTCTTCTTTTCATTCTTCTTCTTCTTCTTCTCATTCTTCTTTTCATTCTTCTTCTCTTCTTCTTCGTCGCCCCGTGACTGCCCAAATGAGTGAAGTGTGCGGTGATTCTAAGATCGACGGCACTCATCTGCATGTCATACTGACTGACAGTATTATTTCTCTTCCCCAGCAGACTCCAAGGGCATTTAAATTAAAGGTACAGTGTTCTGCACTAATATAAAGGCTCTCTGAAGCCTAGAAACCCTTTTAATAAGTTAAATTCGCATTGAATCAAATTCTCCCGCAAATTCGGCGAATCAGCCGAATCGAATTTTTGAATAATTCGCTCATCTCTAAATATAACCAATAAGGATTCCAGCAGACAGGCTATACCTTACCTCTGCCAAAGAACATGTTCCAATCGGCCCCCCTCTCTGCTCACCAACCTACGCAATCCTCCCTCCCAACATTCTTTTCCTAGATCTCACCCCAATACTCACCTATCTACAGCTCCACACAAAGCTCTGCTCACCTGCACATTACTAAGCCTTATGCAGGCCATACATGGGCCAAATTCCGAACAAAATTTTCTTTAGAAAATCAGAAATTTCGTGCAGTTTGTAATCCGATGGTGCCACCATTTATTTTGAAATTTGACCAACCAAGCCTTTAATTTCACCTCTTTGCTACAGAAAAGAATTTCTGTGGCCAAGAACTGTCTTTTTCTTTCCAGGTCACAGATCATTTCTTTTTCGATTATATTTCTCACACGATTCTCCCATCATTGATTGGAAATTGTTTCATTTTTCAAAAAATTTCCACCATGCCCAATCACTCAAATTCGATGGTCACTTGAAAATTGGCCATTGCTGTGGCCCACTAATGGTGTGAAATTCGAACAAAAATTCTTAAAGATTTTCAAAAGAAAAATTCTTTCGGAATTCGACTCATGTTTGGCCGGCTTTACACTCAATCATCAAAAGAATTTATATATATATATACTTGTGAGCTACTATGATAAAAACCTAAGATTTTCTAATTGATTGTATATATAAAGTGATGAACAAAATATAACACACCTGTGGTTCGCTGGCACTCACACCAACTCATTAAACAGTGTTCTGTGACTAAAGATAAATATACTGATAGTGCCGCGCTCCTATATAAATTATCTGTAGTAACTTATGCTATTATTTCCAAATCAATTGATAAACGGATTGATAAATAAAATAAAAAAAAATGAATAAATAAATTATATATGATGCAGGAATTGATTGTCTATTGCCTATAACACCATATAAAAATAATAATACATAACTGTGCTGGTGATTATTTGTGAAATCTAATGGTGAGACAAAGTCAATATATACATGCACATAAACAGTCCTCTTACAATGTAAATTACAATGGTGAAATACTACTCCCACAATCCAAATGCAGTGTGATCTTAGTATGCGCTCACCTTATGTTTTGCCTAACTATATAGGCAAAACTAGCTTTTTGTCCTTATAGGACTGATGAAATAATCTTCCTGTGTGAGGTTTTCCGAATGACAAATGGATAGTTGTAATTAGATCTTAATCCACCTGGGTTCTCTGCAGTAAATGTAACTGATGCTTGAAAGGAATGGATGGATGGATGGATATATCCCTTTTTCCCCTCCAGAGGTCTCCTTCCTCCTGTATCAATCTCTCTCCAGCATGTCACGGATGGATTACATAAGAGAAAAAGAAACCATGGTGCCTTATCCTTTTTAAAAGATATATTTTATTGCTGATGGATATACCACTCACATTGATTTAGTATGCAGTAAGCTAAAAGAGTGACAGCATGCCCTGCAGTCTCTGCTATACTCACCGTACTTATCCGAGAAAACATTGTGACGTCAGAGCCCCTCCCCTATGTGTTGCGTCACCGGGTCACGTGACTTCATCAGGGGGATACGAATCGTAATCGTAGCATAAGTCACTACAGATCATTTATATAGGAGTGCGGCACTATCAGTATACACTCAATCATCACCACCCTTTACTGGACACCAGCTACCAAAACAATGGCAGAGAAAGAAAAATAATTGCATGACATTAACAAATTGTGCTACTGTATGCGTGGTTGGTGTTTACAACCTAGTCTGCTCCAAAATGACCTTTGTAACTATTATTATGATAATTATACAGGATTTATATAGCACCAACACTTTGCTCAGCGCTTTACAATATACAGGGATAAAATACAGCAACAATGCAATTCAATACAAGAGGCTTAGGAGGGCCTGATTCTGGGAGCTTACAATCTAATAGGGAGTGGCTGGTGGAACTAAAGGTAATCTGGGAGAAATAAAAGATTTGGTTATTAGCTGAAGGCAATATAGGCTTCCCTGAAGAGATGAGTATTTAGGGATCGCCTAAAAGTAGACAGAGTAGCGGATAGCTGGAACAGATTGGAGTAGGGAGTTCTAGAGGATGGGAGAGGCTCTGGAGAAGTCCTTGAAATTTTTGAAATTATGCACATCTCCACTAGTTTCCTACAAATTGGCTTTACTACCATGAATGCGTAGTTGGTGCTTACAACCTAGTCTTCTACAAACTGGCTTTACTACCATGAATGCGTAGTTGGTGCTTACAACCTAGTCTCTCCTACAAACTGGCTTTACTACCATGCATGCGTAGTTGGTGCTTACAACTTAGTCTCCTACAAATGGCTTTACCACCATGCATGCGTAGTTGGCGCTTACAACCTAGTCTCCTACAAACTGGCTTTACTACCATGCATGCGTAGTTGGTGATTACAACCTAGTCTCCTATAAACTATCTTTACTACCATGCATGCGTAGTTGGCGCTTACAACCTAGTCTCCTACAAACTAGCTTTACTACCATGCATGCGTAGTTGGTGATTACAACCTAGTCTCCTATAAACTATCTTTACTATGCATGCGTAGTTGCGATTACAACCTAGTCTCCTACAAACTGGCTTTACTACCATGCATGCGTAGTTGGTGCATACAACCTAGTCTCCTATAAACTGTCTTTACTACCATGCATGCGTAGTTGGCGCTTACAACCTAGTCTCCTACAAACTGTCTTTACTACCATGCATGCATAGTTGGTGCATACAACCTAGTCTCCTCCAAACTGTCTTTACTACCATGCATGCGTAGTTGGTGATTACAACCTAGTCTCCTATAAACTGTCTTTACTACCATGCATGCGTAGTTGGTGCTTACGACCTAGTCTCCTACAAACTGGCTTTACTACCATGCATGCGTAGTTGGTGCTTATGACCTAGTCTCCTACAAACTGGCTTTACTACCATGCATGTGTAGTTGGCGCTTATAACCTAGTCTCCTACAAACTAGCTTTACTACCATGCATGCATAGTTGGCGATTACAACCTAGTCTCCTACAAACTGGCTTTATTACCATGCATGCGTAGTTGGCGATTACAACCTAGTCTCCTACAATCTGGCTTTATTACCATGCATGCGTAGTTGGCGCTTACAACCTAGTCTCCTACAAACTTGCTTTACTACCATGCATGCGTAGTTGGTGCATACAACCTAGTCTCCGCCAAACTGGCTTTACTACCATGCATGCGTAGTTGGTGATTACAACCTAGTCTCCTACAAACTGGCTTTACCACCATGAGGGTGTAGTTGGCGCTTATAAACCAGTCTCACACAAAATGGCTTTATTACTATGCATGTGTGGGTGACACTTACAGCCTAGTTTCCTACAAAATGGCTTTACTACTCTGCATGTGTGGTTGCTGCCTTTGTATAAAGCAAAATCAATTTCTATGGAAGACTAGGCCGTTAGCTTCCACCACACATATACGGGTGCAGAGCATAATTATTTTCCCTGCTCTGCTGCTGTATTAGTTACTGGTGTCAAGAGAAGAAGTGAGAGGGTGGTGGGGATTGCCCAGCAGGCTGAATGATCTGTGCAAACGCCATGATGTAGGAGATCAGCCAGGAAGCAGCCACCACGCATGCATGGTGCTACCATATTTTACTCACCATTGCAGTGGAAAACTTTGTGCATGCTTGAGGCAGTAAATTCTTTTAATTAATTAATTTTATTTCAATTTGGAGGTTAATTTGTCTGCTTCAAGTACCAAAGCATTGAAATCAGTATACCAATAGCATTAATGTGTGCAGAATTATTTTGGAAACTATTTTCATAAATTCTTGTGAGGCTGGAAACATAATCATTTTCTTTAACAATAACGATGGGATATGTGTTGTCTGATCTGCCCATAGATATCTATGCATTTGGCATTGGTACGGACGTCGACAGGGGAGAACTGAGTGAAATAGCATCTCAGAAGGAGAAGGAGAGGCACATGTTCATACTGCAAGAAGCAGAGGGCATAGAGCGAGTCTTCCAGGAGATAACAAGTATGGTCTTATACTGCTCTTCTTCTTGCACCACAGCAGTCTATAATCTTTCTCTCTAAGAGGTCATTACTTATCTGAATATACACCAATCAGCTATAACTTTAGGACCCCCCTCACCTAATATTGAGTAGGTCCCCCTTTTGCTGCCAAAACAGCCCTGACCCATTGGGGCATGGATGCCACTAGACCTCTGAAGGTATACTGTGATATCTGGCACTAAGCATTCAGTAGCAGATCCTTTAAATCCTATAAATTGCAAGGTGGGTCCTCCTTGGATTAAACTTGTGCTTCCAGCACATCCCACAGATGTTCAGTTTGGATTGAGATCTGAAGGCCAAGTCAATACTTTAACTTCATTGTTGTGTTCCTCAAACCATTCTTGAACCATTTTTTTTCAGTATGGCAGTGTGCATTATCCTGCTGAAAGAGGCCACTGCCATCAGGGAATACATTTTCCAGGAAGGGGTGTACTTGGTCACCAACAATGTTTTGGTAGGTGGTACGTATTAAAGCAACATCCACATGAATGGCAGGATCCAAGAGTTCCCAGGAGAACATTGCTCACAGCATCACACTGCCTGCCTCTGCTGGCTTGCCTTTTTTCCCATACTACATCCTGGTTTCATCTCTTCGCTAGGTACATGCAGGGGTGCATTACCACAAGGCAAACAAGGCATTTGCCTAGGGCGACATTTTTTTTAGGGGAACAGAACCATGGGGACCAGGTGGGCTCTGAGAGAGGTTGCAGGCTACCTGCCGGTGTATGCAGAGCCTGACTCTCATTCCAAGGGATGTCTGGAGCTGTGAAGGCAAGTGTCTTTCTCTCTATTGGTGGGGTGGGGGGTGGTGTGGTCAGTGTATGGAGGGTGGTGGTAGTGGAAGGCTTTCTCCGGTGGGGGGTCAGGGGGGGTGTTGGTTGATGTCAGGCTCTCTCCGTGGGGGGGCTTTCAATTTTGTGTTGCCCAGGGCAGCACAAAACCTAAATACACCACTGGGTACATGACGCACACTCACCCAGCCTTCCACATGATGTAAGAGAAAAAATGATTCATCAGACCAGGCCACCCTCTTCCATTGCTCCACAGTCTAGGTCTGAGGCTCATGTGCCCATTGCTGTTGGCACGGATCAGCATGGGCTACCCTGTCCAGTCTCTGACTACACAGCCCCATACACAACAAACTGCAATGCCCATTTTTTTTGCTTTCAACACATCAGCTTCATGGACAACATGTTTACTTGCATCCTAATATATCCCATCAACTTTCAGATGCCTTTCAGAATATAACTGGATACTAACATTTATAGGTAAAGTTGATCCAGGGAATATCCGATTGCCTCTCGGGGGATCAGGAAGGAATTTTTTTCCCCTGCAGGAGCAAATTGGACCATGCTTTGCTGGGTTTTTTTTTGCCTTCCTCTGGATCAACTGTGGGTATAGGACTATTAACTTTTTTTCTTTTTAATGGTTGAACTGGATGGACTTTTGTTTTTTTTCAGCCAGACTAACTATGTAACTATGTAATGAGATAATCAGTGTTATTCACTTAACCTGTCAGTGGTCATAAAGTTATGACTGACCAGAGTATATCAGGAGCATGCTGTACAGCTCGAACACTTACTGATGGCACTGTGTTCCCCAGACTTGAATGGTGTAATTCCAATGTCCACCAGCAGGTGTCTCCCAGCAGCCAGCGGGTCTTGCAAATAGTCACCCCCTAGTGCTGGGAGGCTATTTAGAACCACCTATGGGTCCACCTAGTACTTCAGCATTTGGTCTGTGCACCCTTTACTCTTATATTCTGAACCTGTCTGATCTGTACTGCCTATACTTGTCCTGACTTGGTCCAACCTTCATTCCCTCCACCATCCAGCCTTTCCACCTGACCTTGCTTTACCTTGTTTCCCTTTACCTGTTTCCCTGCAGTTGTTGCTGTATATATCGTTTATTAGTATACAGGTGAAACTCAAAAAATTAGAATATCGTGCAACAGTTCATTTATTTCAGTAAGGCAACTTAAAAGGTGAAACTAATATATGAGATAGACTTATTACATGCAAAGCAAGATAGTTCAAGCCGTGATTTGTCATAATTGTGATGATTATGGCTTACAGCTCATGAAAACCCCAAATCCACAATCTCAGAAAATTAGAATATTACATGCAATCAATAAAACAAGGATTGTACATAGAACAATATCGGACCTCTGAAAAGTATAAGCATGCATATGTACTCAGTACTTGGTTTGGGCCCCTTTTGCAGCAATTGCTGCCTCAATGCGGTGTGGCATGGAAGCTATCAGCCTGTGGCACTGCTGAGGTGTTATGGAAGACCTGGATGCTTCAATAGCGGCCTTCAGCTCTTCTGCATTGTTCGGTCTCATGTCTCTCATCTTTCTCTTGGCAATTCAAGACTTGGTTCAGGTCAGGCGAGTTTGCTGGCCAGTCAAGCACAGTAATCCCACGGTCATTGAACCAGATTTTGGTGCTTTTGGCAGTGTGGGCAGGTGCCAAGTCCTGCTGGAAAATGAAATCAGCATCCCCATAAAGCTCGTCTGCGGAAGGAAGCATGAAGTGCTCCAAAATCTCCTGGTAGACGGCTGCGTTGACCCTGGACTTAATGAAGCACAGTGGACCAACACCAGCAGATGACATGGCTCCCCAAATCAACACAGACTGTGGAAACTTCACACTGGACTTCAAGCATCTTGCAGTGTGTGCCTCTCCATTCTTCCTCCATACTCTGGCTTCTTGGTTTCCAAATGAGATGCAAAAGTTGCTTTCATCAGAAAAGAGAACTTTGGACCACTGAGCAACAGACCAGGTCTGTTTTTCTTCAGCCCAAGTAAGACGCTTCTGACGTTGTTTGTTGTTCAGGAGCGGCTTGACAAGAGGAATGCGACATTTGAAGCCCATGTCCAGGATCCGTCTGTGTGTGGTGGCTCTTGATGCACTGACTCCAGCCTCAGTCCACTCCTTGTGAAAGTCCCCAACACTTTTGAATGGCCTTTTCCTGACAATCCTCTCCAGGCTGCGGTCATCCCTGCTGCTTGGGCACCTTTTTCTTCCACACTTTTCCCTTCCACATAACTTTCTATTAATGTGCTTTGATACAGCACTTTGGGAGCATCCAACTTATATTGCAATTACCTTTTGAGGCTTTCCCTCCTTATGGAGGGTGTCAATGATGGTTTTCTGCACAACTGTCAGGTCAGCAGTCTTTCCCATGATTGTGATTCCTACTGAACCAGACTGAGAGACCATTTAAAGGCTCAGGAACCCTTTGCAGGTGTTATGGCTTAATTAGCTGATTAGAGTGGGACACTTTGAGCCGAGAATATTGCACCTTTTCACAATATTCTAATTTTCTGAGATTGTGGATTTGGGGTTTTCATGAGCTGTAAGCCATAATCATCACAATTATGACAAATCACGGCTTGAACTATCTTGCTTTGCATGTAGTGAGTCTATCTCATATATTAGTTTCACCTTTTGCACGATATTCTAATTTTTCGAGTTTCACCTGTATGTATAAACATGGAGACTGTACAAAGAGGTGGAAAGAGACAAGCATTTTGCATATTTCATTAAAAAATAAAACTAATCATGCTTGAAAATGTGTTACAGATATTAAGAACTATGGAGAAATGTGCGGCCTGAATGATGAGAGCACAGATGCAGACACAAATGACGAGAGCTCAGATACAAATAATCCGAAAAAACATCCGTGGAATGTGTTAATTAGTGTGAGTGAAAAAAAAAAAAAAAAGAACCTATTCATTATAAAGGACTAAAATAAGTGCTTCATTTACAATCCATATTGCGGCTGAAATAGTAGATATCCATAAATAGTGGCTTGTGCACTGAACCATTTTTTTTTTGTTAAATATTTGCATTTACTTGCCAGCTGCCTGTGAGCATCAGGAAAACAAATAGTATCAGGCAAAAAAGAAAAACAAAAAACATGGGCCCATGCAGGGCTGTGGATAAGGGGGTACCACCAGTCTTCCTGTATGGGGCCCAGGCCAGAATTGGGGCCCAGGCAGCTGGGTGAATCGGATGTGGGCAGAAAGGGTGATCAGAACAGTGGGGGAAGGGCAATTACTGGAACCAATCCCCTGTATGGCTCTCTGCAGCAGCTGAAAGCTGGCTTCTTCTCCTTTCCTTCTTGCTTTCAGCTGCTGCAGAGAGAGCCATACGGGGGATCGGTTCCAGTATTTGTCCACCACCGCAACCATCACCCTCCCTGTGCACCATATGTTTCCCCCTTCTGCTCAGGCTCCCCTGTGTGCCCCCACCCCCCACAGTGCTGCCAGGTTCTGTGCTCTCCTTCCCACTGGCAGCTGCAAGCACACAATAGAATCATTCAGGATGGAGAGTGGGGGAAGGGTCCGGTCACATTTACCAGCCCCTTCCTTTACTGAATTAACACGATGAGTGATTGGTACCAATCACTGTGGTCATTCATAACTGAAGCATAGTAAACTGTGGGTTTTTTTTTTTGGGAGGAGCTTTCAGGTTGGCTGTATGTGGCCTGTTTCTAACAGCAGCCCTGAAGCCCGGGGCCCATTTGTGTAGAAGTGCTCTGGATCTTTTGCACATGTCCACCATCCCTCAATCCAATAGGGTCAATAGAGAATCTCAGATTTATTTGGTGGATGCAAGCTGGAGAGTTTGAACCTATCACTGTGAAGGGTGTTAAGTCCAAACTGACAACTCATGGGGCCCCCGGGCAATAGGGGATCATGGGGCCCCTGTGTCCTTGCCCCAACTCAACAAAGCCTATGAAAGGGGTACCAGGGGCATCACATGGGCCCCCCTACTGACCCCGGGCCCTCGGGCAGTGCCCGAGTTTTCAAATAGTCAGTCCGCCCCTGGTCCAAACTCAAGTACACCAGTTATGGATTTTCAATGGGTCACTGATTAACAGGTAGAAAAGTTGATACAATTAATTTAATTGCAATGGACAGGAATTTACAAGAATGCTGAACTTCTGGCAGGATCAACATTTTTCTGTAATTGCAGAAAATGTGCTTAGCCTGAAAAATAAATGAATGCAGCCATCACATCCAAGGATTGTAATCTGCAATATATTACATTTTTGCTCTTGGTTTCGTGGCCCAGAAAAGGGGCCTCCTTTGTTCGTGGCCCAGAAAAGGGGTCTCCAAACTTTTCAGGGCCACTACAAGTATTTTATAAATCAGGGTCGGGGGGGGGGGGGGGGGGGGAGACAGGGCAGACCTCTAGTGTAGTAAAGGTACTCAAAAGCTTTATTATGAACAGAATAAACATACTCACATAACTAAAGAGAAAAGGCGTATATAGTCAAAGGGAGCAAGCCCTCTCTATCACACAGCAGTCCAATGGAGGATGGGTGGAAGGGCGGCCACAGCATCCGGACCACTGTGTAGCTGGCAAATCGAAAGCTTCACCATGTGCCTGGCGTCTCGCTTCCCACTTGACTTCCTCATTCCCAATAGAAAGAGCATAGTGGTCCCCTGTGATTGTTGGGGTCGCAGAAAAAGTTTTGAGGACTCCTTCTTCTTCTATGTTACAAAAAAATTGTTATTATGAATAAATAACATTCAAATGAAAAACTAAAAAGTCTCTAATAAATAACCTCACATCAGAAGCCCACATCATCCGTGTCCCCACTTTCAAATCAGAGCCACTTTCACATCAAAGACCCCTCCCCCTTCACATCAAAAGCCCCCATCACATTACAGCTCCTCCTTCACATCAGAATGAACCCTTCAGTTCAGAGTCACCCTCTCACATATGGGACAAGCTGTTCCTGGCCCGGTAAAACATTGTAGTGGATCAGAAGTGGCCTGCAGGCCGTCTTTAGAAGACCCCCGGTTTAGATGGCTGGAATTGGCTTTACATGTGTTTTTTTTTTTTTTTATTTATACCAGAAGTTGAGTTTTAACTGTTTTGGATTAGATCTGATTAATGTATTTGTGTTTCCCAGAATCCATTATCAAGCTGTTGCTTCGGGTCCCTTATCTCCAGCCAATGGGTCATCTCTGCTGCTCACTGTTTTAGAGACTTCGCGTGGGACCAATACACATTTACAATTGGTAAATATACAGTATGAGCTATGTGCGGGAGCATGATGAATAAAATGTCATCATTTTACAGATCTAACTGATAAAGGTGTCAAACGTCTGCTATTCCACAGTAAAATCTTTTTTTTTCTTAAAAATAACAAACATGTTATACTTACCTGCTCTGTGCAGTCATTTTACACAGAGCAGCCCAAGTCTTCCTCTTCTCGAGTCCTCCAACGGTGCTCCTGGCCCCTCCCTCCTTTCGGGGTGCCCTTTGAGCAAACAGCTTGCTAAGGGGGCACCCGGGTAGGCTCGCTCTCCGTGTCCATTCACACACGGAGCCGCAGCTCGTCCCTCTCCTGATTGGCTTACTGGCTGTGATTGGCTCCCGCTGCATCCTCAGCCAATCAGGAGTGAGAGTCCCTGGAGAACCAAGGCTGTCATGGACATCACTGAATCAAGAGGGGCTCAGGTAAGTGTTCGGGGGCTGTGGGGGGCTGCTAAACACAAAAGGTTTTTTTACCTTTATACATTGAATGCAAGAGGGTAAAAAACCTTTGAGACTTTAGAACCACTTTAAAATGCATGTCAAGCCAAAAAAAATGTTTTTTTTCTTGTTTTGGATAGACTACTATCTGGGAGTTTAATTTTGGGGATTTCTTCTCCCTTCCTGTCCTGCCAAAAATTGTTTCACCAACTAGGAAGTGAGAGAAGAACTGCAACAAGAACACAGACAGAAATACTAATCCCTGAGATAGTGGATTGAATGGAACTGGGACCCTAGGTGGATTCTGCTTAGTACCTATGGTTGGTATTGTCACAATACTCTACTACTATTATCCCAATGAGGCATCTGGGAGATGTGTGGGCTGCTTCCATACACTGAGGGACCTCCACCGAAAACCTCTGGAAATTGGTATATTGGTTGGATCAAAGATTTGTATTGCCACACTGACACAAAATCCAAATTAGAAGATTATTATTCTAATGGAAGATTATTTCCAAAACATGTAGTGAACACAATATCCAACGCGTTTTGGGGGCCTCACCCCTCCCCCTTCATCAGGACTACAATGAGATATGAAGAATATATAAAAACTTTAAAATAACGGTAAATATACCAATAAAAAAATAATAATAATAAAAATGATACCTAATAATAATAATTATGAAAGTAAATGTGGTATATATTATTTATACTGTATTGTATTATATATTATATCTGTATTTATTGGTAATATCCAAAGAAAGAATTTTTAAAAAATAAAAAATATATACTATGCAACTGCTAGAAAAAAAAGGAAAAGGTTCATACCTTAAGAAAATGGCTGTTGAAGAACTAAAAAAAAAAAATGAACTGGGGTTCTAGCCTCCCCTTACTCTACTGAAGAAAAGCATTTTTATTTTTGTCTGTGTTGTTGCTGGAAAGTTCCCCTCACTTGCTGTCTGGTAAACGCTCTCAGCAGGACAGGAAGGATGTCAGCAATGGCAGGTTTTCCCTATAGTGTATGTGGTGGGAAGAAAAAGAATGGGACAGTGCTGGGTTTCCATTGGTTAAAGAAGGTGTTAAAAACGCACCATATTACCTCCAAGCCGCCTGTCAAATGCCTCTGAAAAGCATCCCACTGTGGATAGCCTTTAAGAAGGGCTGTAAACTCCACCACACATGCAAACAAAGGAAACCTGCTCTTGATATGACGACTGCCAATGTTCACATTTTTGTAAAAATGGCAGTTGCTTTTTTTGAAGGAGGAAAGGAGCGAACAGCACAGTGTCTCAGACTTGTCTTGTAGCACTGCAGTTCTCAGTTTGAACCCCAGCCAGGACACTGCCGGCATGGAGTTTACATGTTCTCGCTGTGCTTGTTTGGGCTTCCTCGGTTACTCTAGTTTCCTTTCACACTCCATGTCTAAATTTATTTATTTCAGGTACTTATATAGTGCCGTCAATTTACACAGCGCTTTACATATATATTGTACATTCACATCAGTCCCTAACCCTCAAGGGGCTTACAATCTAAGGTCCCTAACGTATATTTATACATACTGGGGCCAATTTAGACAGGAGCCAATTCTCCTGTGTGGGAGGAAACCCACACAGGCACAGGGAGAACATGCAAACTCCAGGCAGTTGCTGTTTTGGCTGGGATTCGAACCAACAACACTAGTGCTGCCAGGTGCTACCCATTTAGCCACTAGTATATGTATATGAGATGGGGAACTTAGACTGTAATCACCTATTGGTGCGGACTGATATAAATGTGCAGTATGTAAAATGTTGTGCTAATTGACAGCCCCATGTAAATACCTGTAATAAATAAACTCAAGGACCAGGGGGTGAGATTTCTAAAGATCCTGACTGCAAAGTGAAATTCTGCTGCCACCTTTGCAAAGGAAAAAAACACTTTTTTACACATACAGAACATCAGAAAATGAATCCTCTAGGTCAGGGGTTCTTAACCTTGGGTCCATGAACCCCTATGTGGTCCATGGATGGGTTTCAAGTCGTCTGTTAGGGTCAGTTAAATAAAACAAATAACAATTACATTCACCATACAGTCAGTTCACTATACATCACTCCTCCTTGCCCCAATCCATGGTTTCCCATTGAAAAAATGTACCCTACCACTGCTTACAGCGCCGACCACTAAGCGTCTCTAGACTCGTTGTTGGCCATGTTTTCCATTTAAATATGTATCTTCCTTCTTTGCACAACCACCATCCATGGCCACTCATGAATAGCAAGTGCTAATTCTCATTCTCTAGTAGTAGTCATGGCTGGTGCCAGCATGAGGCTGCTTAGGCAGTCATCTTAGGGTGCCAGGATAGGGGTCTAAAAAATCCAAGTTCCCAGCCACTTGCTGGGGATTTGGTTTTTTACCCCTTTCTGCTGCCTGTTCAAACCAGTGTTTGTGCTGGGAGCATGCTGCACAGTGCGCTCCCAGCACAGAGACGGGCTCTCACCAAGAGATCGGGTCCTGTACTAATGAATTGGGACTCCTGGTTCCTGATCACCTGTTCACTATGATAGCATCTGATTGGCTATCACAGTGATCAGTCACTGCGCAGCCCGCCCATGTGTTTTTTTTTTTTTCTTCTCTGAATGAAGAGAAAGATACCTTGTATACACAGAGAAAGATGTAAACAAACAAAAGTGGGTAAAAAATAAATAAAATAATTAAAAAAAAAAAAGAAGAAATTGGTCCATAACTCAAAAAAAGGTTGGGTTCTAGTTAACAGGACACTATGCTGTACCCTCTACTGGTTTCTCTGTAGAAATATTTACTAAGGCCGGTGACAATAGTAGCTTGGCTTTCACCTGAGATTTTAGCTTGTTGTAGCTTTTCGGAACAGAGGGGGGCAATGAATACTCAACCTGTTTTGAACCTATTCGATCTGCAGGTGAGAAGTGTTTAAGAGGAGTTGTCTCTTTATTCTTCCATTGTTCTATTACGTAATCACAAGCTCTTCTTCTTCATATATTTTTAGGATCAAAATTGTATAAAGGGAAACGGATAGAGATCCATAAATGTTACAATATTACCAGCAAGTCAGACAGAGGGATAAAGGAGAATTATGACTATGATGTGGCTCTTGTGGAATTGAACGAGAAAGTGGAATTCAGCAAAATTGCCAGGTAGGATGGGCTCTGTGTTTACTGTCATGACACTGTTAGGACGACACCCAGGACAGTAGGGCTGGGGGCATCAAACCTTAAAGCAGAGGTGGACACCCTTTGAGAGGTGGAGATCTACCATGACAACATCGAAGACAGCCAATATCACCGGGGTGCCGCAGCCTTTTTTTTTTTTTTTAGCAACACGGTTTTCAATACTACAGCTCTGATCTATATAGGCTATTATCTGATCGCTCAGCTCCTGCACACTCTGCAAAATCAACAATCTATGGCTGAGTATTTAGTGAGAATGGTATTCACTGACTGCATTGGAAAAACATGCACCTGAGGAGGTGGGTGGTAATGATCTGCTGGAAGGGCAGAGGCAGGGTGTGTGCTAATGAGGTGAGCTGGTAAACTCCTTCCTATGTCATGTCCTATGGCAAGGGTGTCAAAGTCTGTTTCGTTGTAGGCCACATCAGCATGATGATGATGAGTGGTTGCTGTGGCTGCACAGGATCTGTAGGAGGAGTTCTGTCTTCCTCTCCGCTGCCGAGTGCTAAGACAAGTTGGAGGCGGAGACAGGCGGGGTGCCGCAGCTGCAAGAGATGTGAGGGCTACATGAAATGGCCTAGTGGGCCAGATTTGCCCCGTGGGCCTTGTGTTTGATATATGTGTCCTAAGGTCAGTCCAGGAAGTAATGGAGAAGTTTTTTTATACAACAAGCTGGACTCTGAGGTAACAGGTGTGTAAAATAAATAGAAAGCTTTTTTATTTCTGCAAAAGAAGTACATTAATGGTATACTGGTACACAGGGGAGCTGGAACTTGACGCCGGCGTCACACAAATATGTGGCCTCACAGAACTGGGCTTTTTTCCGTGGGGCGGCATATTTGCGTACCTGTCTTTGTGCTGCGGATCCGCAGCGGCACAACCCACAGACATGTGAACCTAGCCTTAGACGTGATTTATTTTGCATTCAAGTCAATAGGGGGTATTTCTGCATGAAAGTCTATGAGACGCTGTTTTGCATTGAAGTCACTAGGGGGTGTTTCTGCATGAAAGTCTATGAGACGTGACTTTGCATGTAAGTCTATAAGACGGAGTTTTGCATTGAAGTCACTAGGGGGGTGTTTCTGCATGAAAGTCTATGAGACGCGACTTTGCATGTAAGTCTATAAGACGCGGTTTTGCATTGAAGTCACTAGGAGGTGTTTGTGCATGAAAGTCTATGAGACGCGACTTTGCATGTAAGTCAATAAGACGCAGTTTTGCATTGAAGTCACTAGGGGGGTGTTTCTGCATGAAAGTTTATGAGACGCGACTTTGCATGTAAGTCTATAAGACGCCGTTTTGCATTGAAGTCACTAGGGGGTGTTTCTGCATGAAAGTCTATGAGATGCAACTTTGCATGTATTGGCACCATTATCAGCACCTTTTTTTCCTATTGGCAAAATCCTGATAACACCATTATCGGACAATATGTTTCGACTGCTGGTATATTTGTGCATCACTACCACCCTTGCTTGCTGTCCTGCTGACAGCGTACCAGATATGAAGTGTGGAGCTCTCCAACACAGGCAGTAGAGTAGAGGTATGCTAGAACCCTTGTTAGATATTATTTCTGTCTGTGTCCCTGTTGCAGATTTTCCCTCACTTCCTGTCTGGCCAAACCATTGTCAAAGGGACATAAAATGCGAGAAAATCTTTCTAATGGAGTCCATGGATAGCTGTAAAAGCCAGACAGAGGGCATAGCCTTTCCTCATGCTAAACGAAAAAAAAAAAAAAGATTTTGGCAGGACATACCCTTTAAATTCATCAGGATTGCTGTAGAGAAAATGGGAAGCAATGAATGTTGAGAGGAGTCACAAGGCTCTTTACAGTTCAGGAAGCATGAACCATCTCTGCTTTCACGTGGTTGTTGGCCTGTACAGCTGAAAAAGTATCCTGAACATACAGCAGACTCCATGCTCCCCTCAAGAACACATACTAGCAATAGTTTTTACTACACTGATCACACGACACAAGGGGTGGAGCTTGAATTAAAGGGCGTGATTAATCAGATGTGTTTAGAGGAGCTTGATGTCAGCTTTGGGTAGGACAGTTGCTTTTGTCACCTGGACATTACATTCTGTATTGTTCATGTCTTCTAAATTGACTTTCTTCCATTTCAGGCCTATCTGTATCCCATGTACGGAGCCAGCCAACCGCGCCATGAAAAAGCCCAGCACCGCTACCTGCAATGAACACAGTAATGTGTGCCCTGTATTTCTCTGTCACTTGAACTCATGAGGCTTTTTAAAAGGAAACCTATATTAAATGTGTTAGCTACCAGTGCTCAACTCCACTTTTCAATTGCTATTTGCCTGGCTGTTATATTAATCCAAAGGCTTCGATCATGAGTTTAAAGTGTTACAAAACCCACAACAGTAATATCAGTCTGTATATACAGTAAACCATGCTTGTTATACTCACTGTGGTACCTTAGGGGTTAATCCTCCACATTATGTAAAAAGGATGTTTGATCCTGTCTTCTCTGATCCTCCCCTTCTTCTACTGTCCCCAATCCAGCTGCTGATAGTATAGAGCCCTAGGAGACAATTTGCACATGCTCAGTTTGGTGTTTATTGCTAGAGTTTTTTTTTTTGGGAGAGTGCATGTGATCGGCACACGGTCAATCAGCACTGTCCAGACAGAGGGTCAGCCTCATATAGGACAGTCAAAGGAAAACTCCTCCTGCAAGCTTTAACCAGTGCTCTGATGGACACTGATAGAATTCACAAGACTGCTCTAACTGCTGATTAGAAAAGGTATTTAGCAGTTTATATTTAGTAAAATAATTGCACTTCTGCGTTCTGTGTACTGTGGGAGACCAGATATAGTGAATGCAGGGTCCGGGGAGACCAGATATAGTGAATGCAGGGTCCGGGGAGACCAGATACAGTGAATGCGGGGTCCGGGGAGACCAGATATAGTGAATGCAGGGTCCGGGGAGACCAGATACAGTGAATGCAGGGTCTGGGGAGACCAGATACAGTGAATGCGGGGTCTGGGGAGACCAGATACAGTGAATGCGGGGTCTGGGGAGACCAGATACAGTGAATGCGGGGTCTGGGGAGACCAGATACAGTGAATGCAGGGTCCGGGGTTAGTAACACTTTAATTGTTGATCCTGGGATAAAAAGTATGTAGATCAGACGTTCGGAGACCAGTGACCTCAGTGCAATGTACTATACATGCCAGAAATTAGTAATGCACAGCTCTGGGAGGCAGACAGTCAGGTCTCTAGCATTTTCAGTAAAAAATCAGCAATAGCAGCAAATGCGGGTTTCTCTGGGATACAGGTTTACTTTACAGCTAAACTTCAAACAGGTAAATAGTTGAAATGAATTGCCAAAGGATTCGTATTTCTGTCCATTCAGTCTTAAAATTTACATTGTTCTGCCACACACTGCACATATAGTGCTTGTCTCTGCTGAAGTTAAGTAACACTTCCAGATATTACCCTTCTCCACCCTATGGAAAGACCCTGATGAGCTTACCTCCCTGTTACTCTGCTGTCTCCCCCTAGAACAGTGGTTCTCAACCTTCCTAATGCCGTGACCCTTTAATACAGTTCCTCATGTTGTGGTGACCCCCAACCATAAAATTATTTACCCAGTAATTATAATCATGAGTGTCGTTTTACCTCCAGTACTGCTGCTTTCAACACAGTAGCTGCTTTTAACAGAGTAGCTGCTTTCAACACAGCAGCTGCTTTCTACACAGTAGCTGCTCTTTACACATCGGAAATATGTGTTTTCTGATGGTCTTAGGGGAACCCTGTGAAAGGGTCGTTCGACCCCCAAGGGGGTCGTGACCCACAGGTTGAGAACCACTACCCTAGAAGCATGCTCCTTGCATTGCAGCACAACTGATTGGCTTCTTCACTCTGCTTCTCCCTCTAATTGGCTTCTCCACGCTGCTTCTCCCTCTGATTGACTTCTTCACACTAATTCTTCCTCTGGCTTCTTCCTCTGATTGGCTTCTTCATTCTACTTCTCCCTCTGATTGGCTTCTTCACTCTTCTTCTCCCTCTGATTGGCTTCTTCACTCTGCTTCTCCCTCTGATTGACTTCTTCACGCTGCTTCTCCCTCTGATTAGCATCTTCACACTACTTCTTCCTCTGGCTTCTTCCTCTGATTGGCTTCTTCACTCTACTTCTCCCCCTGATTGGCTTCTACACTCTACTTCTCCCTCTGATTGGCTTCTTCACTCTACTTCTCCCTCCGATTGGCTTCTTCACTCTACTTCTCCCCCTGATTGGCGTCTTCACTCTACTTCTCCCTCTGATTGGCTTCTTCACTCTGCTTCTCCCTCTGATTGGCTTCTTTACTCTGCTTCTCCCTCTTATTGGCTTATTTACTCTACTTCTCCCTCTGGCTTCTTCACTCTGCTTCTGCCTCTGATTGGCTTCTCCACTCTACTTCTCCCTGATTGGCGTCTTCACTCTACTTCTCCCTCTGATTGGCTTCTTCACCCTACTTCTCCCTGATTGGCGTCTTCACTCTACTTCTCCCTCTGATTGGCTTCTTCACTCTACTTCTCCCTCTGATTGGCTTTTTCACTCTACTTCTCCCTCTGATTGGCTTCTTCACTCTGCTTCTCCCTCTGATTGGCTTCTTCACTCTACTTCTCCCTCTGATTGGCTTCTTCACTCTACTTCTCCCTCTGATTGGCTTCTTCACTCTGGCTTCTTCACTCTGCTTCTCTCTCTGATTGGCTTCTTCACTCTTCTTCTCCCTCTGATTGGCTTCTTCACTCTGCTTCTCTCTCTTTGATTGGCTTCTTTACTCTACTTCTCCCTCTGGCTTTTTCACTCTGCTTCTCCCTGATTGGCGTCTTTACTCTGCTTCTTCCCTCTGAGTAGCTTCTTCGCTCTGCTTCTCCCTCTCCCAGTCTGATCTCTGGTGTACAGAGACAGTAAGTAATACATGATGGCTTTCATGCTCTTAACCATTAAATAAGATGAAAAGAACTCTCCGCACTCCCATTACAACACATGGATTCCAATTTGTTGAAGCCAGCGGTCACTGTAAAGTCCCTGACCATAGGACCTCCCCTTTAATGTGTTTCTACCGAAATATGAAATGCCTTAGAGGGAGGTCCTAAGAGCAAGGACTTCACAGTGACTTTTGGCTTCAATAAATCAGAATCTATGTGAAGTCATTGAAGAGCAGAGAGTTCTTTTCTTTTTGTCTATGGAGTGTGTTGAAGTGTGGACAGCTACATGGTTCACCTGCACTTGGCACTGAGAGCAGAATTGGAGCAACTTGGCTTGAAGCAGAGGAGATTGCTTTTTACATACATTACTGAACCATTGAATGTTTCAAAAAGTCCTTTAAGTGAGATGAACTTTTGTACCAGGCGCTCCTCAGTACACATCCAAGAGTAATTAACCATCTGTCGAGCGCTCCCTTTGTCGCCATCAGACAGGTAGCAGCTTAGGACCAGAACAGAGTCCTCCCCAATGAGCAGTTTAACCACTATGGTGGAGGGGATGTGTGGTTAAGTCAGTGTTTCTCAACTCCAGTCCTCATGGACCCCCAACAGGTCATGTTTTCAGGATTTCCATTATTTTGCACAGGTGATTTGATCAGTTTCACTGCCTTAGTAATTACCACAGCTGTTTCATATGAGGGAAATCCTGAAAACATGACCTGTTGGGGGTCCATGAGGACTGGAGTTGAGAAACACTGGGTTAAGGGAACAATGGCACATACAGTTGTGTTCAAAATAATAGCAGTGTGTTGAAAAAAAGTGAATAAAGCTCAAAATCCTTCTAATAGCTTTTATTTCCATACACACAAATGCATTGGGAACACTACACATTCTATTCCAGATCAAAACATGAAGAAAAATATATCAAATTTGTGTTGTTCCTCTAAAAAAATTGAAGAAAAGTGAATATTAGACTGTTCAAAAAAATAGCAGTGTTTGTATTCTTCTTTACAAACTCAAACATTCACTATATAAACTGAAAAATGTTTGAAGATTTTGCTTTCCTTTGAATCACTTAATGAATATTTGGTTGTATAAGCACTGTTTCTGAGAACTGCTGTACATCTGTGTTGCATGGAGTCAACCAACTTCTGGCCCCTGTGATCAGGTATTCCAGCCCAGGATGATTGGACTACATTCCACAGTTCTTCTCTATTTCTTGGTTTTGCCCAGAAACTGCATTTTTGATGTCACCCCACAAGTTTTCTATTGGATTAAGATCCGGGGATTGGGCTGGCCACTCCATAACGTCAATCTTGCTGGTCTGGAACCAAGATGTTGCACCTTTACTGGTGTGTTTGGGGTCGTTGTCTTGTTGGAACACCCATTTCAAGGGCATTTCCTCTTCAGTATAAGGTAGCATGACCTCTTCAAGTATTCTGATGTATTCAAACTGATCCATGATCCCTGGTATGCGATAAATAGGCCCAACACCGTAGTATGAGAAACATCCCCATATCATGATGCTTGCACCACCATGTTTCACTGTCTTCACAGTGTACTGTGGCTTGAATTCAGTGTTTGGGGGTCGTCTGACAAACTGTCTCCGGCCACTAGACCCAAAAAGAACAATCTTACTTCCATCAGTCCACAAAATGTTGTGCACCATTTCTCTTTAGGCCAGTCAATGTGCTCTTTGGCAAATTGTAACCTCTTCAGCACGTGTTTTTTTTCAACAGTGGGACTTTGCGAGGGATTCTTGCAGATAGCTTGGCTTCACATAGGCGTCTTCTAATTGTAACAGTACTCACAGGTAACTTTACACCTTCTTTGATTTTCCTGGAGCTGATTGTTGGCTGAGTCCTTGCCATTTTGGCTATTCTTCTATCCATTTGATTTGTAGTTTTTCGCTTTCTTCCACGTCTTTCAGGTTTTGGTTGCCATTTTAAAGCATTTGTGATCATTGTAGCTGAGCAGCCTATCATTTTATGCACTTCTTTATATGTTTTCCCCTCTCCAATCAACTTTTTAATCAAGGTACGCTGTTCTTCTGAACAATGTCTGGAACGACCCATTTTCCTCAGAATTTCAGAGAGAAATGCACTGTAACCAGCATGTACAACATTTGCTGCCTTCCTTCCTTAAATAAGGGCAATAATTGCCACCTGTTTTTTCAAAGAATGAATGACCTCACTAAATAGAACTCCACACTGCTATTATTTTGAACATGCCCCTTTCAATGAGTGATTCAATTACACAGAATCAGCAGCATGCATCTCATGACTGTTGGGTCTGTTGGATTTCTATTACTCTACTACACCTGCTAGTAAATGATTTGCCATGTAGAGATATCATTTCTACCAAAAACAGTGATTGATCAGGTTAGTGATGTCTGACTGCTATTATTTTGAACACAACTGTATATGGTGGGATCGTCCAAAAATACAGGTGTTTTGGCAAGATATAGTTCAATTCATACAGGAGTTTATGGGGATTACTATTCAGAAAGACCCCTGGGTGTGTTTATTTTGTAGGTCAGAGATGTCAGTGAAACAATATAAATATAGTATACTATATCACCTAATTAGCACGGAAAGGACTTATCCCCACATTTTGGCAGTTACAGGAAACCCCAACAATGAGGGATTAGATAGTTAGGATTGAGTATATGAATAAGATGGAGGAGTTATACTATATAGATGAAGATAAAATAGAAACATTTAGAAAGGAATGGAGTATATGGTATGACTTTCAAGACAACTGAAAAATATCTGGAAGTGATGGGAGTCCCAGGTAGTAAGGCTAGAGAATTCAATCGAATAACTGGAGGGCCGATATGAAGAAAAGAAGAATGGAGAGGAGAATCAAAGGCGGAAAGAGAGAAATCCATAAAAAGGAAAAGTAAGGAGAGATAATAGGGACATAAACACAGACAGGAGAAGACAGAATTAAAGAGTCGGAAAGAACTATTTGGACAGGGGTAATTTAACAGGGGGGTAGGGATGGGGATTGATAATTAATGTGGAATGTTTATATATTTTTTTTATAAAATTATATAATGTTGATTTATGTATTGGAAAATTCACTAAAAGATATAATAACAAAAAAAAAAAACAGAGTCCTCCCACACTAGATTTTCTTTGATGTAAAAAGCACCTTACAGTATATCTGTTAGAACCAATTTCCACTGGTATCAGTCCATTCACACATCAGGCATTATATAATTTATCACCTTTCAATGACAGATATACAAACTGCAGCACATTTGTGGACACAACTGGGATCTGGTTGACAAATATCCCCCTTTGTATCGGAGTGATGGATAAGGGATATTGGTATTGCTGAGACATTTTGGGGAGTTAAGTTTCTCCAGGATTGGTTATTAGGAGTTGCTCCTGATGTTCTTTGTTTTCTTGCAGGGAATCATTTGTTGTCTTCCAGTGACATACCGGCTGGATTTATCGCCAAGACAAAAGACCAAAATGTGCTGAGAGAAGGGAGAGTCTACATAAAACACAATAAAGCGGTAAGCCGAACACACTTACTATACATTGACTTCTGTTCCATATCCACATAGGGTTTCATCAGCTGTCAGCCAGCATCTTGTGCAGGGGTGCTCAACATTTTGAAAAGGGAAGCCCACTTAAAGCGATTCTAAAAGGTTAATGTTTTTTTTTGGGTGGGGGAATAAAAAAAAACATGTCTGTACAGTGAAGGAAATAAATATTTGATCCCCTGCTGAATTTAAATGTTTGCCCACTCACAAAGAAATGATCAATCTAAAAATTGAATGGTAGATGTATTGTAACACTGAGAGCAGAATAGCAATTCAAAAGAAATGCATGTCTAACAAATTATGCACGGATTTGCATGTTCATGAGGGAAATAAGTATTTGATCCCTTTCACAAAACTTGAATTAGTACTTGGTGGCAAATCCCTTGTTGGCAATCACAGAGGTCAGACGTTTCCTGTAGTTGGCCACTAGGTTTGCACACATCTCAGGAGGGATTTTGGCCCACTCCTCTTGGCAGATCCTCTCAAAGTCATGAAGGTTTGGTGGCTGATGATTGGCAACTCAAACTTTCATCTCCCTCCACAGATTTTTAATCAAATTAAGGTCTGGAGAATGGCTAGGCCATTCCGGGACCTTAATGTGCTTCTTCCTGAGCCACTCCTTTGTTGCCTTGGCCATGAGTTTTCGGTCATTGTCATGCTGGAACACCCATCCACGACCTATTTTCAATGCCCTGGCTGAGGGAAGAAGGTTCTCACCCAAGATTTGACGGTACATTGCCCCATCCATCGTCCCTTTGATGCGGTGCAGTTGTCCTGTCCCTTAGTAGAAAAACGCCCCCAAAGCAGAATGTTTCCACCACCATGTTTGACAGTTGGGATGGTGTTCTTGGGGTCATAGGCAGCATTCTTCCTCCTCTAAACATCGCGAGTTGAGTTCATGCCAAAGAGCTCGATTTTGGTCTCATCTGACCACAACACTTTCAACCAGTTCTCCTCTGCATCATTCAGATGTTCAGTAGAAAACTTTAGATGGGCCTGGACATTTGCTTTCTTGAGCAGAGGGACCTTGCGGGCACTGCAGGATTTTAATCCTTGTCAGCGTAGTGTGTTACCAATTCTTTTCTTGGTGACTGCAGTCCCAGCTGTCTGGAGATCATTGGCAAGATCCTTCCGTGTAGTTCTGGGATGATTCCTCACTGTCCTCATGATCATTGACACTCTACGAGGTGAGATCTTGCATGGTGCACCAGACCTAGGGAGACTGACAGTTGTTTTGTGTTTCTTCTATTTGCGAATGATTGCACCAACTGTTGTCACCTTCTCACCAAGCTGCTTGGTGATAGTTTGGTAGCCCAGTCCAGCCTTGTGTAGGTCTACAATCTTGTCCCTGACATCCTTGGACAGCTCTTTCGTCTTTGCCATGGTGGAGAGTTTGGAATCTGATTGTTTGATTGTTCCTGAGGACAGGTTTCTTTTATACAGGTAACAAAATGAGATTAGCAGCACTCCCTTTAAGAGACTGCTTCTAATCTCAGCTTGATACCTGTATGAAAGACACCTGGTAGCCAGAAATCCTGCTGAATGATAGGGGCGTCAAATACTTATTTCCCTCATGAACATGCAAATCAGTACATAATTTGTTAGACATGCATTTCTTTTGAATTTTTTGTTGCTATTCTGTCTCTCAGTGTTACAATACACCTACCATTCGATTTTTAGACTGATCATTTCTTTGTGAGTGGGCAAACATTCAAAATCAATACAAAAGGCGCATGGTGTGGCAGTCCATGTATGTTTGATGAGTTCCAAATGGGCAGGGGTGAAGGTATCCAGTAGGCACTAAGGGCAAGCTGCATAGGAGCGAAGCGTAACGCTGCAGAAGGGAAACAAAGAAACACAGTGCCTCTAAGTGTGTACTGTGAAGGTATTTAATAGAAAGATAAGTAGTAACTCACATCTTAGCCAAGGCTGTCGGTCACATCGCTGGATCATGATGGGATTCAGGTAAGTATTGATGGGGTGGGGGCACCGTTCCGCACCGAAGATTTCTTACCTTCATGTATAGAATACATGAAGGCAAAAAACCTTTAGCCTTCACAACCACTTTAAGTGATTTGGTAACCGGTCAAGGGCCATAGTGAAATAAATGGTTCAGAATTTCAATTTTTTTTTTTTTATTATGAATAGAATAATATCATTTTTTTCCCTGAAGCTGCTGCATGCCAGCAGGAGGGAGAGGAGGAGAAGCCAACTTTCAGTGGTTGCAAGAGGAAAATTCTGCAAAAAGGGAAAATGTACCGCAAAATACATAGCTGTGAACCAGGCCTAAGGAATACATAGAGAGGGTGAATCTCCCCAGTGGGGACACGTACCGAGCAATAATAGCCTTTCCAAAATGTAATAAAAAGCTTTGGGTTTTAGGTACACTTTCATGAGCAGGTGTATATATTGAGGTTGTTGTTGGGTGGCAGTATATTTTTTCATTCCTTCTTCCCTTGGATAGCATCTTACATCAGTTTCTATTCCCTCATTCTATCATTTGTCATTGTGAATCACTGCATATTCTCTCCCCCCAGAGGGACGGCTGTATATCATCATTAAAGAATGTGAAAAATTTAAAAACATCACCAATGTCCAGGACCTGGTGTCACCACGACACTTCTGTGTACAGGGAGAAATGTCCTGTAAAGGTAAGGCTGGGGCTGTGTGTATGCAAAGCTACATCATGTGTAAATATTTAACGGAGGTCAAACTCACACTATGGCTACGTTAAGGGCTGTTTCAGATGTGTGGATGGGGAAAGAGGGGATGAGACACGGTTTTACCATCCCCTGGCCCCCCACCCAAATTGTAGCAATACAACCAGACATGGCTGTACACATGCTGTGGCCATGATGCTTTGCTTCACGGTCATGGCATTTGTAGGTTTGGGCATCACTGCCTGTTGAACTTGCCAACTGAGTTCAATGGTGGCACAGCACAACCACGAGCCGCCTCCTAAATGCCTGTCAGCCACTGCTTTACTAACCTCTGCAAATAATCCACGGTGGATTGTTTTTCAAAGGGCAGTGATGTTATTGAGTAGTCTTTTAGAGTGCATGTCTAGGTAAACCCATTTTTTTAATTATGGATAGAATGGAGAAAGGTTAAACCCTCTGTAAGGTTTTAATTTCTGTCCCCTTTTTGTACTTGGGACTGAGAAAGTGAGAAGAAATCCAAAGTTTCCGAACAAGCGGTGAGGGGAAATCTTCCAATAGAGACATGTAATCTGGGGACAGTTGTCTAAGAGGGGAATTCCCGTCCTCTTGGGAGATTTCCAATGAGTTCCTGTTGAGGGCCTCTGGCACAGGATGTCAAGCGAATGTCCCCAGTGGTACACAGACAGTAAAAACAAACAAAAAAAAACTGGCAGGGGTTTTAATACTTCATACTCCAACCCACAATAAGACCCACTTCACACCAATGCGGTGCAGGAAAAGCTGCAAATCCTGTGTGTTTCCCGCATTGCAATTGCATCGCATTCATGCAATCTGCTGCGGGTGTCAATGATACATTAATGGCACCCCGAAACAGATCGCAACATGTGATGTGATTCAGGTGCGGATTTAAAAAAGGGTCCTGCACCTTTTTGGCGAGCATGCGATACGATTTGAGCCATACAAAATGTATGGCTCAAATCGCACCACACAGATATTTGCATGTAATTCACACAGGATTGCGGTGCGATTCCTGTGTGAATTACATGCTATGTCCCGCACCACATAGTGTGAACCTGGGCTAAAAGAAAAAAAATGTTGGCTATATGTCTACTTTAATGCAGCTTTAGAATGAGACTAAATGATATCCTTATTCTCTATAAATATTCTATACACATCCACTACTTTAAGTGGTAGTAAACTTCTGAAAAAGAAAAAAAATTTCCTCCTGCAAGGTAATATTATAATGTGCTATTATGCATTGCTTACTAGCACATTATGAAAGAAAGACTTACTTTGAAATGAAGCCCTCCAGCGTTGTGCTATCACTGTTGGCAGGGCTTCCATCTTCACAGTGACAGATCCAACACACCACCATTAACACTGACACAGATCAGCAGGCCCAGCAGGTACTAGAAGAGCAGGCTGTGGGATCGTGATGATGTCATCACTCACTGACACATTGCACATGTGATGGATGTCCGGCTGGCTGGGTCACACTCACACAGACATGAGACATCAGAGTCAGACATTACCTTCCTCCGCAGGGGCAGCTCCACCTCCGCTGATGAATGGGAAGAGAAGGGCTGGAACTCCACAGTGATCAGCAGCCGCCAGCTGGCTTGCAGTAAGGGACTGAGTCTGAGAGGAACATTGGAAGGGGTGCCAGCTCAGCTGCTGCACTGGCCTTAGACACCCGGCATCTTCCTTTGTTCTTTCTTCCTCCCCTCTGCCGCCCCTCCTCTCAGCTGAAAGATCATTCATGAATGGCGGCATCCCACACAGAGAGTGCTGAACTGTGCTGTGCCCAGGCACCCCTAGGTGGCAGTGCGCCCTAGGCCACCACCTAGTTTGCCTAGTAGAAGCACCAGCCCTGAATGTATGGGCAGCTTTAAAAGGAAGTCATATCACAGCAGCAAAAAAGAATTAGGAGATTTGGAGGAGACTGAGGGCAATAAAAAGGGACTTTTCTGAGTTAACAATACATACTGGAATATAAAATTTTTTTTTTTTAAACAAAAATTTGGTGTCACTTAAAAAGACCCTTTCACAACTTAGCAGATTGCAGTTAGAAAAAGCACAGAAAAATCAAGTATTTTAAAGTGATATTAAAGGTTCATTACAAACATAACAAACGTGTCATGCATACCTATTCTGTGTAATGGTTTTGCACAGAGTAGCCCAGAACCTCTTCTTCTCGCATTCCCCGCTAGCGCTCCTGGCTCCTCCTCCTTGACCAGTGCCCCCAATAGCAAGTCGTTTGCTATGAGGGTACTGGTGTGTACTTGCTCCCAAGCCCCGCTCTATGCGTCCATCAAACACAGAGCCGCTGATCAACCCTACCCCTGCTCTTATCTCATTGGCGAACTGACTAGATTGAGAGGCGGCAGAGGTGAGTATTGGGGGGGGGGAGCAGCACACAGAATGTTTTTTTTACCTTCATACATAGAATGCTTTATTCTTTACAACCACTTTAAATGCATCCTTGCAGTGTTTTCCTTTCCATAAATGTCTTTTTTACTCTCTTGCAATGTATACACATGCATTCATATGTCACTACACACACACACACCCCAACAAATTTGACAGAAAAAAACTGTCCTTTTTCCTTATCAACATTTTCTATGGGACACTATACTACAAAATACTCCCACAAATGCTGGCCATTGATTGCAAACAAGATTTGTTAATTTGCATGCACAAAAAAGTATTTTTCCTAACAAATTCATTCAAGACCATGTTGCAAACATGAATACACCCCAATGAAAGTTTTAGGACCAAAGCTAAATTTTGGACAACAAAATCCTAATGAACAAGAATTCAACTAAAGGTGAGTAATTATTCATTAAACAGGTGTCTAGCAGAGAGATGATTACAAAAATGTGCTACTTAAAGAAAACCCAATCTCATTTCATGCTGTCAGCAATGGCACCACATGGAAGAGAAATGTCCAAGGCCTGAGAAAGAAAATAATTTCTTTACACCAGAAAGATGAAGGCTACAAGAAGATCAGCAAAGCTTTACTTATCAGTCAGAATACTGTAGCAAAAGTGATACAAAAATTTAAGATGGAACTGCAACTATCTCACAGAGACGTTCAGGCCATCCATGGAAGTTAACACCTCCACAGGAGCGTCTTCTGATAAGGGTTGAAGAAAATCGCCATGCAAGTTTGCTGCAGGTAACTAAAGAAGTAGAAAGCCAAACTGGGGTGATTGTTTCCCGTGACACAATACAGCGTATACTGCAGAGGAATGGCATGCATGGATGTTATCCACGAAGGTAGCCTCTCCTAAAGCCCATGCACAAAAAAGCCCGCCTAGAATTTGACAGGGCCCATGCTGAAAAAGAAGATGACTGGGACTGTGTACTTTGGAGTGATAAGACCAAGATAAATGTTTCTGGAACTGAGGACTTCAAAACTGTATGGTGTCACAAAGCTGAGGAGTACAAAGAAAAATGTATGGAGCCTACAGTGAACCATGGTGGTGGCAGTGTCCTTCTGTGGGGCTGCAAGAGTGCTGGTGTCGGGGAGCTGCATTCCATTGATGTTAACATGAATTCACAGATGTACTGCTCTATATTGAAAGAGAAGATGCTACCATCACTCTATTCCCTTGGTCGTCGTGCACTTTTCCAACATGACAATGATCCAAAACACACATCTAAGGCCACTGTTGCATTTCTGAAGAACAGGGTGAAAGTGATTCAGTGGCTGAGTATCTCTCCTGATCTGTGAACCCAATTGAGCACCTATGGGGAGTTCTGAAGAGACAAGTTGAGCATCGCTCCCCATCCAGCTTCTAGGCTCTAAAACAGGTCATTTTTGAAGATTGGAAAAAGATCGATGTTGCAATATGTCACCAACTTGTTCATGATTTGTAAGGACAGTACCAAGACTTCTAGGCATGGAATGGAGGTCATACAAAATACTATGCTATATGGTGTGAATCCTTGTGAGCTATTATGAATCCAATGGGTGTTTTAAATAATAATTATATACTAATCTTTAATGTATGGTGCGCTGGCACTTGCACAAACTCACTTGGTGGTGTCAAATCAATATAAATGGTATTTAAAGTGCCGCGCTCCTATTATTGTGCATATATATCTCTAAATCCACTTTATGCTTGTTAAATAAATCAAGTGTAAATCATAATAATAATCATGAGTGATAAGCCATAAATTAATCAATGCGATAAAAGTTAGTTCCAGTGAATTACCAATACACACATCATAACCTAGATGTGTGTGATGATAATAATGAAACCTAATGTGAATATTAAGTGAATATTTATAATACATATAATTAGTACCATTCCAATTATATACAATCTATCCAATAATAATTGTGCAACTATACACTCCCATGTGCACGTGCATAGGTGTAATAAGTAAATAAATTAATTAAATAAAAGTGTATGTGAAAAAGTGCCAAAGTGAAGGTGATTCCTTGTTTCCTCTCGTCAGGTGCCTTATGATCTTCCTATGCGCTCACCTTTATGTTTGCCTGAACATGAATTCAGGCAAATACGCTTTTTGATCCTTCCAGGATCGATGGATAAAAGCTCTGTGATATAGATGTGCCAAGGTGTGGATGTAGGTACTCCTGTACTCTCCTCTTTCTCCTTTATTCCACTGCTCATGTGTCAGTTGTGAGACCAGCTTTATCTCCTTATTCCCCTCCAGGGGTCATCTCCTTCTCATTTCCTCCTCTCACCCATATGCAATTTAGGGGTCAGATATAGAGAAAATAAAACAAACGATAGTGCCTTATCCTTTAAAATGATGGAAGTTTATTTCTGCCTGTAGCGGTATTACACAGCTAGATGCATTTCCTTGGTGGTACAGGGCGGCAAATGTATCATATATAGATCCTGGGTGAGCAATCCTCAATCTCTGCTCTCCCTCCCTGCCTGCCTCTGTCTGCAGTCGGAATTGCCGAGCCTCACCGCAACCACGTCGTGACATCAGAGCCCCTCCCCTACGCGTTGCGTCACAGGGTCACGTGACTTCATCAGGGGGATAATGATCATTATCCCCCTGATGAAGTCACGTGACCCTGTGACGCAACGCGTAGGGGAGGGGCTCTGACGTCACGACGTGGTTGCGGTGAGGGGGGGTGTGTGTGTGTGTGTGTGTGTGTGTGTGTGTGTGTGTGTGTGTGTGTGTGTGTGTGTGTGTGTGTGTGTGTGTGTGTGTGTGTGTGTGTGTGTGTGTGTGTGTGTGTGTGTGTGTGTGTGTGTGTGTGTGTGTGTGTACACGCACATATATATACACACAGTATATGTGTAAAACTTTTACGTAAAGCTGGGATAGATTGAGCAAAGACACGTGTACCTAACTGCCACTGTCCTGCCTTCTTTCACAGGAGAATCGGGTGGATCTCTCTTTGTTGATTTGAGAAAGAGGAGAAGATTCTTCCAGGTGAGACTCGTGACATGGAAATTTGTCCACAGAAAGTAGCCAATAAAAAATGGAAGGAAAGCATATGCGCCGATAGCCTGTTACATAAAGGTGAACAGGTTTAAAAAATGCAAAATAATGTGACCTTACAGCATTTGTATCTTTCCTGCATGATGGTGGGTTGGCAGGTTATAAGGTCAGTCAATGCAAAAGTCATTATTCTCTTATTGATGGAGGCTGGTGGGTTGAGGGAGGGTTATAACCCCTGTCATTTTTTTTTCCATAATTTGTGTCCCATTAGGGAGATTTCTTGTCACCTCCTGTCCCATAGCCAAAACAGGAAGTGAGTAAATCCTTACAAAGCGAGGGACTCCCTGGTTGACACCATTGGAAGATTTTCCCCTTTATTCCTGTTTTGGTGACAACCCAAAATTTGGTATTTTCTTTCACTTTCACTCTTGGTGACGATGGTAAACATAACAAATATCGCTAACTGGGGCACAGACAGCAATAATAACCTACATTCTATGCAAAACTTGTCTTTAGTTGTACTTTATGTTTTGGATAGAGTAGTGAGGGTTGAGAATCTGTGTCTGGTTTTTATTGCTGTCTGTGGCCTCCACACTCCAAATTTAAAGTCTCTCATTTTCTTGTTGACCATTGAGACTGAAATTGATGGGAAAACTAGCATTTTAGGGACAGAGAAGGAATCTTCAAAAGGGGACACTTGTTTTGGGTGCCCACTGTCTAAGAGAGGCTCTCTTCTACTCTGGAGAGATTTCTTCTTGCTTTGTGCTGAGCTCAGAGAGGAAAAGAAGAGTAAAATTACCATTAAGACAATGAAACCAAAGAAAAAAAAAAACCTGATAGGGGTATAAATTATTCCCTACTTTATCTAAAAAGAAAAAATGTAAAAGTTTGGCTTTATCCCTACCACCACTCTCACTAGAGTTGTCAGCAATTACTGGGTATCAAAACTACATCTTACTATTCCTAAATTTACACCTGCTCAGCTCCTTTTCCCTTTATCCATTATATTTCATTGTATTTATTTTTTTCCATTTATTTCCATTTTTATACCATTTAATATATATCTTATATATAAATATATATATCCTTATATATATATATATATATATATATATATATATATATATATATATATTTTTTTTTTTTTTTTTTTTTTTTTCCATCATTTTGCCTAATATTTTTTCAGTGCTGCATAAAATAATGCACAATACTGAAAACAAAAGACAAAGTATAGGATAAAAATTTATACTGTTTATTTACAGTAAAACTGCTTAAAAAAACCCTTTAACAAATAGTCAAGATAAAAAAAAAACATTATAAAAAAACTAATAATTTACATTTTTTGTCTATAGATTTTATAGAAGATAAAAAAACTTTTAAAGGCTAATATTGCCAAAAGATAGCCTAGTTTGTCCCCAAAAATGATTAAGTTATCACCGAATAAACAGGTGCAGAATGGTAAAGGAAAAATTGTTCTAGTCCATAAGGGCTTTAAAGGTTTGAGAAATGAAGTAGTTAAAGGGGTATAAAATCTAAAAACAAAAATGTAATATATTGTAGATTACCATTGCTAGATGTGGTGGCTGCATTATTGTGACATTTTTTGGCTTTATTTTCATGGTCATCTGGCCAGTAAGTCTATGCTATTTTTCAACTTCCTTTAGCAGCTCAAGCTGTCCAGCAAGGGTGACAGTTGGAGGGTTGAGACAAACCATTTACCATTCACAGGGTTGCTCACAATGATCAGCTTTGATTTATTTATGTAAGACCTTTATCCAAAAAGGAAAAAGATTGTATGCTATAACTGCTTAAAATGAAACAAGTGTTAGCTGGAATTTGGCTTTAAATTATTAGTCAAGTCCATCTAAATCTCCTACTGCATCTAGCACCAGATTGACATGCTGCTGTCCAAAGGGGGTTCCAGTGCTATTCCATCCAGACTAGAGACACTCTAAAAAAGAAAAGCAGCCACCATAATTAAAGGATAAGTTAACCTTTTTAAAAAAAAATATATATTAAAATGCACTTTTTTTGCAGGTAAAAAAAAATGTGCATTTATTTATTTTTTTTGTTTCTGGAGTCTCTAAAGCATTGCTCTCCTAACTGTGGCCCAGGGGCTGGATGTGGCTCTTTGCTTGCTTTTATTCAGCCCTTGGGGCACTATTCCATCCACTGACTCCAACAATGGGACATCATTCCTGCCACTTACACCAACAATGGTGCACAAATCCTGCCATTTACATGAACGATAGTATACAATATCAATACAATGAAGCACTATTCCTCCCAATAAAATCAACGATGTGGCAGTATTTGTCTCGCTGGGGCACATTTCCTTCCAAAAACACAAACAATGGGGCACACTTCCTTCCACTGACACCAGCAGTTGGGCACTATTCATTCCACTGACACCTACAGTAGAGCACAATTCCTCCCACTGACACCAGTGCTGGGATACAATTCCTTCCAATGACACCAACCATGGGGCACTATTACCCCAATTAATACCAACGATGGGGCACTGTTAGGGACCAGAAATGTGTGGACTGACACAGGGAAGTAGCAGGCTACAGGAACACAGGCGTAGTCAGGGCTGGAGAGGTGGAATGGTCAGGCAGGCCGTTAGGTACTGTCAGGCACCGCCCGGCAGGATCTCTAGTACCCACAGAATGGGATTCCCCAGGGCGCGGAGTCTAAGCCCCAGTCTGCCTTTTCACCAGAGCCCCTGATGGTGGGGATGGACTTGGCGCAGGACTGAGACCAGGTGGCTGCCCCTGAGTGCACCCAACTGTGGTAGAGGGGCCCGCCGAGGGTATGTACTATGGGAAAGCCTGACGTGAAGAGGCTGGCAGACCTGGTAACAGGGACTGATCTGTGCGGGATGGATGGATGGATCGTCTAAGTAGCATCAGGCAGGCCAGGTCAGCAACGTGCGGGCAGCTAGGTACCGGAGGAGCAGGCAGAGAATAGTCAGGGTCACAAGCCGGGTTCAGTAACTCACGGGCAGCGCGGTACAGAGGATCAGGCAGAAGGATGGTCAGGCAAGCCAGGGATCAAGCAGGAGAAGTCAGCAGAGGTCAGGATCAGGCAGGGTCGGCAACATATCAGATAGTAGCAGAACAGGAACACAGGATGCAGGTACAGGGGCTCATGGGAAACAGTTACACCAAGGCCCTGATCACAGGCCCGGCCACTCCCCACATACACCCCCCGCAACCAGCCCTAGGTGCTGGCCGCTTGCAGAAGCGAGCCCCCGGCCGCCGAGAGCACCCGCCGGCCAGCCCCGGCACCGCAGCCCACACGGCAGGCGAGCCCCACCACCAGTGCCGAGCCCATTCCCGACAGGCACAATTCCTCCCACTGACACCAACAATGGGCCACAATTCCTTCCATTGACACCAATGATGGGGCACTATTCCTCCCACTGACACCAATGATGGTAAACTATTCCTTCCACTGACACCAAAGATGGGGTACGATTCCTCCCCTAATTCCAAAGATTGGGCGTTTACTCTCAGTGAAGTTAGGACATTTTCTTCTCTGACTTCCGTAGTCCGGCCCCCCTAAAGTCTGAAAAGACCGTTAACTGGCCCTTTGTTTAGAAATTTTGGAGACCCCTGCTCTAAAGAATTGCACCAGCAGACCGCTTGGTACCATGCAGGTCTCCTGCAGACTTTGTGTATCTCTGTGATTGTACATCCTGTACGGACAAGCAGATATTTACTGACAGACTCCATGAACTACCACGGGACTCCACAGCACCATGGTAGTTAATAGAGAACTACAAGCCAACAGCCGCAAAGGCTGTCGGAACATGTAGTGTTCTCATAAACAGAACATTGTGAATGAATGACACGGACGGAGCAGCATTTTTTTAAATTGTGACAGCTAGCAGGGGGAAGGAGGGGGGGGGGGATCCACTGTTGTCACAATGGGGAGCGGGGGGGGCTGGTGTGTAACATGTTACACCCTGAATTTGTGTGTAACATTTAACATGCTAAGAAAGGTGAACTTATCCTTTAAGGCTTGGCAATCTGCGTTTATATTAACGTTTTGGGTTTAACCACTTGGCTATAGCGCAGCTCTCCAGTTCTGGGAGGACGTCTATATGGTTGTCCTCCCACATGCGCACATCCTGGGGCGCGCTCTGTGATCCTTTGGACACAGCTGATCACAGATTGTGGTAAAGAGCCAATCACAGCGGCCCTTTACCATGTGACCAGCTGTTATTGGACACAGCTGATCACATGGTAAACACACTTGTTGGGTAATGATCATCAGTGCCCTGATTATCATTGCAGCCCCATCCCTATCAGTGCAGCCTCAGCGAAAATCAGAAGAAAAATTACTTGCAAAATTTTAACAGAAACTAAGAATTACATTTTTTTTCAAAATTTTTGGTCTTTATTATAGTTTGTTTAGCAAAAAAAAAAAAAAACTCCAGTTGTGATTTAAAACCACCAAAACAAAAAATTCAATTTGTGTGAAAAAATTATAAAAATGTCATATGGGTACAGTGTTGCATGACTGCGCAATTGTCAAACTGCAACAGCACTGAAAGCTGAAAATTTGGCCTTGGGCAGGATGGGGGTGAAAGCGCCTGATATTGAAGTGGTTAATGCTGCTTTAAGCATCCTATACACTTCACACTGGGAGTGTCAGATACCTGGTGCCCCTCTTTGCTTTGTGGTTCCAACAGTCAACTACTACAATCAGAAGGAACCATAGCACATGATGTGGGACACCGACATTCAACATATCCAGATGTTTCGGATGCTGAAGATATTTTGGCGGTGGTAACTTTAGGAGGGTGAAGAATGGCAGTGTGGACGATGGGATGAGTATTAAACTATTTTCTCTGCAGGGAAATCTTTTTTTTTTTTTTTTTAATTGTTTAATCTACTGACAGAATTGCATTCCCAGAGCTCATTCATTCTCTTGTTTTTGATTCTGCTCAGGTGGGGGTTCTGAGCTTTGGAATCTTTAACCCTTGTGCAATGAAGGGTCAGCGCAAGACTAATCCCAATGCTCGGGATTTCTATGTGAACGTCCTGGAGGTCTTGCCATTCCTGAAGGAACACCTAAAAGAAGAACTGGAGTTCTTGCCAGGATCCAGATTCAGGGGAGGTCGTCTGCCCGGCCTGACTAGAAGCACAGACTGTAGAGCGCTGTCCTGGGAACTCAGCCCCTTATGTTAACCACTGATGCACATCACTGCAGCATTTCACATTGTATGAACTGACATGCCCTATAATCAATATTTTGTAAAGCTCTTTTTTCATATCTGCTGAAAATAAAAATGCTTATAACCTGACATAAAGAGGAACCTAACTCCACTTTCCTCCCTTCCTGTTATGCTTCTTTTTCTAAAACGTATACTCACCTGCCCAGTGGATCAAACATTGTAGTGCAGCAATCTGGTGTTTGGGTGTTACAGCATGCCAAGCCTGCACCCTATGACTAAGTTCTTTGCACGAAACGCGTCAGGGTAAGGGGCTACAACATCCTGACGTCACATCGCCGCTGGCGGACATCTTTTACACATGGTCAGTTGTCTTCATTTTCTCCTTGTTTGTATTGCACCTTATCTGGAATAAATACCCTATTGAATGCAGTATCACGCTATGTGGCATTATTCTCGGGCTCTCTGTGAGTCTCAAGATTCGCAAAAGCCATTTTAGAAGTGTCCCTAGCGGTGATACCATTTGATGGACCCTGAAGGGAACAGGAACAACCTGACCATACCTGGGAGTGATTGATCTGGCTGACCGGATAAGACAAAAGTGATCTCAAATGCGTAATTATAGCGCACATCTGGTGAGTGCGCAATTCACTTATTTTCAGTCACATCATTTGTGTCCTGATCTAGAGAAATAGAGCACCTTGAGCTGGGATCTGGTACGATCTTCAAGTTTATTGCTTGGACTTGTTCTCACATACTTGCCACTGTAACCACTCATCTGCGGTCTTATGTGTTCTTTCGCACTTTATATTTATTGCATCTATGGTGGAGTGTTGTGGCATTATTTGCACTTTATGAAATAAGATATGTTATTAATTCTGTTTAGTAGGAATTTTTTCACATTATTTAACAGCACTGCACTGCCTTTTATGATTATTTGTGTTAGTGGTTTTATGGTACCTTTTTCGTGTCCTAGCAGCTGTAATTTTACAATAGCGCTCACTTAACCTTACTTTATATAGCATGTCCTGTACTGCTCTGTGAATGGGATCCTGCAGCCTCTTGGGACATTTGCCTGTGCCCCCAACTCCTCAATGGAACCGGGGATTTCTTATGTTTTTGTATTTTTTTCCAGTGGCCCTGCGATTCCATAGTGGCATTATGGCCCAGGCAGACAGTTGGGGTTATTTAATAAAACTTGAGAGTGCAAAATCTGGTGTAGCTGTGCATGGTAACTAGTGGTGCACTGAAATGAAAATTCTGGTGCTGAAACCAAAAATTCAAAATGCACTTGGCTGAAAACCGAAACCGAAATGCGCAGTTTAAAAAAATGAATATATATTTTTTGGAAAAAAAATACATGTTGATTAAAAAAAACAATATATACCCCAATTGTTTTGTTTAATATGTAAGAGGATGTTTACGGCGAGTAAATAGATACCCAACATGTCATGCTTTAAAATTGCGCACGCTTGTGGAATGGCATGAAACTGCGGTACTCAAAAATCTTCATGGGTGATGCTTTAAAAATTTCTACAGGTTTTCAGTGTAAAATTACAGAGGAGGTCTGGTGTGAGAATTATTGCTCCTGCTCCGACGTTCGTGGCGATACCTCACGTGTGTGGTTTGAACACCATTTACATATGTGGGCATGGCCTACATATGCATTCACCTCTACATGAGCACGGGGGGGACGGGGGCACTTGAAACTTTTTTAAAAAAAATGTATATAATGTTTTTTTTTGTACTTTTATTCTTATCACATGAAATGCATGCATCCCTTGTAATAGGAATAATTAGTGACAGGTCCTCTTTATGGAGAGATATGGGGTCAATAAGACCCCTCATTTCTCCTCTGCAATGTAAAGCATTAAATAGAGAAAAAAAAAAAAAAGGATTGATCTAGTGCTTTAAAAAAAAAAAAAAAAAAAAAAAAAAAAATGGCCAGAACCGGAATCGTGACATCGCTCCAAGGGCATAGGATGTGTGGCGGCCATCTTTCCTTCACTCATCTCTATGCCCAGCGCCGGGATTGATGGTTTCTCAGGTAAGACTGAAGTACGAGCGGGGGCCAGTGGTTGGGCGATGGCAAACGGCAGAGAGGGGCGGGGTTTTTTGGCACCTGTATTGGTGCTTTTTTTCATTTCGGCGACAGCTGAAAGGGGTGTTTTCGGCCGAAACGTTTCAGCCACTGGAATTTCGGTGCATCCCTAGTGGTAACCAATCAGCTTCTAACTTCAGCTTGTTCAATTAAGCTTTGAAATAAAACCTGGAAGTTGATTGATTTCTTTTCAGAGCTGTACCGGATTTTGCACTCTCAGGTTTTAGTAAATAACCCCCAGTGCATCACATACGTGGTAGAGGCCAAACTTACGAGAGGGCATACCTTACATCTCCTGTCCAAAACCTTCTGGCGTTGGTGACAGGGTGTAACACGACGAGGAAAGGCATAGGTGACTGCAGCAGGTGCTGGCATGCAGACTGGTCAGATGACAGCCTGAATTGAGATGGCCAGCTTGGCACAAATCACAACAAAACACAATCAAGCTCAGCAATGAAACAAAGGAGACCTGATAGCGTAGCACTGTATAGAACTGCTGCATTTATTCAGTAAAGAGGGTACTAAAGACAATAAATGAAATAAGCTCTTCATTTCAACTGTTGGTGGATGTGATGATATCAGCTGCTTAGCCACAATGCATTCATCACAGAGGATGTCCTCAGGGGTCAGGAGTCCTGGCCTTTGACAACGTCCTCTGCAATAAAATGTGGCTCTATTAAGGTGGCCATCATAGTTGAAGCAAAGCTTGGCTTCTTCATGTCAGTCTGCAGGAAGGAGAACAGTGAACAGCATGCTAGTGACATCATCAAATCACCTGAGACTAGAAGTCAGTGGCAGCAGTGCCTTAGATCTCACACTTCAGATAGGCACACTCACGTACCAGGAAGTACACTTTTATTTTTCAGGAGAAATTCCAGATAAGTCATCTACAGGGTACTTCTTGGGCACAATTAACATTTCTAGGTGTTTCCTTATAACATAGCAAACCTTCACTTTTGGAGTTCAGTTCAACCTTTACAATAATTTGGGGGAATGACCAAATACAATTGGCCATACAATGTAGTTGTCACTTGTTAGTTTATCCGATCGCCTGGAGTAAGTAAGGAGTGAGTGTAGGAAGACAGAGCAAAGGTAAATGGCAGGAGTCCAAACGCACGCCATGATACCAAACAACGGTTTATTATACAACATTAAACATATTTTAGACACAGACCTCTTGTCAGCATTGCCCAGCTACCTCAACACATCACGTGTTCTGTGAACGTCTGATCAGCTGGGATTGTTGGGGGGTGCTGCTGGGGTTACGCTGAAGTAATCTTCTGAATAGCTGACCTGTGCCCTCTTGTCTTTGTGGGAGCCCTTCACACTGTTGTGGACAGCTGTAGAGAAGAAACATCCCGGGTTAGACTGTGACACACAAAAATGATAAAAGGCCTCATGGAAGAAACAAGCACAATTGAGAGGGATTTCATGTGAGTCAATGAACCGTCTCCATGTCACCTCTCTTCCTCCAGCCTGATCAATACATCTATGCATGTCAACTGTGTATTTTCTGTGAGTTACGCTGTAACATTGCTTCATTCTGTATTTGAAGAAACAAGAGTCCACTTATTTTGTTGATCACCACATTTAGTAGCCTTGCACAGCTCTTAAAGTGGAACTAGAAAAGGTAAAAAAAAAAAAACAAAAAAAAAAAAAAAAAAAAACCAAAAAAAAAAAACTGTAAAAGACAGTCTTTTATCTCTTCTGCAATAAAATATGCCTACCTGCCTATTGGCAATACTCTGTAGAAAGTACATGGAGCTGTGCATGCGGCTGTGTGCCGGGATGACTGCACTCCTGTGCGTGCATAGGAGTGATGTCATCCCATGTCGGTCAATCAAGACGGCCAAATACTAGCGCTCAGAAGAAACTGTGTGAGGGGGGGGAGATGCTGGAACCTGACTACACCTTTCTCCTAGGAACACCTTCCCCTCTTCTCATATCCATAACGTTGGCAGAAAATAAGGATCTGTAGTACACAGAGGGAGCTGGGAACACTTTAAATAATAACAGTTCAGGAGAGGAAAAGCACAGGAAATCATCATCTCAAGATTTCTGGCAGAATCACTTTTTTTTGCACTTATCAGATCGAAAAGGGTAAGATCAACCTTTGGAACATGTTACATGTTTCAGTCCTATTTAGGGTGGAACATGCTCCAGCTCCTTCCACTTCTCCCCCGGATCCCCCTTCCCCTGTGATAGCTGACAGGAGTTGTTCTCTCTGCACTCACTGTCACTTTTTGAAGACGACACGGCTGTATGGAGCTCCACCCACACAGCTGCATAATTCATTCACAAATTCCTGTAAATGAACAAATTACATGTACCAAAATATAAAAGACAGTGCTAGCCTTTCAAATATGTGCAAAAAAACAAAACTAAAAATCATAAAATCAAATGATATCCATACTCCAATACAATATAAGCACATGTATGAAGTTCCGAATATACATATTGATCTCCAATCACTGTGAATGTGGGAATTAACTGAGTGACTATTTTCTGAAACTCAATGTGCGCCATCACGTGTTACAGACAAACTCCTCTTTCACCAGACCTATGTGGCTAGCAATGCAGTCTGCAAGCTCTATATGTCACATCCAGCATACGTGAGGATTATGGTCAATTCGCTGAAGAATCCACTGCCAATTCTCAAACATATGGAACAGACAATCAAAAAGCCCAGAAAATGCTTATGGTGTAGTAGGTGTTTAATAAACAAAGAAATTAAAAATATCCAAAATTGAACTCACATGACTAGGTACCAAAGAAGGACAACATAGACAGCTCACTTATGGACCCTTCTTCAGCAATGCTGCTTATACAACGGAGCCGGCGTGCACTCCGTAGACTGGAAATTATGTCAACGGCTTGGCCTTCATGCATTTAGCACCAGCTTCCGGAAGAAGCGCTGCGCGCGAAGCGCTCATTGCGGCCTAACCGTTGACATTTTGCGGCAGCTCTGATGAGCGTTCTCGTAGTCCACTGACACGTCTTCCGGCTTTCAAACAGAAACAGATCTTACAGAGGTACAGGCTGCAAGCCAGAGGACATGTTTGCAGGAGCCCGCATTGCACCCCTGCTGGAAAAACTAATAAATGCACATTTTTTTTTCCTTGCAGAAATATGGTCATTTATTATATACACTTTAAGAGAAAGCTCCCTTCCACAGGCAAAAAAATAAAAACCTGACAGGGGCTGTACCCATTCCCCACTGTATCCAAAAAAACAATAAAACAAATTTGTCTACAGATACATTTTAAACAAAGAGTCTTGACTATACTCTCCAATAAATGTTCATTTGTAAAACTGCATTGTCCGGATATGGAGCGTACTGCCAACACACATACGGGTTTATGTTATACCTAGGGCACAGAATAAAATGCCTCTACTGTCTAGCCTTCCTATACCCCAGGGGTTTACAACTCCTCTGCAGCAATGATGAACAAAGAAAGCTGCTTTGTGACTCCATCCTTCTGCTGGACCTGTACATCTAATGGTTTACACACTGCAGTTTTAATGACTCCTCCCTAGAGATCTGCCCTAAGCTACCAGGATTGGGTTTATTTTATACACTGCTAGTACTACGACAATTTACAGGTGTAGTTTCTTTTCCCCCCACTCATTAACATGCTTTGACAAAGCACATATCTGTGCGAAACGCGTCATCATAACAATAACAACCAGGTCTGGTTGTTGTCCGCCCCAGGCACTCTGGCTTCTCTTTCCATCCATCAGCATCCATCTGCCGGTCTCTGCGTTTCACTGACGTCACTTTCCAGTGCGCACTGACATCACTTCTGGTGCGCGAGTTCCGTGGACATCCGAGGCTGCAACCTGTTCTGTGAGTGGTACCTTCTCACAGTTGGCGACCTATCTTCCAGCAGAGCAGCCCACAGGAATTCCTCTCCACCCCCTCCTGCACCCTGGTTCAGATGTACCCGTTTCTTCTGCAGTAAGCCAATTTTATTGACCACATTCACACATTTGGGTTATACCACCCACCTTTTTCCTTCGTTTACATTGGACATATGCCTGTGAACAATGGTTTTAATTCCTTTCAAGTGGATAGTAAAATCCTTTTTTACTCTGGATAATATTGTCATCATTCTTGCTAATTTTTTATATTTTACTGGTCACTATTAATTTGGCTCTATACCAATAGCCCTCAGTATCAGCTACTGGGCAATTTACAGGTGTAGTTTCTTTTGTACCCCCTCATTAACATGCTAATTAAATTACAGAAAAAAAAATCCTACGGTTTTCATTACAAACACATTATTAGTCCCATTAGAATAATAACTGGGTCTCTGTGCTTCTTACCATACTATGCAGATACATGGTGGCTGGTGGGAGGCGTTGGCAGGGTGCTCTACATACGCTTTCTGAAAACATCACAACCCTCTGCCTCAGTAGTCCTTTCAAGAGCCCTCAGACCTGATGCAAGCAGCAGGCTGGGTCTTGGAAGGAGTAATGCAAATATCAAAATGCCTTGATGGTTGGAGGTCACACTGGAGGAGTGGTTGTTCCTACGCAGGCTGTATTTGCAGGCAGACTAACCTAGATATTGCCCATGTGTGGTTCTCAGCCTCCATGATTTACAGAACTGAAATCCAACGAATACAAAGGGTGGGCCAGGGACAAGCTGGGAAGGAAAGTGCTAGATGATAATGGATGTCCTACAGCCAGGAAATGAGGCAAGATCTATGCGACGTTCTGCAGATTCTAAACCACATTATGAGAGGTGCACAGTGTGCAGTGAAATCAGAGTAAGCAGTTTCAGTCCAGGAGAGGAGCCGGTACAACTGCAAGACTGAAGGAAGGGCTGGAGTTCAGCTGTTTTTAAATCTTACCTGGCATTTTCTGATTATTATTAAAGCATGTTATGAGAATGATGAAGAATCAGTTACATTTTCTAGTTGATGGCCAATAAATGATTTTACAGTTGTTTTTCTTTATGTTAGCGTTACCTATAATGCTACCACCTCCCTCTCACTCCCCCTCTCTGTTGGGGTCCCTCAAGGCTCCGTCCTCGGGCCCCTTCTCTTCTCCATCTACACCTCCTCCCTTGGCCAACTCATACACTCTCACGGCTTCAACTACCACCTCTATGCCGACGACACACAAATCTATCTCTCAACCCCCCACCTCACCCCCTCGGTCTCCGCCCGAATCACACACCTACTGAGCGACATATCAGATTGGATGTCGCTCCACTTCCTTAAACTGAACCTCTCCAAAACCGAGTTTCTTGTCTTCCCCCCAGCCCGGACCCCACCCCCCATTGACTTCTCCATCATGTCCAACAACGCCACCATCAAACCCGCCCCGCAGGCCAGAGTACTTGGTGTCATTCTGGACTCCAACCTATCCTTCCAGCCCCAAGTCCAATCTTTAACAAACTCGTACAGACTCCACCTCCGCAACATCGCCAAAATCCGCACGTTCCTAACCCCAGAAACCACTAAACAGCTCATCCACTCCCTCATCATATCACAACTCGACTACTGCAACTCCCTCCTCACTGGCCTGCCTCGCCGCTGGCTATCCCCGCTTCAATCGGTCCTGAATACGGCTGCCAGACTCATTCATCGTTCCAACCGCTCCATCTCTGCCACCCCCCCTCTGCCAATCCCTCCACTGGCTTCCGATTGCGCAACGGATCAAATTCAAAATCCTAACGCTGACGTACAAAGCCGTCCACCATACTGCCCCGAACTACATCACCGACCTGATATCCAAGTACCACCCAACACGCACACTCCGCTCCTCACAAGACCTCCTTCTCTCTAGTTCCCTGGTCTCCTCCTCCCATGCCCGCCTCCAGGACTTCTCCAGGGTGTCACCCATCCTCTGGAACTCCCTGCCCCAACCCATCAGATTATCACCTACTCTCCTCTCCTTTAGGCGCACCCTGAAAACCCATCTCTTCAGGGAAGCCTACCCCACCCCCTGCTAACTTGCTGACCTCCTCCACTCTTCCTACCACTCCATCCCCCACAGCTATCTCCTCCTGTGCCCTATCCCCTCCCTCCTAGATTGTAAGCTCGAAAGAGCAGGGCCCTCAATCCCCTCATGTTTTGCATTGTATTGTTGTTGTTCTGTCACATGTTCTGTCCCCCTTTGTAATGTACAGCGCTGAGCGAACCATTGGCGCTTTATAAATACTGTATAATAATAATGTCAGTCTACAGCTCAGGTTGAATTTGATAGGCTTTTGTGTTTTTGGCTCCCATAACTACACAACTATAATACATCCGGCACACAATCTCATTACTCACCCAACTGGCCCCAGACGGATTTCTCAATGGCGGCATCCAACATCGGCTGCTTCCGAGCAATGCTGACGCTGACCGCGACATCTTCAATCTTTGTGTTATCAAGCTGGGGAAGGAGACAAAAGCAGGAAAATGTGAAATTCAGCAGAACAAGAGGGAAGGAGGGCTCAGTGAGGCTATACATTTGAGTTTCTCCCCCCAGAAAAAAAATGCATGCGTGACGTTTACATTACAATTTGTTTTTGGTGTGTCCTAACCAACTCTGCTTCCTGCTGAGCACTGCTGCATAGAGTCTCCTTCACTGCACTGAACACAGGGCAGATCTGCCTCCTGTGCTGCACACAAAAGGGTCCTTTGAGTTCCTAGACCCCATTATTTAAAAGGGATCACCTATGTCTGAATGGGGCCCCAGGATCCCAGAGGCTGAGCTCCAGTCAGGGTACTTTCCGCAACGATTTCCATCATGATGTTGTAATGGTGCAATTCTCTATATACTGTGCTAATGCCATGTGATATTATTTGCTGTTGCAGTGCAATGTAGAATACTGACATGACACATTATGCTCAGTTCTAAGATATAAGTGTTTTTTTCATCTCATGAGAAAAACAAAAGAAAGTTCAAATCACAAACATGAATATTGTTTAAGTGTGGAAACTTTTGCATGAAATGGGCATTTAAAGTGGTTGTAAACATCAGACATGAAAAGTGAACAAAGCATATCCCTCTATTGTGTGTACTTGTCTCAAAACAGAGCACAAAGTGTCATTTCTGTCTGCTGCTTTGTTTCTCTGCTATCAGCATGAATCACTTCCAGGAGTTTTCCTGACACCAAGAGAAAAATGATGACAGGGGAGGGATCTCCAGCTGATTGACAGCCTCAGCTTTGTTCCTGTGAGTTGTGCGAAGGGGTGTGTCTCTTCCCTCCAATCAGCTCTCAGAACTCTCTTCACTGAGCTCTGCAGAATGTAATTTCAGCTCTCCAGCCCGTTTTCCGACAGCTCAAACACGTTATAAATTCTGGACTTTGGATGGTTGTAGAGAGGAAAAGACTGCAGGTACACAGTTCTTTTCCTCATATGCTGCATCTCAGTACTGCTGATCTCCATAAACCTCTTTGCAGCCACTTTCTATCAACATGCACTCTAGAAAATCCTGTAGGACAATTCTCTGGACCAACTTCCTCAGGGTGAGTTCATTGGACCATGTCTTCGTAATGTGCATTAAAAAATTGTCCGCTTGTAGTCTCCAGAGATAGGGTGACAATGCAGGAACAAAACTGGGACACAGCGCCAGAGCATTATCACTATCACAGAAATGGCCTAAAAAGGGAATTTCATGGTAGGATTACCATTGATTATTTTAATGAAAGCTGCAAATTTAAAAATATTGAAAATGACTATTGACATTACATTAAGATGATAAAGCAGTAAAGTCAAAACCTAACTAACTCTAAACCTTCTTTCAGCCACATTATAAACCTAATCTATCCAGCCCTGTAAAGCAAAAATCACTATTCTTACCTGTTCTGCAGCCACTCCGGTCAGCTTGCAGGAGAGGTAGCCAACAACGGAAGACCCATAGTAAAGCTGGCCATACACAGGCCATACACGGGTCGAATTCCAAAAGAATTTTCTTTCGAAAATCTTTTCTAAGAATTTTCGTTGAATTTTGCACCATTAGTGGGTCACAGAAATGGCCGATTTTCGTGTGACCATCGAATTTGAGTGATCGGCATGTTGTAAATTTTTTGAAAAACAAAACGAATTTCGAATCAATGATGGGAGAATCGTGCAAGAAACATAAATGAAAAAGAAACAACGCATTAGCTGTGACCTGGAAAGAAAAGAAAATTCTTGGCTACGAAAATTCTTTTCTGTAACAACATGAGGTGGTACTGAAGGCTTGGTTGGTTAAATTTCGAAATCAATGGTGGCACCATCAGATTACAAAACGCACAAAATGTTCGATTTTCTAAAGAAAATTTGTTCGGAATTCTACCCATGTATGGCCAAGTCTATGACTGATGTCACTTCCTAGCCGTTGTCAATTTGATCTTGCACACAGCAGTCACCGCTGGAGAATGGACTGGAACGGCTGTAGAATGGGTGAGTATAGCAAATTTTTCTTTACAGGGCTAGATAGATGAGGCTTATGCAGGCCATAGAGGGGTCGAAAACCGTCCGTTTTTAAAAAAAACAAAATGAAAAATCGGTCATTCAATAGGCCGACGTTACCATCAATGGTAAAAAAAAAAAAACAAACAAAAAAACAAAACGGACAATTTTCGTCCTGTCTACGGCACTTCTGTCCCTTGCAGAGAGCTCCGCTATTATATTTGACATGAAAAAGTATTGCGGTTGAAACAATGTATCTATTTGTATCCATTTCAGATACAGATGGTTTTATTCAGATACAAATAGATACATTGTTGCAACCGCAATACTTTTTCATGTCAAATATAATAGCGGACTGGAATCCTTCTTCTTTCTCTTTCAGGTCACGGCTCATGCGCAGAATTTTTTAATCTGTAAAACGATCGGCCGATTTGCCCATCATTGCCGGGAAAATCGGCAGATCGGCAAAAATCAGACGATTTTTTTCCAACTTTACCGATAAAAAAAATGTGCCAAAACCCTGAAAATCCACTAACGGTGCGAAAAACGGCCAATTTTTTTTCGTCCGATTTCGACCCGTCTATGGCCTGCATTAGAATGTGGATGAGAGTTGGTTTAGAATTAGATAGGTTTTGACTAAACTTCCACTTTAAATGAAATGTTAGCTATCGGGTTTATATTTACTTTATCTTCATGTATTCAAACTTAGGACTGCAATTTAGTGTACAACATCCCTAAATGTTTTAATATCTCCAAAACCCAAAAAATGTGGGGGCATTTACTGGTATAGGGTAAGACAGACATGTACAGTCCTGGCCAAACGTTTTGAGAATGACACAAAAATATTAATTTATGCTGCCTCAGTTTTTATGATGGCAATTTGCATATACTCCAGAATGTTATGAAGAGTGATCAGATGAATTGCAATTAGTTGCAAAGTCTCTGTTTGCATGAAAATTAACTTAATCCACCCCCTCCCCCCCCCCCAAAAAAAAAAAAAAAACATTTCCACTGACAAAAGGACCAGTTAACATCAGGTCAGTGACTCTCTCGTTAACACAGGTGTCCATGTTGACAAGGACAAGGCTGGAAATCACTCTGTCATGCTGACTGAGTTAGAATAACAGACTTTAAGCTTTAAAAAAGGAGGGTGGTGCTTGAAATCATTGTTCTTCCTCTGTTTACCATGGTTACCTGCAAGGAAACATGTGCAGTCATCATTGCTTTGCACAAAAAGGAATTCAAAAGGAAGGATATTGCTGCTGCTAAGATTGCACCTAAATAAACCATTTATCAGGTCATCAAGAACTTGAAGGAGAGAGGTTCAATTGTTGTAATGAAGGCTTCAGGGAACCCAAGAAAGTCCAGCAAGCACAAGGACCATCTCCTAAAGTTAATTCAGCTGCTGGTTTGGGGAACCACCAGTGCAGAGCTTGCTCAGGAATGGCAGCATGCAGGTGTGAGTGCATCTGCACGCACAGTGAGGAGACTCGGGCCCAATTAGCCATTTTCCCTCCCGGATGTCATGTGACTCCTTAGTGTTACAAAGTCTCAGGTGTGAATGGGGAGCAGGTGTGTTAAATTTGCTGTTATCGCTCTCACTCTCTCATACTGGTCACTGGAAGTTCAACATGGCACCTCATGTCAAAGAACTCTCTGAGGATCTGAAAAAAAGAATTGTTGCTCTACATAAAGACGGCCTAGGCTATAAGAAGATTGCCAAGACCCTGAAACTGAGCTGCAACATGGTGGCCAAGACCATACAGCGGTTTAACAGGACAGGTTCCACTCAGAACAGGCCTTGCCGTGGTCGACCAAAGAGGTTGAGTGCACGTGCTCAGCGTCATATCCAGAGGTTGTCTTTGGGAAATAGACATATGAGTGCTGCCAGCATTTCTGCAGAGGTTGAAGGGGGGGGTCAGCCTGTCAGTGCTCAGACCATATGCCGCACACTGCATCAAACTGGTCTGCATGGCTGTCGACCTGAAAGGAAGCCTCTTCTAAAGACGATGCACAAGAAAGCCCACAAACAGTTTGCTGAAGACAAGCAGATTAAGGACATGGATTACTGGAACCATGTCCTGTGGTCTGATGGCTTATGGGGGCACTCAGAAAGGGGGAGGGGCCAGAAGCGTTGGCAGGGAACCCCAGAAGAGGAGGATCAGAGCTGTGAAAAACCATTGCTGGGCTGGGAACTCAGCCTGCTCTCCTCCAATGATCATACTTGTCCTGACCCTCTGCATAGCCATTCGCTGGGAAAAATTAGGGTCCTGAGGTTTCTCCTCCCTCACCTTTCTATGCAGCTGAGAACAGAGGGTATGTGATCACTTAAAAAAAAAAAAAAAAAAAAAAAAAAGAAGGGGGGGGGGGGGGGGATGTATTTAGAATGTTTTATATATCTATACACAAATGTTTTACTTTCAATTTCTATTTTAAAACTGTATGCGCTGTTTTACAAGGTTAGGGATTACACATACCGTATTTTTCGCTCCATAAGACGCACTTTTTTCCCCCCAAAAAAGGGGGGAAAATGTCAGTGCGTCTTATGGAGCGAATATAAAGCGGCCGGTCCGGTATTTTTGCGGCCACCATGTCAGAATACCGGGCCGGCTGCTCAGCTGTTGTCTCCTGCAGGGCCTTACCTGTTCCTCGCTCCAGCGCTGCACAGTCTTCCCGCGCTGGCTTCTGTGACAGCCGGGTGCCCACTGCGCATGTGCTGCGCTTTGTGAATGATCCGGTGTCTTCTGGGACACATGAAAGGTCCCAGAAGGCGCCGGGCCATTCACATAGCGCAGCGCTTCTCGCACATGCGCAGTGGGCACCCGGCTGTCAAGGAAGCCGGCCCGGGAAGAAGAGGGAAGGACAACTCCGCGGAAGTGGGAGCGGGTACCTGTCAAATTCAGGTACCCGCTCCCCCTCCCTCCCCAAAGCTCAGCAGTCTCTGGTCATTCCCTACACTGTCCGCAGTCTCTGGTCATTCCCTGCACTGTCCGCAGTCTCTGGGTCATTCCCTGCACTGTCCGCAGTCTCTGGGTCATTCCCTGCACTGTCCGCAGTCTCTGGGTCATTCCCTGCACTGTCCGCAGTCTCTGGGTCATTCCCTGCACTGTCCGCAGTCTCTGGGTCATTCCCTGCACTGTCCGCAGTCTCTGGGTCATTCCCTGCACTGTCCGCAGTCTCTGGGTCATTCCCTGCACTGTCCGCAGTCTCTGGGTCATTCCCTGCACTGTCCGCAGTCTCTGGGTCATTCCCTGCACTGTCCGCAGTCTCTGGGTCATTCCCTGCACTGTCCGCAGTCTCTGGGTCATTCCCTGCACTGTCCGCAGTCTCTGGGTCATTCCCTGCACTGTCCGCAGTCTCTGGGTCATTCCCTGCACTGTCCGCAGTCTCTGGGTCATTCCCTGCACTGTCCGCAGTCTCTGGGTCATTCCCTGCACTGTCCGCAGTCTCTGGGTCATTCCCTGCACTGTCCGCAGTCTCTGGTCATTCCCTGCACTGTCCGCAGTCTCTGGTCATTCCCTGCACTGTCCGCAGTCTCTGGTCATTCCCTGCACTGTCCGCAGTCTCTGGTCATTCCCTGCACTGTCCGCAGTCTCTGGTCATCTCCTGTACTGTGTCCGCAGTCTCTGGTCCTTTCCTGTACTGTGTCCGCAACCTCTGGTCATCCCCTGCACTGTCTGCAGTCTCTGGTCATCTCCTGCACTGTGTCCGCAGTCTCTGGTCATCTCCTGTACTGTGTCCGCAGTCTCTGGTCATCCCCTGCACTGTGTCCGCAGTCTCTGGTCATCTCCTGCACTGTGTCCGCAGTCTCTGGTCATCTCCTGTACTGTGTCCGCAGTCTCTGGTCATCCCCTGCACTGTGTCCGCAGTCTCTGGTCATCCCTGCACTGTGTCCGCAGTCTCTGGTCATCTCCTGCACTGTGTCCGCAGTCTCTGGTCATCCCCTGTACTGTGTCTGCAGTCCATTGGTTCAGAATATTTTTTTTCTCTTGTTTTTCAAGGTGCGTCTTATGGTCAGGTGCGTCTTATGGAGCGAAAAATACGGTACTTTAATTCAAAGTGATCAATTTTAACTATCAGAATAAAAATCTTTGTATGAGAATTAAACTGAGAGGAATTCAAAAAAGCAGCTGTGCCGCTTTTCTGCCGTTAGTCCCACTTGTTATTGTATTGCGCCAGATTCATGAAGCATTTGCAACACTTTTGGTTCTGATTGCAACTTGTGCACCAAATTCAGGTAGTTCTAAAATGCACCAATTTACATGGTGGCAAATGAATGTGCCAAATATAAAAAAAAAAAAAAAAAAATACCGTAAGTTCATATCCTATGAAAGCAGAGCTAAATAAGACCAACTCTCGTTAGGCTTATAGAGAGAAACTGGCTCAGACAGATTCTGCAGAAGTGTCTCATAAGCACTCTAAAAAGTGGCAAAGCATGTGCCAAATTCAGTTACAAGTTGTAGACAGGTACATGAATTTGGCGCATGCTGCACCACTTTTAGATTGCATGACGCTTTCGCAAAATCTGTCTGCACCAGTCTTTAGGAATTTCAGGGTCTAAATTTTTTTTCTAGAAACATTGTTGCTCTTTTGAAAAAAGTCCCATAAATGATAATACAAATAAAGATAGGGCATCCTTCCACGAATTTATCTCTACATATGCATTTTCATCACGTAAGGGTATTTATAGGGTAAAAATCGTACCACCCAATCAGGGGTGGACTGACCATTTGGAAACTCGGGCACTGCCCGAGGGCCTGGGGTCAGTAGGGGGCCCCATGAGATGCCCTGGTACCTTTTTCATAGGCTTTTTTGAGTTTGGGGCAAGGCACAGGGGCCCCATGATCCCCTTTTGCCCGGGGGCCCCCATGAGTTGTCAGTCCACCCCTGCACCCAATTCTACAGTTAATAGGTCCTGACCTCTTCAAACTCAGTGGGATGGCTGGAATACATATTTGTTCATAACTTTAACAATACACAATCACCCCTTGTCAACCTTCCATCCACCTGGGTGAATTTGGTCCTTAATCTGTGTTATGAATACTGCTTATATGAATGTTACATGGAGCATTAGGCCTCCTGCACACGGGCGCCTGACTGTCGGTGTCAAATCCTGAAGTGTTTGGTCAGGGCAGCTACATTATCCATTCCCATTGCCAGAGACCGGTTAAAATCTAGAACAGGCTGAAACACACAGCAGATGGAAGCTGTACTGAGCAGTACATGCATTTAGGGCTATATGCATTCAATGACGTGCCCCAAAAGCAGGAATTCTTTTCGGTACACTGCCCTGCCATTGTGTACTTCAGCCTGCCATAGATTTTGACAGGCCGCTGTTGGCTGGCTGAACTCTGCAACAGTGCCTCCTAGAAAACCCAAAAATGTCAGAGTCTGATGCCGACGTGCCAAACCATCCTTGCGCATTAAGCCTTAGTTGTACAAAGCAAGCACAAGTACAGATATGGGAATTGGCCCTTACACAAATCAGAAAAAAAAAAAAAAAAAAAGACATGAAGCCCCCTCCATGATGGCTGCAATAGATGGACCTAAAATCAAGGGATCCTCAAAATCAAATAAAGAGGCATCAAATGACAAATCAAAATCTTGGCCAGCTCTTACCTCTTGTATGGCCTGATCTGCTGATTCCATCTTGTCAAATGTAACAAAGGCACACCTGTGTACAAGATTACAACCATTACATTTTTTTGTATTAGTTATGGCTACACCCCTCCTAAATTTTTCCCTTGCATCTTCTCACTTTCGTTGATCGTCCATGGCGAGGTCGATAATTTTCCCAAATTTAGAGAAGGCGTCCATAAGCATCTGCTTCTTCATTCCGACACCATGAACATATACAGTGTTCCCTTTTCTGGGACCCCGGCGGTCCGAGAAAGAATCCGACCCTACAAAATATTGAAGGAGATGCAGGTATGAATAATGTAGGCACATGCAGCTTGCTGTATGTCAGCTGTACAGGAACTACAATTCTCAGCATGCTGGAACTGATATGCCTTCCATAGATGGGATCTGAAGACTTTCAAGCCCAGGCCTATAGTTTTGTCTTCATTTGGTAAAACCTGCAATTATAGATCCATTTTTATTTTTGGGCCAGCTTGGCTCACGCAAACTATTTAAAATAATGGTATATCTCTAGTGCGCAAACACTGAAGGCACTGCTGCCTCTGATTGAAAAGAGACTGTGCTGCTCACTTTTCTTCTTGCTGGAGAGAAAGCTGTACCCGAGGACATCCAGTGCCCATTCTGAACACTCAAGGGGTGGGAAGGATTGACAATCATGTGACCACCTTGACTATGACAGTGGTTACATGATTGGGAAAATAAATAAATAAAGTTGAAGAGACATACAATAAAACTACAGATAGAAAGCATGAAATCAGTAAGTCTGCCTTTTAAGCAATCACAAGCAGCCAGTGCATTTATTTTACTCACTTCTATAGAAGTCTCTGTCTCGATCCCGCTCTCTCTCTCGATCCCTATCGCTGCGGTCTCTCTCCCGATCCCTTTCTCTATCACGCTCCCGATCTCTGCCGCGGTCTCGCTCTCTATCATACGACTCTCTTTCTGCACGTCGAGAGTCTCTGTCACTCTCTCGATCCTCCAGCTCCCTTTCGGGGTCTCGCATTCGGTCGCTGGAGCTGACAAAGCTGAGAGAGGAAAATTGATAGCAGGAATCAGAGCCTAAATATGTAGCTGGCAAAAAATGCTGCCACAGCATACACATGACCACACACAGAAATAAAACTTTTAATGCATTAAAAGGAACTTCTCAGCATAGGTACAGTAAATGGGAAATGCCATTTCAAACTCCTTTTTTAAAGTTGCAAACTACAGCTCTCTCAACCTCATAACTGCTTGAAACCAATCTCCAGCCAAAACCTTTTAATTTCTGACAGACGCATAAAGAGTATATACACCATACTTCTGCCACTTTTTTTTTTTTTGTTGCTGACCATGGCCACGTTTTATAAATTTCACTGTGCTTCTAGTCCGTAACAGAATATGAGGGAAGTGGTTGTCACTGGGACAAGAAAACACAGACAGTAAAAATAACCTCACATACTTTCCCATTTTACTAAATGTGTAGTATTTTCTATCAGCCTGTGTTCCCCTGAAGAGTTTTCACATTACTTTCTATCCAGACAGGAAGTGGGGTTTAAAAGGATAAGTTCAGCTTTCAAATAAATAAATAAATAAATAAAATGAATGTACATATTATTGCAGGTAAATAAATAAATAAAAAGGTGCATTTATTATTTTTTAACACTGCAGACTGAAAAGCATTGCACTTGCTTTCAGAAGATCACAGGTGCAAAGCCAGAATCCTGCAAACTCTCAGTCAGCTGTCTGCCCAATACTGGCAGGCAGTCACTGAACAGCAGAAAGAATCAGTGAACTACAATAGAGCTCACCATCGCCTTTGCAGTCCATTGAGGACTACACCCTAAAAATTGGTGTATTATGCTCCTAAAAGGTGAACTTAGCATTTAAGCTACTTACTAAGTCACTGATCTAGACACTTGATATGCACATACTAGTTGCAGGTCCAGGGGTGGACTGACAAATCATGGGGCCCCTGGGCAATAGGGGATCATGGGGCCCTTGTGTCCTTGCCCAAACTCAAAAAAGCCTATGAAAAAAAAGGTACCAGGGGCATCTCATGGGGCCCCCTACTGACCACGGGCCCTCGGGCAGTGCCCGAGTTTCCAAATGGTCAGTCCGTCCCTGTGCAGGTCAGAGGCCTACCAAACAGTGCTGATCAAAATAGAACCCCCAGAGCATGAACCTTCAAAAACAAGATGATGTTTCCCACCCTCAAAGGCTCCTTTAACAAACCTGATGAGATCAATTACAATAAACTGATCGCAAACACATCTTTAACTAAAAGATTGTAAAGTTCAACTCCAGCCTAAACATTTTCATTTTGGCTATTTGGTATTTAAAACAACTATAGCTGAACAAGATACAGATAAATGGAATACACAAGCAGTAATGAAACAAGTGGCATAGCAATATAAGACAAGTCATAAAACGGCCTCACCTCTCGTAAAGTGACTTCCTCTGGGTACGTCGTGAGGCCTGGATGGAGAAAAAGAAGTATAAATGAATAACTTCTTTTTTTTTTTTTTTTTAAATTAATAACAGAAATAAAAAACGGAGATAACAAATAGGTTTTCTGCTGCAACCACACCCCAGCCATCACCTTTTGGGTCCCTTCACATGGGCATTCTGTTTATTTTCATCAGTTCAATCACATTTTTTTAAAGAAAAAAACAGATCAGTTTACATCAGTTTTTTACATCCTGTACCAATGCAAAAAAAGATGAAAAAAAAAACCAGACCGTATGTCCGTTTACATCCGTTTTTTTTGTCCTTTCCCTTTTTAAAAAAAAAAAAACGGAAGAAAAATAGGGATCTCTTCCTTTCAAAAAAACGGATGCAGACATTAACGGATATAAACAGATGATCACCATTTACCTCCACTAGTCCATAGAAATACATGGGTGTCCGTTTTTCATCTGTAAACGGACAGATGAAAAACCAACATACAGAACGCCTGTGTTCACCCTTAAGTGAAGGATGTGCAAAGATAATATCTGACTGGTGTGTTACCTCGGCTTGCTCCTCCTCAGTGGAGACACTTCGTTGGAAGGGCTGGAAAGTTGGAGCTGGGCCTTTATCAGGGTCCTAAAAACAAGAAGAAGAGAATCAAAAGTTATATCTTCTGGATAGCCGATACCTAAACAGAAGCACAGCACCGAGAACCAGTCTCCTTTGTCAGGGATACAGACAGCAATAGAAAGCTAACAGAGGGAAGCCAAAATATTGGCAGATTAAACTAACACTTAAGTGAGCCACCGTGCAAAAAACCTTCCTGCATCTCTGCAGAGGAAGCAAACATGTAGTGCATGTTAGCATTGGCCAACAGTACCCTAAAGGGAGGGGGCAACTTTTTTTGTGTATACATGTTAAAGTATCCTCTCCTTCCCCATTGAAAGACAGTTATGGACTGATGCCATCATAGTGCTTATTCAGTCACTCTACAGTCATGGCAGGTACCCTGAGTTGGTATCTACTAGTAGCAAAAAAGTTTTTTTTTTATTGAAAATACATTAAAATGATATTAAATTTCATATATATATATATATATATATATATATATATATATTAGTTATATGGGGAATGTGTAGCTCGGTGGTAGATGCAATTTTTGTACAGTGAGTCCACATCGAACAGGCTATATAGTTAAGGGCCTGGTAGCCCACTTTTATTAAAAGGGAGTACCCAAAAGTCCATCCAGGATTCCCACGCAGGGGTTTCAGCTTCATTCAGGAAGTATAAATGAAAAATGAATCTAGAAAAATCCTCCTGCGCTTAATGGAGTACCTATCGTTATAAGCAGCTAACACTCAAACTGATACCATACAGTGAAAGGACAAAACATAAACCAAGTAGTGCAGCGCTCAATAACAAACCAATATCATATGGACAAGTAAAAAAGTTTTTAAAATTGACACACAATAGTACTAAAAATAGCCAGAGCACTAATAATAAACATATAGGTGACTGTTAACAATAAATATGCCCCCTTCACTCCCACTCAATATAGTGATCAGTGAGTAAAATCAATCAAGTGGGTAAAAGCAGTTCATAAATAAGTGATGGTGTTCAATATATACAGTTCATGCATTGCGCGTGATCACACAAGAATTTCCGATAACGGTGAGTGACTCTCCTTCTATAGGTGAATTGCCTCCTCACCTCCACCCTGCGGCCCTCTGGGCCAACATGCCTTCAAGATCACTCTGATCTTACTCCAATAATGTCAGATAAGCTCCTCCAGATCTGCCATCATATGGGGATGATACACCAGATGTCCTAGCTCCTGATCTCTGCTGAATGTACCACTCGTCCAAATCGAGTAAATATAAGAAAATACGACCTTGCGTATCTACGCGTTACGTCACCCGCTCGCGTGACTTCATCAGGACGCAGTACCCTAACAGCGGTGACGTACTTCCGGTTCATCCGCCATCTTGGTCCACCTAGGAAATATGCACTTTCACCCATGCAGTACACCCATGCTTGTGGGGAGAATTGAGGAAAGCAATGTAAGTGCCATTTTTCTGCTCTAATTAATAAAAGCATTATACTTTGGCATACTACACTATCAGAGTATTTTCTTATATTTACTCGATCTGGACGAGTGGTACATTCAGTAGAGATCAGGAGCTAGGACATCTGGTGTATCATCCCCATATGATGGCAGATCTGGAGGAGCTTATCTGACAGTATTGGAGTAATATCAGAGTGATCTTGAAGGCGTGTTGGCCCAGAGGGCCGCAGAGTGGAGGTGAGGAGGCAATTCACCTATAGAAGGAGAGTCACTCACCGTTATCGGAAATTCTTGTGTGATCACGCACAATGCATGAACTGTATAAATGAAAAATAATACCAATTCACCTGGCTCTCAGGTCAGCAGTAGCTCTGCTTGTTCTGGTCTCCAAGACCCACTTGCTATTCAGGCTCTCTCTCCGACATAGGTGGCAGAACCCACAAGGCCTCTTAACAGGGTTTTCCCAGAGTCTTCAGGCCCCCTGGACTCACTGGCCTCCATAGCTTCCTCAGTCCCCAGACTCTCAGAGCTGTCCAGACTTTCCCAGCCCTTGGGCCCAGAATCCCCCTCACAGTCTCCTCTAGGAACTCACAACTGTCCTGACAGGGTTCTGTCTTCAAGCAACTCCAACTTCCACTTCCACCACCTACTGCTTTCACCAGCTCATTGTAATAGGGCTGTGTGCACCTGGGCACAAATCCTGCTGGTTATCCACAACATCCAGACACTGGGTTGGAGAGTCCGTCCTGCCCAAGACACTTCGGAATCTCCAAACTACAGAGCCCTCTCCACTCACAATCTATGTTCTGTAGCATTAAAGTCAGCAGACATGCAATGTATATATATATTCATTCTTTTTTTTTTTTTTTTAACATTAACAATAAATAAACAAAGCTTTACTGCTCCAGTTTTTGTAAAGCAATGCCAACAAATGATCTAGTTGCATTGTCATGATCAGTTTTATTGATCCTGCATTCAAATTTAGTAAAATTTATAAACATGAAATCATCTGTATTATTCTTCAGTGAAACAAAAAAAAGAAGGATTTTTTTTTTTTAGATCTACAGATATCAATGGATCAATGTTCACTGACAGTAGCAACAGTGATACGGACTACCACCCTGACTGTGACTGATTCTAACAGCTCGGTCACAGCAGCTGCAGGAAATATAAATGCCATTTGAACGTTTACACAGATTCACTGCAGCAGTAGTTTGGAAGTCATCTCAATGCACACTATATTCAGCATCTCCTGGAGGTTGCACCAAGAGAAAAAAACACACAGGTGGAGTATCTGTTAGAGATTAATGTTCTTATAGTTTTGACCTTAAGTTTGCCCTCCAGAGTCCGGGAACGCTTGAATCCACTGTTTTTGGTCCCAGACTTGATAGCACTAATAGCTCCAGTCTTCACCAGCATCTTTGCCTGTTCTGTAGCTGTGGCCGTATCCACTGCTGGCTGGTCAGACATAGCTAGGGAAGAGAAGCAGGAAATTAGGAATTGTAAAGATTTAGGCCTCATGCACACAGAACTATTTTTTTTTTTTTTTTTACTCCCTTGGATGCCTTTGCTTCAGGAGGAAAAACCCACATATTACAAAGGTGTTTGGGGCGTTCATTCATTCCACTGGCCAGAACAATAATTTATTCTGGTTATTGGAATGAATGACTGCTCAAGCAGCCAAAGTGTTCCTCTCTGGAATGCACAACTGATTTTTTTAAACTGTATATAACAACTCACATCTTTTGATCCCAGCCTGGCTTGTCTGATTAGTGGATGTCTGTTTCTTCAGGGCAAGCAGTGCTTTTTTCTGTAATAGAAAATGACACATATTAGTACTAATGGACAGATTCTAACCAATGCAATGAATGATACTTGCCAATAATGATTCCAAAATGCAAATGTAATTCTAACTTCAGATACACTATGTAGAGAAAATTTGTAAATTCTGTATAAAATTGTATTCTACTTTGTATGCTTTGCCTACGTATTGAACACGGCACTCCTTGTGCACACGGCACCAATAATGTTTTTCATTACGTTTGCATTCCTTCAAGTCCTGATTAGAAATGAGCCTGCCTTTGTAACGCCCCTTGTTACCATAAAAGTAATGGCACAGTGGCTTAGTGGTTAGCACGTCTGCCTTGCAGAAAATGGGTCATGGGTTTCGATTCCTGACCATGGCGCCTCCTGCATGGAGTTTGCATGTTCTCCCTGTGCTTGCGTGGGTTTCCTCCCACACTCCAAAGACATGCTAATTGGATCCTGTCTAAATTGGCCCTAATATGTGTATATATGAATGTGAGTTAGGGACCTTAGATTGTACACCCCTTGAGGGTTAGGGACTGATGTGAATGTTCAATATATATATGTGTAAAGCTCTGCATAAATTCACAGCGCTATATAAGTACCTGAAATAAATAAATTAAAAAAAAATTGTAATATTAATGTGATACCTATGTAATCATGTGTATAAAAAACTTCAAATGCGTTGAAAAAATAGAACAGTTCTTTGGAAAGATGCTGAGTGTATCTTTTTGTGTCTGTTCCCTACAGCAGTAGTTATGATTAATTTAGAACCACTAATCAATAGGATAGGCATTGCCGATCTATAAAATTTCAGTATTAAATGCCCAGAACACACTATAAGGCCAAAGGTGGACACCCTTCCGAACAAGAGAAATCTCTACATATCTTGCCTGCTTCAGCTTGTTTTTTGGGGGGTATATATATATACATATATATATACCCCCAAGAAACAAGCTGAAGCAGGCAAGATATGTAGAGATTTCTCTTGTCCGGGCAAGGGCTGATTGCCCATAGATTGCCCCATGAACAGGGTAGATAGAGGAATCTCCCATCTCACTGCCAGCTATTTTATTCTGAGAGCCGCTGCCCTGTAGCTATTGGAATATTTTAACATTGACTGCAACCGATTTACTGCAGTCACTGTTCAGCCAACTTTTTTCTGCCTGGCTCCCTGGTTTACTATGTTGAAGTTTGTTGAGATGGATGGTGTTGGTAGGGCCACCCATTGTTTGGATTTCAGCTGATTCACAGGAATTGGCTGAAATTTGAACTATGTATGGCCAGCCTCAGTAATGTGTCTACTGGAAAAAATAAAAAGACACACACAAATGATCGCATGAGGAATAAAAATCCAAATGACAAAGTTGTTACTGTACATGTGCAGGTTTCCCCAGACACGGAGAAGTTACTGTTTCATGTTCCAGCATCAACCGAAAACAGATATCCCAGTTTTTAGTGGCTGAATCTGTTAGCACTATCAGTGAACACTTTGGAAAATATTACATTATGCTATCAATATATCCACAGACTTTTCTTCTTTAGATTTAACGAACCTTCTTTTTCAGTTTGGCATATTTCCGCTGCAGAGACTCCTCTTCCTCCGTCAAGCTGGCTGGCAGCAAAACCATGATGACAGGTGGTAGATACCTGAGAGAGAAAGAGAAGGTGGGCAAAGACCTTGTAAGTCATCCAATGACATTGTACTTAAGATGGTAGTAAAACGCCCCTAAAAAATTCTAAAATATCTTCTCTCTGCAAGTCAAGAGCATAACGTGTAAAACTTACCTGAAAACGAAGCCCTCCAGCAGAGGGTTGTCACGGCTCCCATCTTCACCCCGTCTTTTTTTTTGGGTTAACGAGTTGCAGCCATATAATTGGCCGAGCCGCAATGTCGTTACTCCAGCGAATGCGCAAAGGGAGTTTCAGCTGTCTTTTCCTCTATATTGGCATTGTGTCCACAGTAGCATTTGCATAGGCAGAGCAGAATAGGACTGGCCATAGAGGGATTACTTAATGTGCTGATCACCGCCATACCAGAGCCATGATTATCGCCATATGCCTTACCAGCGTCCTGATCACCACCATACTGGAGCCCTGATCACTGCCATACCAGAGCCCTGATCACTGCCATACCAGAGCCCTGATCACTGCCCATACCAGCGTCCTGATCGCCTCCACGGCCCATTTTAGCGTCCTGATCGCCTCCACGGCCCATTCCAGCGTCCTGATCGCATCCACGGCCCATTCCAGCGTCCTGATCGCATCCACGGCCCATTCCAGCGTCCTGATCGCCCCACGGCCCATTCCAGCGTCCTGATCGACCCCACGGCCCATTCCAGCGTCCTGATCGACCCCACGGCCCATTCCAGCGTCCTGATCGCCCCACGGCCCATTCCAGCGTGTCCTGATCGCCCCCCATGGCCCATTCCAGCGTCCTGATCGCCCCCACGGCCCATTCCAGCGTCCATCGCCCCCACGGCCCATTCCAGCGTCCTGATCGCCCCCACGGCCTATTCCAGTGTCCTGATCACCACCACGGCCCATTCCAGCGTCCTGATCGCAACCACGGCCCATTCCAGCGTCCTGATCGCAACCACGGCCCATTCCAGAGTCCTGATCGCCTCCACGGCCCATTCCAGAGTCCTGATCGCCTCCACGGCCCATACCAGTGTCCTGATTGGCTCCACGGCCCATTCCAGCATCCTGATCGCCCCTACAGCCCATTCCAGCGTCCTGATCACCCCCACGGCCCATTCCAGCGTCCTGAACGCCTCCATGGCCCATTGGAACACACAGACTAAATATTATACACGGTTTTGGATTATTTTTACCCACAAAAATGTAGAAGAATACATTTTGGCCTAAATTTATGAAGAAAGATGATTTATTTGTAAAATGTTAAAAGAAAACCGAAGCAAAAATTTTTTTTTTAAATTTTTAGTATTATTTAATTTATATAGCAAAACAAATAAAAAAACCCAGTGTGATCAAATACCACCAAAAGAAAGCTCTGTCTCGAAAAAAAATGGTAAACATTTAATTTGGTTACAGCGTTGCATGACTGCGCAATTGTCACTCAAAGTACATCAGTGCTGAAAACTGGCCTGGACTGGAATTGGGCAAAGTGAAAGTATCCAGACTTGAACTGGTTATTGCTTCTTTAACCCCTTCCCACCTGCCCCAGAGTCCCTTTAAAAAGTTCTGAACAACAGGGGGAAGGGAAAGATCAGCGATCGTGTGACTACTGTGATTGGCTGTCATAGAAGTCGCACGATCAGGAGCTGATCTCACCAGCTACCAATCATTAGTCTGGTCTGAGAGCAATCTTCGACAGCTCGGTCTGTGTGATGGGAATGAGCAGTGAGCACGCTCTCAGCACAGACCCATGGAGTGCCCAGCAACACACGTGTGCGGCATGTAGGCATTAAAGCCCACCCTTTTGCTGCCAGACAATGTAAGAAGAACATGCCTGGAATCAGGTTTAAAAATGTATAGTGTTTGTGGCCCTGGAACATGGATCTTCGTCTGTGGTTACCCCTGACAACAGCAGATCTTCATCATTAAAAGCCTATGCATGACCCACCACCTGCCTGCACCTACACACATCATAGGAGACTCAGAGTTCATGAACACATCTATAGCTGACCCCCTCCGTTCCCTTAATGATAATCTGTGCACAGGACAACTTTCAGCAATGTTTACCTGATTGGAATGCCGGTCGCGCTCTTTATACGTCACCCACACACATAGTCCGCTTTTTACCAACCAACAGAATGTACCCAAATCACGATGACCAATCACAATCCCTCGAGCGTATTCTTCCGCCACACATGTCGGACTGGCCTCGCCTCTACCTGCGCTTCCGCCACACATAGAGAGCTCCGTCCAATCAGAAGCCGCGGTTGCGGTGACATCACTTAGAGCGCCCACAGCCGTTTCTTCTGCTTCTTGGGCCAGGTGTTATGATGTAGTAGAGAAGGACAGATATCACAAATAAAGTGCTGCCTATAGAAAGGCGTGGAGTGTGTAAATCCTGGCCTAGGAAGGACAGAGGATTGTGACTGACAGCTTGGCTTCATTCTTTCTGTGCAAGAGGAGTGATGGTGGAGCCCAATGGGGGCTATCTGGGACCCAGGGGCTTGTTCACACTGGCATCACCCTCTGAACAGCCATCTATGGTGGGTCACTTTTCAGAGGGTGTTTGGCAGGTGGTAAGGCGGCACCCTATTAAACCCCCTCTGAAAAAACTCCTCACTGCATGTTTTGCCCGCCAAAAAGCCGGTCCTGCTGTGCCACAACTGCATGCATTGCCACCCTGTTCAGTTGTATGGTTTCCGAGCAGTACTGCCTGCCATAGGAACGGTAAGGGCACTCAGCAGGCAAGCCCGCCGTGCCCCACAATGCACTGCGCAGGTCATTGTGATTGGCCAAAGCAATGCACCTGACCACTGTGCCCTATCATTGGTGTCAGTGGGACTAATAGTACCCTATCATTGGTGTCAGTGGGACGAATAGCACCCCATCATGGGTGTGAGCGGGAAGAATAGTGCCCCATCATTGGTGTCAGTGGGACGAATAGCACCCCATCATGGGTGTGAGCGAGAAGAATAGTGCCCCATCATTGGTGTCAGTGGGAGGAATAGTGCCCCATCATTGGTGTCAGTGGGAGGAATAGTGTCACATCATTGGTATCAGTGGGAGGAATAGTGCCCCATCATTGGTATCAGTGGAAGGAATAGTGTCCCATCATTGGTGTCAGTGGGAGGAATAGTGCCCCATCATTGTGGGTCAGTGGGAGGAATAGTGTCCCATCATTGGTATCAGTGGGAGGAATAGTGCCCCATCATTGGTGTCAGTGGAAGGAAATAGTGTCCCCATTTTTGGTGTCAGTGGAAGGAATAGTGCCCCATCGTTGGTATCAATACTGCCCCATCATTGGTATCAGTGGGAGGAATAGTGCCCCATCATTGGTATCAGTGGAAGGAATAGTGCCTCATCATTGGTGTCAGTGGGAGAAATAGTGCCCCATAATTGGTATTAGTGGGAGGAATAGTGCCCCATCATTGGTGTCAGTGGGAGGAATAGTGCCCCCATCATTGGTGTCAGTGAAAGGAATAGTGCCTTATCATTGGTGTCAATGGAAGGAATCGTGACCCATCATTGGTATTAGTGGGAAGAATAGTGCCCCATCATTGGTGTCAGTGGGAAGAATAGTGCCCCACCATTGGTGTCAGTGGAAGGAATAGTGCCCCATCATTGGTGTCAGTGGAAGAAATAGTGCCCCATCATTGGTATCAATACTGCCCCATCATTGGTGTCAGGGGAGGAATAGTACCCCATCATTGGTATCAGTGGGAGGAATAGTGTCCCATCATTGGTGTCAGTGGGAGGAATAGTGCCTCATCATTGGTGTCAATGGAAGGAATTGTGACCCATCATTGGTATTAGTGGGAAGAATAGTGCCCCACCATTGGTGTCAGTGGGAAGAATAGTGCCCCACCATTGGTGTCAGTGGGAAGAATAGTGCCCCACCATTGGTGTCAGTGGGAAGAATAGTGCCCTACCATTGGTGTCAGTGGGAAGAATAGTGCCCCATCATTGGTATCAGTGGGAGGAATAGTGCCCCATCTTTGTTGTCAGTGGGAGGAATAGAGCCCCATCTTTGGTGTCAGTGGGAGGAATAGAGCCCCATCTTTGGTGTCAGTGGGAGGAATAGAGCCCCATCTTTGGTGTCAGTGGGGAGGAATAGTGCCCCGTCTTTGGTGTCAGTGGGAGGAATAGTGCCCCATCATTGGTGTCAGTGGGAGGAATAGTGCCCCATCTTTGGTGTCAGTGGGAGGAATAGAGCCCCATCTTTGGTGTCAGTGGGAGGAATAGAGCCCCATCTTTGGTGTCAGTGGGAGGAATAGTGCCCCATCATTGGTGTCAGTGGGAGGAATAGAGCCCCATCTTTGGTGTCAGTGGGAGGAATAGTGCTCCATCACTTGTGTCAGTGGGAAGGAATAGTGTCTCATCATTGGTGTTAGTATGAGGAACAGTGCCCCTTGTTCGGTGTCAGGAACTATGCCTCACTGTTGCGAACAGTGGAGGTAATCATGACCCAGGGTAAAAAAAAAAAAAAAAAAAAAAAAGCAAGCAAGCAAAGGGCAGCATCCGATCCCCGGGCTGCAGTTTGGAGACCACTGCTCTAAGGGATCATTCACACCAGGTGTGTTGATTATCACTTATCAATAGGGGCTGAACTCAATAAATTGTAACAATGCATCACACACAGGGTATACGGGGCATCATGTGTGCCTATTGGTGTGAACGGGCCCCAAATGATTGCATTTGTAATTTTAAAAAGCCAGTATAGAGGAAAAGTAGCTGTGAAAAAACCCTTTGCGGGTTTAACCAATCATTTGTTGTGGTTTATTTCTTGGTCAGAGTAACTAGGAATAGGTGCAGGAACTCCCCCTTCTGGGTCACCCCTTGTCTCCGCCCCCTCCCCATCTCCTAGCACCATCTCTTGGTTGGTGGCCATTCTTCACACCGTTCAGATGGTAGTTTTCCATTTTCTTCCATGTCTTTCTGGTTTTGGTTGTGTTTTAACCACTTGTTGACCGTGCTATAGATGAATGATGGCTACAGAGTGGTCATCCAGTTCTGGGATGGCGTCATATAATGTTCTACCAGAACCACGCCCCTGGATCTCTCTGTGTCCTTTGGCTACAGCTGATCAAAAACAAATAGCCAATTACAGCGGCCTACAGTAGTACCACATGAGCTGTGTCCAATCACAGCTGATCACTTTGTAAACAAACTTGCCGGTTATTGGTAGCACTTTTCTCACACTGTCACAGCATGAGGAAAGTACTGCCAATAGCCAGCAAGTGTTAAAGGAAACATCTATACTGATAATCAGTGCAGCCCAAAAAGTTCCCATCAGTGCTGCCAGTGGGAAGCCTGTTACTGCCCATCTGCCTCCTCAACAATGCCCACCAGTGCCGCCTATCAGTGCAGCCTCATCAACGCACATCAGTGAAGAAGAAAAATTACCTGTTTGCAAAAATTTTATAATAGAAACAAAGAAAAACTTTTTTTTTTTCCAAAATCTTCGGTATTTTTTTGTTTGTTTTTGCCAAAAATTAAAACACCCAGTGGTGAATAAATACCACCAAAAGAAAGCTCTATTTATGTGAAAAAAAAGATAAAAATTTCATATGGGTACAGTGTTGCATGACCGCACAATTGTAATTTAAAGTGTGACAGCGTTGAAAGCTGAAAATTGGTCTGGGCAGGAAGGGGGTAAAAGTGCCCGGTAGGCAAGTGACTAAAGCAATTGCAATCATTTTAGCTGAGCAGCCGATCATTTTCTGCACTTCTTTATATGTTTTCCCCTCTCCAATCAACTTTTTAATCAAGGTACGCTGTTCTTCTGAACAATGTCTGGAACGACCCATTTTACTCAGATTTTCAAAGAGAAATGTACTATACCCAGCATGTACAACATTTGCTGCCTTCGTCCTTAAAGTGTTACTAAATCCACAATAGTAAAATCAGTCTGTATATGCAGACATATGATAAGACATATCGTGTGGACTCTGCACATGCTCAGTTTGGTGTCTATTGCTAGAGAGGTTTTTGTTTTCTCTTGGGAGAGTGCATGTGATCAGCACTATCCAGACAGAGGTCGGGGGTTCTGCATCCTCCTAGATCACAATGAAAACACCTCCTACAAGCTTTAGCTAGTGCTCTGCTTAACACTGATAGAAGCCACAAGACTGCTCTAACTGCTGATGAGAAAAGATATTTAGCAGTTGATATTTACTAAAGTAATTGCATTTCCATGTTGTGTGTGTGACCAGATATAGTGAATGCAGGGTCCTGGGAGACCAGATATAGTGAATGCAGGGTCCTGGGAGACCAGATATAGTGAATGCAGGGTCCTGGGTTTGGTAACAATTTAAATATAGGCCTCCTCTTTGACACTTGTTGTTTCACAGACTGAATGACCTCACTAACTGAACTCCACACTGCTATTACTTTGAACATGCCTCTTTCAATTAATAATTCAAGTACACAGAATCAGCAGCATGCATGTCATGCCAAAAACAGTGATTGGTCTGGTTAGTGATGTTGGACTGATATTATTTTGCACACAACTCTAAGTACCTGTAATAAATAAGTCTTACAAAACCACAAATGCTGTCTACAGTAGGAAGGAAGGTTTGTTTCCACATCGCTGGTAGTGCTGCTGCAACTGTACCTTGTCACACACTCTCCCAAAGAAGGCTACAAGTGGCCAATGCACATTACACAAGCATGCTTGCCTGTTGTCACCTTCAGGAAACCCGTCTTGAGAAATGCCAGGCAGAAGCTGTATGAACGCTTCTAAGCAGAAATTGGCTGCATAGAGGCTGCATGAGATTAGCAGCTCTAAAGCTGGCCATACTCTGTACAACCTGATTGTACAATTAGACAGCCACTTGTACTATATTGTTTATGGTAGATCTAAAGGAGATTGTAAACCAGATTGTATAGTGTATGGTCAGCCTAGGATGCAACAAAAGGTGAAAACTGTATTTAAAAAAAAATGTTTATAATACACTTCTACTTTGAAGGATAACTTCACCTTTTTTTTATTACAAAATGTATGAAAAATATGTTTGAAAATACATTTTCAAATATACTGTATGTCTTTAAAAATACAAATTTACATTTTTGGAATGCATTTACAAATATATGTAAAAATATATGTTAAAATGAAAATGTGAAGAATATACTCTGAAGAATATATTTAATATATGAAAAAAGTGTAATATATTTAAAACATTTTTATAAAATATTTTTCATATATTTTGTAATATATAAAAACCGCATTTCAACATGCAATATACATACATATATATACACATACACACACACATATATATATATATATATATATATATATATATATACACATACACACACACACGCACACACATATATATACATGTTGAAATGTATTTTTTTATACATTACAAAATATATGAAAATGTTTTTAAAATATATATTTTTTAAATATATTATTCAGAGTATATTCTTCACATTTTCATTTTAACATATATTTTTACATATATTTGTAAATGCATTCCAAAAATGTAGATTTGTGTTTTTAAAGACATACAGTAAATTTTAAAATGTATTTTAAAAAATATTTTTCATATATATTTTGTAATAAAAACACTTTTCAACATACAGTATATCTATCTATCTATCTATATATATATATATATATATATATATATATATATATATATATATATATATATATATATATATATATATATATATATATATATATTGAATAGGCCAAAATGTAGTATTTCAAATATACGTCAATATATTTGGGAAGAATATTTTTAAAATATATTTCAAATATATTTTTCTTCCATATGGGGTAGTACGGGGAGATGTTTCCCCATACTATCTGTCAGATTTGAAAATAGCGCGGCCGTGCTGGACTCCACCCACATGGCCATGTCATTCATTCACCGAGTTCTGTGAATGAGTGCTTACAAGTCCCAGCAGCGTGGGCTTGTAGTTTTCAATGCACTACCATGTGGTAGTTCATTGAAGCTTCCTGTCAGAATATCTGCTTGCTCATATGTCCCGTACAGCAAGCAGATATTCTGACAGGTCTGCAGGAGATCTCCATGGCATCAGCGATCTACTGATCGCGTATGCAATGCTTTCCAGGCTCCCGCAGACAAAAATAATAAATGCTAATTTTTTTACTTGCAAAAAAATGTGCATTTATTATTTTGTCAAAAAGGTGAACTTATCCTTTAATAAATTAAGCCTATGATTGTGGAACACAGACAGTTCACGGAAGACCACAACGAACAAAACACACCACGAGAAGAGTCCACAACTGGTTTATTTCTATAAGCAGAGCTGTAATTTACAGCAACAAAGGCCCAAAACAGTTCATCCCGGCCTCTGAAATAACAGCTAATCTCATGTTTTCTGCTTGAGACAAGGATTCCGAATCTCGTTCTCAAGAGGCAGACCTCATAGAGGTTACAACTTGGCACTCTTGAACTCTGCGGCCATTTTTGCCACTCGGAAGCCATTTTCCAGGACTCAGATGTTGACGTGCTGATAAGTGGATGGCTTTCATGGCAAGGAAAGCTTCTGGCATGCTGAAAAAATAAGAAAATATAATGAGGAAATTTATTTTTATTTCAGGTATTTATATAGCGCTGTCAATTTACGCAGTACTTTACATATATATTGTACATTCACATCAGTCCCTAACCCTCAAGGGGTGTACAATCTAAGGTCCCTAACTCACATTCATACATACACATACTAGGGACAATTTAGACAGGAGACAATTAACCTACCAGCATGTCTTTGGGCTGTGGGAGGAGGCTGGGATGCCCAGGAGGAAACCTACGTAGGCACAGGGAGAACATGCAAACTCCAGGCAGGTGGTGCCGTGGTTTCGATTTGAACCAAGAACTCTAGTACTGCCAGGCGGAAGGGCTAACCATTTAGCCACTGTGCTGCCCCAATATTTCATGATATTAGTGTAAGCTCCAAGGATCAGGGCCCTCCTATCCCTCTTGTATTGAACTCTATTGTTGCTGTATTGTCTCCCGTTATATTGTAAAGCGCTGAGCAAACTGTTGGCGCTATATAAATCCTGTATAATAATAATAATAGTTACTGATGTACTGAAAGGAGAAGCAAAGATAATAAAGACTGTTGTTTTAAATGGATGGCCATTGTACAATAGCCCTTTCACTTCCAGCACCATATTTTGTTTTTGCACGCGTTAAAAATCCACATTTTAGGACTGTAGATTAGTGAAAATCCCTCAAAATGTTATGTATTTCCTAAAAGCAGAGACCCTGCAGAATAAAATAGTGGAAACTGTCATTTTTTAATGTTACATTATAATTGTGCTACTGTTTATCAAATTTCAGTAAAAATTGCACCTAAATTTATTTTTGTGCACACAAACACAATTTGATTCCCTTTTTTTTCTCTTTTGGCAAGGTATAAAAGATGAGGTTGTGTTGAATAAATATCTCCTGAACATGTCAAGTCTTAAAACAATGCTTGCCCATGAATTATATGATATCCAAAATTGTCCAATGACACTTTAACCTCTTGCCGCCCACACGACCCATATGTACAGCAGTAAATATGATGGCTTTAACGCCCATACATGTGCATCTGTGTGGCATAGGCTTCTGTGCTGAGGCCGAGCTGTCAAACGTGCATCTTGGTCTGTACTGATGATTAGAAACTTGAACACTGTGACAGTCAATCACATGGTTAGGCCGATCTTCCTTTCCCCTGGGTGTAATAGCCCAGCTAAATTGTTACTATACCCAGGACCCTGCATTCTTTCTATCTAGTCTCCCACAGTACACAGAACATGGAAATGCAATTATTTTAGTAAATATAAACTGCTGAATACCTTTTCTCATCAGACAGTTAAAGCAGTTTTGTGACTTCTATCAGTGTCCGGCCGAGCACTGGTTAAAGCTTGTAGGAGGTGTTTTCTTTCTGCTCTAGGAGGATGCAGAACCCCTGATCTCTGTCTGAACAGTGTTGATTGGCCCTGTGCTGATCACATGCACTCTCCCAAGAAAAAGAAAAAAAAACCTCTCTAGAAATACACACCAAACTGAGCATGTGCAGTTTCTCCGCATGATATGTCTTGCACTCTCCAAAGAAAAAAACCTCTCTAGCAACACACACCAAACTGAGCATGTGCAGTTTCTCAGCACGATATGTCTTGCACTCTCCCAAGAAAAAAACCTCTCTAGCAATACACAGCAAACTGAGCATGTGCAGTTTCTCCGCACAATATGTCTTGCACTCTCCCAAGAAAAAAAAAACCTCTCTAGCAACACACACCAAACTGAGCATGTGCAGTTTCTCCACACGATATGTCTTATCAGGAGATAAGAGGGGTGCACTGGAAGAAGGGGATGATGAGAGAAGTCAGGATCAAACAGCGTTTTTACACAATGCAGAGGATTAACCCCTTAGGTTCCACAGTGAGTATAACAAGCACGCTTTACTGCATATACAGACTGATTTTACACTTGTGGGTTTAGTAACACTTTAAGGACGAAGGCACAAATGTTGTACATGCTGGGTATAGTGCATTTGAGATCTGAGTAAAATGGGTCGTTCCAGACATTGTTCAGAAGAACAGCGTACTTTGATTAAAAAGTTGATTGGAAAGCAGAAAACATATAAAAAAGTGCAGAAACTGATAGGCTGCTCAGCTAAAATGATCTCAATTGCTTTAGTCACTTGCCTACCGGGCACTTTTACCCCCCTTCCTGCTCTGCTCAGACCAATTTTCAGCTTTCAGCGCTATCACACTTTAAAATTACAATTGTGCGGTCATGCAACACTGTACCCATGTGACATTTGTATCTTTTTTTTTCACATAAATAACTGTTGTGGGTTTAGGAACACTTTTAAGGGATGCTGATGGAAAGGAGTTAGACTTTTACAATCTAAAGTTACCAGTGAATGATGGCTGTGTGTTTCAGTATATATACGTGAACGGGATGTGTGAGGTGAGGGGTAGTTAGGGTCCTACAGAAATGTTTGTGTTATTTTATTAAACTTCCCCGGCATGTAGAAGTGATCTGGCAGCTGTACTACTACCACATGGCTAGCAACCAGAAGTAAGATAGAACACAAACTGTCTGCTTACATGCCGGCACTGTTCCTGATGTAATACTTGTTTTGGTGGCAGCAAAATTGCTACAGCTGCCTTGTTAGTAAAGAATCTTGACAGTCCCAGAAGTGCTGGATACCGGTGTCCTCTGCTGTGCTCATTGGGTCCTCTCCTCCACCTCTGTGCCCTGTAGTGATGTACGGCTGGCAGGGGGACCCACTGAATGCAGCAGAGGACACAGGTAACACACACTCCTGGATCCATCTCTTTCTTAGCAGATTTCAGTGGAAAATTTTTTCTTCAAAAGGAGCAACGTTGGGCATTGAGGACAGTGAGAGCGGTGAGGATTTTTCCAGGGACACCTTTCTGGACAGGTTCCCTTTACAGTACCATTACTGTAAATAAAGACCTGCTGCTGTCCTGTAAAAACAGGAGCATGTGGCCTGTTAACGGTCCCTGAGGACTGCACTACATAATAATATCAAAGGGGAAAGGAAACTAGTCAAATACCTCATGGTGAGAGATCATTGTGTGTACAGGCTGGCAGCAAACACTATATCCCTCTTGATGAGCTGTGATGCGGACTCCATCTTGGCACACAGAGTAGCATCTCCAACCAGCCGTGCGGCAGAACGTACATCCCGGCACGCTTCGTCCAGTCGCTGTACACAGCGCACAATTAGGCCTTCCTGGATGTCAGTCAGGGTCATGATTTCTGCAAATGGCTGGAATTACATACATTTAAAGTTAAATTTCATGCCGTTCAAAATACTGAAGTGCTGCAGTATAGTGAGAGCCTGTTTTACAAACACAAAGATACATTTTTTGGGCCTCAGCCTTGTCATCACATCATATCCATCAATACTTTCCACCCAGCAAACTGTTCTTACCATTCCACGTGCCCATTCGTACACAACTTCCGTCAGGCCAAACTTGTACTGGGACACAAAGTCCTCCACCGGCTCCTTGAGGCCACATTCCCGCTGAGTCAGAGCAATTCGTTCAGCCAGCTCTTTTACCTTCTTCACTCCCTGCAAGAAAACCCAATATCATATACTGCATCAATATCTTTAAATTATATTAAAACATTTTTTTCGATAGAGTAGGGAGGGGTTAGAACACGTGTCAGGTTTTTATTGCTTTCTCTTTTCCCTCTGGGAAGATCCCCTGCTTTATATGTCCTGGTGCATTGTCAGCGGACAGAAAGTGATGAGAAACCCAAAATGTCACAGTTGTCACCAGTGGATGAGAGGAAATCCTGGCTAACAGAGTAGTCCCTAATTGGTTTCTCAAAAAAGGTAGCATGTGTACCAGGGGCAGATGACAAATCATGGGGCCCCCGGGCAATGGGGGATCATGGGGCCCCTTTGTTCTTGCCCAAACTCAAAAAAGCGTATGAAAAAGGTACCAGGGGCATCTCATGGGGCCCCCTACTGACCCCGGGCAGTGCCCGAGTTTCCAAATGGTCAGTCCGCCCCTGATGTGTACCTTTTTAGGGTTCTGTGAGCAGTCAGCCATTTTCACCCAGCAGAAGGTTCTTACAGCAGAAACAGCAAGGGAGAGAGCCCACAGCATGAGTCAGCTCACATAACTAAAGGCCTGTGCACAGCTGAGACTAATTAATAAGGTCTGGCTACCAAGTAAGAAGTGGACCTAGGGTTGGAGGTTTATTACACCCAAAGCTCTAAAAAGCTTCTGGACTCCAGGACCCAGAACACAGCTTATTACTATTCAGGCAAAAAAAAAAACAAAAAACAACAAGGAGGTTTGTTTTCTCCACATCTGACATCAACCTTGGATAACTAGATCGCGCATATATAGAGGAGAGAGAGGAGGGAGAGAGGAGGGAGAGAGGGAGAGGAGGGAGAGGAGGGAGAGAGGAGGAGAGAGGAGAGGAGAGGAGGGAGAGAGAGAGAGGAGGGAGAGAGGAGAGAGGAGAGAGAGAGGAGAGAGGAGGGAGAGAGAGAGAGGAGAGAGAGAGGAGAGAGGAGGAGAGAGAGAGAGAGAGAGAGAGAGAGAGAGGAGGGAGAGAGGGGAGAGAGGAGGGAGAGAGGGAGAGAGAGGAGAGAGAGAGAGAGAGAGAGAGAGAGGGAGAGAGGAGGGAGAGAGGAGAGAGAGGGGAGAGAGGAGAGGAGAGGGGGAGAGGGGAGAGAGGAGGGGAGAGGGGAGAGAGGAGGGAGAGGAGAGAGGGAGAGAGGAGGAGAGAGAGAGAGGGGAGAGAGAGGGAGAGAGGAGGAGAGAGATAATTGAGTACACCCCTCTTGAAAAGTGAGATTTTGATTGATATCTCAATGAACACAAGAACCAATTTCCAAAATGTTGTCAAACTGAGTTTTATAGAACATTTGTTTAGCTCATTACATGACAGTAAGGTTAATAATATAACTTAGATTACAGAATCTTTAGTGTTACTTATATTAGTTGATGCAAAAATGAATCCACCTCACAGCAAAAACCACTCCATCTAGTATTTTGTATGACCTCCATGATTTGTAAGGACAGTTCCAAGTCTTCTAGGAATGAACAAGTTGGCGACATATTGTAACATCGATCTTTTTTCATTCTTCAAGAACGACCTCTTTTAGAGCCTGGATGCTGGATGGAGAGTGATGCTTTCACTTTCACCCTGTTCTGCTTCAGAAATGCAACAGTGGCCTTAGATGTGTGTTTTGGATCATTGTCATGATGGACAAGTGCACGACGACCAAGGGCACAGAGTGACGGGAACATCTTCTCTTTCAATATAGAGCAGTACATCTGTGAATTCATGATACCATCAATGAAATGCAACTCCATGCAGCCCCACAGAAGGACACTGCCACCACCATGTTTCACTGTAGGCTCCATGCATTTTTCTTTGTACTCCTCACCTTTGCGACACCATACAGTTTTGAAGCCATCAGTTCCAAAAACATTTATCTTGGTCTCATCACTCCAGAGTACAGAATCCCAGTAGTCTTCTTTTTCAGCATGGGCCCTGGCAAATTCTAGGTGGACTTTTTTGTGCATTGGCTTCAGGAGAGGCTTCCTTCGTGGATGATACCCATGCATGCCATTCCTCTGCAGTGTATGCCGTATTGTGTCACGGGAAACAATCACCCCAGTTTGACTTTCTGCTTCTTTCGCTAACTGCCGTAAACTTGCATGCCGATTTTTGTCAATCCTTCTCATCAGAAGACGCTCCTGTCAAGGTGTTAACTTCCATAGGTGGCCTGGAAGTAGAGCTTTGCTGATCTTCTTGTAGCCTTCACCTTTTCGCTTTGTGATGCCCTTTTATAATTAACTGTCTGCTGGACACCAGTTTAATGACTAATTAGAATCACCTGGAGTGAATTCTTGATAATTAGGATTTTGTTGTCTAAAATTTAGCTTTGCACCCACGACTTTGCAACATGGTCTTGGATGTGTGTGTGTGTGTTATATTACGTGGAAACTATCAACATTGAGATACCCTCTTCCACAATTCCAATACTGTGTGTTGGGAATTATAGAGGCAAGGTATTACTGTTGGGGAGTATCCACAGGCTATACATTAAGAGGCCAGGGGCTGATTAGTCCCACTAGGCTCTCCTATAACTACAATATTACTTTTACATGGGCTAATCAAGGATCAAGAAGTTAAAGGAAGGGTTAGATGTCTACAGCAAAATCTGCATGCTGTGAAATGCTGCCATGTCATTTTTGTAACTGTTCAGCCTTACCTGCTTCAAAGTGTCTGTTAGCTTTGGTTCACACTGCGTCTTGTGCTGAAAGACTAGGCATGAAAGTAGTGCTGCAATTTCCTCAGGGTTAAGAGGAGACAGAGTCCCATCCAGAACCAGTTCCGTCACCAACAGTTCATGACTGCTGACCTCACAGGCCACCCGGCCCTTTAGCTGTACAGCACCGCCATAATCTATGTACTGCAGGATGCGCAGGACCTGCGGAGGGAGGAGGAGGAAATGCATTAGACTGGAGATCCAGCTAAGAATATGAAATAGAGAGGCCAAGATGGCCACAGGATTTTTCTATCCTTTAACTTTCTACACTATAAAATTTACCTAAGTTTGACTAAACTGTAATTTTTCTTTAATGGCCTGCACAATTTGATATACATAAACAACCACTGTAACATTCTAGGTATGAAAACGAATGCCAATGGCCAATATGAACATGAGAAATTGATTGAAAATTATTTTCCAAAAGGTTGGAATAAATCACAGTTATAATTACAGCTGTAAAGAGGAGTTATATTAGACTGGTTGGCAATTACCAGAATCTACAGTGGTGGTGGTCAACTTTCTTGATATGGAGGGCATCCCCCAATATCAATAAACGGCCACACCTAAAATTCAGTGAATTTTTTATTATTACAGATAGAAGACACAAAACAGACTATAGATAAAGACTATTGGAATGATAAAAAGAGATGGTCAGAGATTGTAGACATAATACAGCAGATGGTCAGAGATTGAGGACATAATACAAGAGATGGTCAGAGACTGCAGAAACTAAAAAAAAAGATAATCGGAGACCGTGAACAAGATACAAGAGAAGGTCAGAGACTATCAACATAATGCAGGAGATGGTCAGAGACTGCGGACATGATAAAAGAGATGGTCAGAGACTCAGACATGATACAAGAGAAGGTCAAAGACTGTGGGCAAATTAGAGGAGATGGTCAGAGATTGCAGAGATGATACAAGAGATGGTCAGACTGCTGATATGCGGCAGGGGACTTTCAGAGACTGTGAACATACTATAGGAGTAGTTGACTGGGGACATGTTTCAATAGACAGTCATAAACTGGAGACATTAGATGAGGATGCTAATAATTACTTCGATAACAGGCAATAGTGAAACACATATTAGTGTCAGGGCCATAAGGGCTACACAAAAATTGGCAAGGGGCCGCAGGTTTGAAACCAGGGATCCACAGTGTCAGTTATTAAAAAAAAAAAAAAGGAGTGCCAATTAATATTTTGACAATTGAGTTTTTAAGAGCAACACGGAGCCACTAAAAGAGTTCCAAAGCAACCAGATAGTCGATGCAAGAATTACAGGCATGTCACTCAAAACCTCACAAATGTATTTAACGTGACAAGAGGAACCAAATATGGACAAGGTGAATGATGGTTGTACGATGAATCTCAGCAGCAGAGTGAGATGGAAGTTTAGCAGGGTAGCTAAAAATGGCACAGAAATACAGCATCAAATGAGCACTTCTTTGCTACAAAGACTTTATAACACATGTAATGATTGTACACAATAAGGACATGGAAGCTGTAGGCGACAGCTAATTAGGCTTGGCAGGATATCTGTTTCCAGGAACCATGAAAAACTTTTCCCTTCTGACCTATCATGAAGCAATGATAACTCAAGACTGTCACACAAGACGTGTAAGGCCGTTAAAGCTCTAGGAATGCATAGTGTGCCATAAAACGTCTTTCATACCTTCGCCTTATCTACAATTTAACAAAATCCACACCTAATTCATAAAATCCAACAGGAACAGGACACATTAATTTTAAGTATTAATTTAAATGGGAAATATTATACCAAACAAATCAAGGTTATACATGACTATGTAAGCACATACGAAAAGGGGAGAAAGTAGTCTCCTCCCCCCTGGGTGATAGATTAATCCGAAATACTCAGTGTTTGGTATCCCTGGATACAAAATATAATGCTGAATAATCTACTAGTTTCTAGAATACAACCTGCACATAAAATGGAAGATATTAATATTAGTATAAAACCGGTATTTTGGACTGGGTCATAAAACGTGGTGACCTCCCAGCCACCAGCCCTTAAACCGGATGATTGGTCAGATGGTCTCTGTCAACACCCCTTTAAAATCACAGAAAAAGGAATGACAGGACCAGGGGACAAGCTCTCGTTTTACCATCAAACTAGGAACATCTTACAGGACTTGAAAGCCACGGTACGGTTTTTGCTCAATCAATTGGCCTCTTTATTTTTTTATTATTTTTTTATTATTTTTTATTCTTTATTTCTTTGTAACATCTTTTTTCTGGAGATATTTTAATTGCACCACTTTGACCTTTTCATTAATAAACCCTATTTTGAAAAGTGTTAAAACTGTCCCTAAGCCTTTTAATGCAAACTGAAAAAATCCCTGTCTTTTAAGAGTGCTATTGTATATGACAAATCTCTGAATATACCTGTCTGTGGTGACAGTGTGTTACAGACGTTTATTTTTCAAATTTGTTATTGCTAAGATTATGAGTTCCCCCTCTCAGTAGAAAAGGGGGGGTGGTGGTAGCCTAACGAGTTAATTACTAATTAACCTAACACAGTGACAATCGCTCTCAGGCTGCTGGCCCATAGATTGCAGTCCCGTGACCTGGAACATCTTGGTGCAGATGAGAGTGGCATTGTTACACAAGTGACAGCGCGGTGTGAGATTAACCTGTCCTTTGTTACAAGTTAGTGAGAAAAGCAGGGGTCAGGCACTGCATTTGTCACAACACTAGCTTGAAAGTATGGTGTTAATAATTACTAAGACTTGAACATGTAATTAGGGATTTCCAATAATTTGTGCCCCCATTGCATTCATCATGAATCCTCCCAGACCCCCCCGTATCTCACATTGATTCTCTGCTGGTACTCTGGCAGGAGGCTCAGTGACTGGTCAGAGGTAAGGAAGCGCAGACGATCCAGCTCATCCAGTACCTGCGATCTCTGCTCCAGGCGTAGATACTACAAGAGGAAAAGGCAGAATTGAACACAGGTAAGTACAATAACAGCATGGTCTATGTAATGTGGAATACAACATCTGTAGTATTCTACTTCTTGTATAATGATGGAAGGTGATCTCACCTGGGAGGTAAATCGGGGGCTGTTGGGAGAGGTGAATCCTCGTAGGGCTCCTTCAAGTCTCTTTGTCCGACTGACTGCCTCCACCAACTCCAGCTCCTTCAGCTGAAGATCATTGATGGGACACAAGGAGGTCAGTGACCCCGGAGGCAAGTCTGCAAGGCGAGACAGTTCTTGAGTCACCCCAGATAATGCAGGGCCCGGAGGATCATTCCTAAGGGGGTAAATAGAAAAATTCAAATGAGACTTCTTCCTAATTTCCTAAAATAAACCAAACCTTGCCTTTAATGTTTTAAAAATACCAATGGTGCTGCAGTGCAGGCACTTTATGGTATGTGTCCCGATGGAGCCCCCTTGGATCCCAGGCCTAGGCTGTACACACTGCAACGTCTTCTGCCCTAGAGAAGGTTAACATGTGTGTCCAGGCATTAACTAAATCTAACCACAAACCTTCCTCTCCCCCTCTAGATCAAGACCAGCATTATTTTTTTGTTTACTCCTGTAGTTCCAAGCTTATAGCATTCTTGCACGCACAGGAGGTCAGTTCCTATTGGCATGCTCCCCAGAACTACACCTTCCAAGAGCCCTTTACCTATAGATAGTATATGGGCAGGTTCTTGGGAAGAGTCAAGGCAGGAGCATTGTTGGAAACAAATCAATGAATGTGTATGGAGAATGACATTTTTCTATTCCCACTGACCACAATCTTGCACCCCTAATGTCTAAAGGATAGTAAACTGGCCCTTTGTTTATAATGTTTGGAGACCCCTGCTCTATGGAACCACTTCTATCATCTACTATGACTGTTATGTCATTTCACACAGAAGATTGGCTTGATCCCCAAACTATGTTTGATCCCCAAACATTTCAGAGTTGACCCCATATATGTCCAGATTTGTTAAAAATCTGTCTGCTTACATCAGATCTATACCATGTGGCTCCATCTTACAGGAAATGCAGATTTAGATATAGAGAGTTCTGCAGTTGCTTCTACAAACATTTGTGAAAGAATGGGTCGCTCTCAGGAGCTCAGTGACTCCAAGCGTGGTACCGTGATAGGTTGCCACCTGTGCAATAAGTCCATCTGTGAAATTTCCTGGCTACTAAATATTCCACGGTCAACTGTTAGTGGTATTATAGCAAAGTGGAAGCAACTGGGAACAACAGCAACTCAGCCACCAAGTAGTAGGCCACGTAAAATGACAGAGTGGGGTCAGCACATGCTGAAGCGCACAGTGTGCAGAAGTCGCCAACTGTCTGCAGCCAATAGCTAAAGACCTCCAAACTTTGTGTGGCCTTCAGATTAACACAACAACAGTGTGTAGAGAGCTTCATGGAATGGGTTTCCATTGCCAGGCAGCTGCATCCAAGTCTTACATCACCAAGTGCAATGCAAATCATCGGATGACGTGGTGTAAAGCACGCTGCCACTGGATTCTAGAGCAGTGGAGACGTGTTCTCTGGAGTGACCAATCACGCTCTGTCTGACAACCTGATGGATGTGTCTGAGTTTGGCGGGTTGCCAGGAGAACAGTACTTGCCTGACTGCATTGTGCCAAGTGTAAAGTTTTGGGAACATAGTGTATATTTATCCATAGTTTTGGAATGGGATACTCAATAAACTCATACAGGTGTGATGGACAGATGCCCACAAACTCTTGACATGGGGTACGATACCCAACAGAAACAATTACCTGAATCGTGGGGTTTGGCTCCTGGCAACATCATCCAGCACTTTATCAGCATGGACTCTCAGAGTTTTCCCAGTTATCATGAGAATGTCAGAGGCATGGAGCTTCAGAAGCTTGCAGTCACTTGGGCCTGCAGAGGAACGAGCAGGTATCTGAACAGTCAGCTGTTGCTAAAGTCATTTATTTCATATTAAAACGAAGAATTTGTTTCTTTAAACAGTACCAGGGACGCTACTTACCAACGATGCATTGCATCCCATGTGCTGGTGGTTTCCATTTACAATAAAAATCCTATAGCGATATTAACCCCCGCAGTACCAGAAGATCACTGCTGCAGGGGTAGATATCAGCGGCTGTGACAGTGATAGCCGACTATGCCCACCCTTTCCACCCCCCTGCTTCATTTGTTGCACCTGAACTTTAGGTTCCCACAACGC